AGTTACTGATTGCAGCAGTGTTTGTCATTGTGTGTGAGTGTGTGTGTGAGAGAGAGACCGAGACAGAGAGAAAGAGAGTGAGGGAGGGAGAGAGGGAGGGCGAAGAAGAGGAGGAGGAGGAGGAGGAGGACCCAAATACCCATATGAAAGAGAGTATTCTGTGGCTCCACAAATAAGTAAGGCAGAGCTCTGTTAACCAGCATAAAGTGGGTAAAGAGACCAATTAGTTTGTTTATCCATAGGATATACATGGGAATAGGGTACAAAGAATGAAGAAAGAGCTGGGAATGTGGCTTAGTGGTAGAGTGTTTGCTTAGCATGCATAAAGCTTTAGGTTTGATTCCTCAGTACCACATAAACAGAAAAAAAGAAGAAGCTGGAAGTGGTGCTGTGCTCAAGTGGTAGAGTGCTAGTCTTGAGCAAAAGAAGCCTGGACAGTGTCCAGGCCCTGAGTTCAAGATCCAGGACTAGCAAAAAATAAAAATTAAAAATAAAAAAATAAAAGTAGCAGCAGCAGAAGAGGAGGAGGAGGAAGAGGAGGAGGAATGGGAGGAACGGGGTAGGAAGAGTAATGGAAAAATGCCTCTTATTAAAATTTTTATTTATAGCTTTAACTTCCCTCCCTCCCTCCCTCCCTGCCTGCCTGCCTCCCTCCCTCCCTCCCTTCCTTCCTTCCTTCCTTCTTTCCTTCCTTCCTTCTACCAGCTCAGAGCCTGGATGCTGTCCCTGAGCTTTTTGCTCAAGGCTAGAGCTCTACCACTTGAGCCACACCTCCACTTTTGGCTTCTTTTGGTAGTTAATTGGAGATGATAATCTCATGGACTTCACTGCCTTGCCAGTTGTGAACTGTGATTTTCAGATCTCAGCCACCTGAGTAGCAAGGATTATAGGCATGATCACCAGCATCTGGCTATTGCTTTAACTTTCAGAACATTTCAGATAATGTCCCTCCTTACCTCACTAGAATGTGGGAGAAACCTTGAAACAATAGCAAACAAACCTAACTATATTATCCTTATTAATAAGTAGCATACTCACAGAGAAAGGAGTAGAAAAGAACTAACCCAAGGAGAATCCATTCTTTGTACACTATAGGCTAAAGTCAAAAGAACAGTACATAGATATTACAATTATTTTTTACAACGTACAGGGATGAGGTGTGCTTCAAGGTATATGTGTGTGTGTTGGGAGGCTGGGGATGGACCCTCAGAGCATCTTGCATGTTAGACCAGTGCTCTAACCCAGAGCTATATCCTCAGCTCCTCTTTCGTTCTCAGTGTACAGCCCGATGTGGAAACAGTGGGTGTTTAGTGTTTTTAACACTTACATGTGCTTATGAATCCCTAGGAGATGGTGTTAAAATAGAAGTCCTGACTTGGTAGGGGTGGAAAGGAGCTGGGCATCTGCTTTTCCAACAGGTTTCCAAGCTGCTGAGGCTGCTTCAGTTGTTGACAACCACATAGGGTAGATCACTACATGCGTCCCTGCCTCCACTCAAGCATTGGATGTATAGTAAAAGGGTGGCTTAGAGTCAGGTGTGTCCCAAAGGTTTCAGTGACATCATTTAAATCTCAGATGCTTTCATTCAAGTGTAGAAAGACTTTTGTCATGGGAAGGAAGTCCGAACCCCTTACTTTGGCTCACTATCTGGGTGATCTTGTTTTGAGTTTCAGTTTCCAATCCATAAAGCAGATGACAATAATATCTCCCTGGAAAATTAACATTAGAAGAAAATGTTTAAAGGACTTGGCATAGCCAGGCCCTGGTGGCTCACACCTGTAATCCTAACTACTCAGGAGGCTGAGATCTGAGGATTGCTGTTCAAAGCCAGCCCAGGAAGGAATATCTGTGAGACTCTTATCTCCAATTAACCACTAGAAAACCGGAAGTGGTGCTGTGGCCCAAGAGGTAGAGCACTCGCTTTGAGCTGAAGAGCTGAGGGACAGTACCCAGGCCCAGAGTTCAAGCCTGACAAAAAAAAAAAGGACAGCATAGCCATTGGCTGATCAGCGTTGGCTGATTTTGGTGCCAAAGGCCTCAAGTATGCTAGGCAAGGTTCCACCACTCACTATAGCCTCATAGATTGTGAACAGAATAGGTGTTCAGAAAGGTGACATTATCATTTGTGCTGAGGAGAGGGCCACAGCTGTGGCTAATATGCATGAAAACTGCGGCGAGGAACCTCTATAATCAGTTTTGCATCAAAGACAATGAACTCCTATTTTTCAGCCACAGGAAAGGCTATAGTTACTTAAGTAGAAATTGTCATGGCCTAATGAAAAGTACTCATTCTTGTCTATCCTTGCACAATTAACTTTTGCAATCACCTCAGGTCTGGCCTGATGAAATAATGCAAACAAATACGTGTGGAGCGCCTGTTACTGAGTCAAACAATGCTGAACTGATGTGACTTTTCAGGGAGTGTATTTCAGACCTTAGCTCCTTTGGGGTCACCACTTAGCTTCCTTTTCTCCTTCAGGACCTCCCCTTCCCTTGGGCTTCAAACTCTCAGTACCCAGGAGCCCCACTGTAGCATTTTCCCTTATCAGCCTGCAGGCTTCTCCTTGTTCTTCCATTCCTTTCCTGCTTCTTGAGGTCACAGGGCTCTTTCTAGCCCTATAATACGGTGTAGTGCTTGCGCTCACAGTACTGTTGGACTGATTTTATGTGATGCTCTCCAGGAATCAGGTATGTAAGAGGCTCTGGAAAAGCTTTCTAGGAAAGGTAATGCTTGAGTTAGTACTTAAAAAGGATATCAGAGAGAAAGAAAAGCATGGTGTCTTTGGAGAGTGCATACAGTTTTGGATAGCTCATGAAGGAGTAGGGGTGAAGCTGGAGAATAGGCAAAGGCTAGCTCATGGCTGACCTGAATAACAGCTAAGGAGACTGGATTTTATCTTGAGGATAATGGAAAAAGCATGTATGGAGAGGGAGCTGATGGTGATACTACTACTATTATAGGGAAATTGGTTAGGACTTCTGTAACAATCCAAGTACTCATATTTCTGCTGTTACTCTCAATGCCTTTTCTAGTCTCAACACATTTTTCTCAAACCAGAGAGGTTCACTCCCAAGGCTCCTTGTGCTTGGTTTGTCTTAGGTGGTCCTACCTTGCCCATGTTAGGCAGAAGATGCAGCCTTGTGTGTACTTCAGAGTGAGCTGGATAGCAAGAGGCCCCTGATACATGTATGGATCCCATTTACTGGGCTGTAAAACCAGATCTGCTATGTCCTAGCTATGGGGACAATGGAGAAGTTAACATAACTTATCAAAACTTATCGTACAATGAAGATGTTGACTCTAATGTATTTTGTGTGTGTGTGTGTCCACGTGTGTATGCATACATGTGTGCTCTGTAGTATATTTATATATATACATAGATATATATATAATTGTAAAGGTGAAGTACATAGGGTTTACAGTTCCATAAGTAAGGAAATGAGTACATGTTGAACATCATTACCTCATCTTGTAGTACATTTTTTGAGGATCATATTGAATGATGATGGTTATGACAACAGTACTGACCATTTAGTAAGCCTCAGTTGCATGTCAGGCTCTGTGCCGGGCATTCAGGAACTACTTAAATATATGTAAGATACCACAAATAGTGCTTAGTTTTGTGCAGTACATATTAGATTCCTCCCTCAGCTCCTCCTGCTCGTTCACTGCCTGCAGTTTGTTCGTGGCTGGTACATTATTGCCTCAGTGCACTCTCCCAAAGACTTTATTTCCACAAATCAACAAGAGAGCAAAACTAATGTCGCTTTAATTTAAGATCAGGAAGCAGCCAAGGAGTAATTTCCAACTTCATTTCATTAAGGCAGTACTTGGGACTTAGCGACAGCTGTACTTTAAGTAAATTAAAATTTAATACAATTAGCCCTGGAACTTAATTTTTAGGTTCAGGGTCTTGGGCTGCTGCAGAAACCAAACAGAGCTGCTGCCCGAATTATGACATTGTTCATGTGCTAATTAGATTTAAATGCCCATCTTCTGACCAGATAATTAGAACAAACATCTGAGTACATGTTCTGTTCAAGGGACAAAATGGATTATGTCAGGTTGTCCAAAGGTTGAGATACATTAGTCACATGTTTCTACCTGGTTGTCTTAAGCAAATCATAGTGATGATGTTCACCATACTCTTTCCTTTGTGTCAGTTTTATGCAACCAGATCCTCTTTGGCAATATAAAAACACGGATTAAAACTAACTTGGCGGCAATCCTAGGATTAAGGGATCAAGAGAGTAAATCTTGTATTGGCTGTGAGATGATTACATGTAAGTCTCATTCTGAAGCAATCAGCAATGGAAGAGGCAGCTCTGAGCTGGGGTTGCTGTTTATTTCTGGTTCTGCACCATCCATTTGTGTGAGTGCCACAGTCCACCATGCCTGTGTGCATGAGGGATTGTAGTGGAGAGTGTGGTGGGTTCCTGGCAGCAGTGAAAAACTGGCTGAGCTCCCAAATCTAGCCCTCCTCACTGTCAGCAGAGGAAAGCTCAAGGAACGCAGGAGCCATTTGTCCTTGAGACACTCAGTTGCTGAATTTATGCCTTCTGGGCCACCCAAGTTAATCTTTATCTCTGAAGATAGGCATTGAACCTGCGAGTTTTGGAACACATGTTCTAGGCCTGACCACGATAGAGTCTTAGCATCTTTGTTATTGTTGTTTGGGTACGGTCTGGCTGCTGTCCCTGAACTTGTTTTGCTCAAGGATGGTGCTCTACCACTTGAACCATTTCTGCCTTTTTTGTTGCTTAACTGGAAACAAGAATCACACAGACTTACCTGCCCAGGCTGTCTTTGAACCGTGATCTCAGATCTCAGCCTCTTGAGTAGCTAGGATTACAGGCATGGGCTACTAGCTCCTGGTCATGATACCACCTTTATTTTTTCTTTCCCACTAAACCACATCTCTCAGGTGGCCTTAGAGGGTGCACAATAGGAGATAAGATAATGTGTCACTTTTCCCTTATTTCCATCTTTTGTTTTCCAGCAACAGCTACAGGCCTACGTGGCCTGGGTGAATGCACAGCTGAAGAAGAGGCCATCAGTACAGCCTGTGCAGGATCTGCGGCAGGATCTCCGGGATGGGGTGATCCTGGCGTATCTCATCGAGATTGTTGGTCAGTTGGCCCTGGACTCTGACGCTAGCATAGACCAGAACATGACCTGCTATATCCTCCATATGCCCTTCAAAGCAGGTTGTTTCTTCTTTAGAATATATGCCAATGAAAGTAGGGAAGATGTAACATATTCAAAGTCAATTCACTTATTTAGTGGTCAATAACCACTGTGTGCTTGGAACTGTATATGTTTGGGTGTATGCTGGGCCTATTCTTTCAGGAGTTTCCCAGTCCAAAGTCAATACTATTCATGTTCTTAGTATTCTGGTTGGCTAATCAGAGTATATGCAGAAAGGACAACCTCTGCCTAGTCTTTGGGGTTCAGGGATGTCTGCTCATATGGAATGATGACTAAATTGAGGCCTGCCAGAAGAACCTACATCTAACCTGAGACTAGATGAGGAAACTGGCCAGGCAAACAGAATTTGTCACCTTTCTGTAATATATGTTCCATAAAAGAATTACTCTTCCTGGAGCCTGGGTATCATTCTTAATACATGGTAGTATCAAACCTTATCTTCTTAGCATTTGTCCATAATACTGTTATTATTTCTCTCATTGAATGGTAATTACTTGAAATCCATTTGCTTACCCACTTTTTCCTTCTGTATGGATTGGGCTCCATAAGACCATGTATAGTAAATAAATGTTTTCTTTCTATGACCCCTAACCAAGGGCACAAACTGTGTACTCAAACATTTATAATTAGCCCACTGGCCGTGCTTGGAGTTCTTGAGGGTTATGGGCCTTGCAAGTGCGTGGGAGAAGCAAGGTTTAGAACAATGCCCCCACCTCTGTGCTTACCTGTGGACAGCTCATGTATTCTTCATTGTGATAATAACAATGGCAATAGTAATCAGAGCTGTCAGGATTAAGCACTTTCTACCTTGTTAATTTCACTTAATCATCACACCCTTGGGAAACCAATGTTATTATTCCTACTTCCAGGAAACAAGCTGAAAGAGAGGATTTATTGATTCATTAAAAATTTTTTTTGTCAGTTGTGGGGCTTGAACTTAGGGCCTGGGCACTGTCCCTGAGCTCTTTTGCTCTACCACTTTGAGTGACATCACCACTTCCAGTTTTCTGGTGTTTAATTGGAGACAAGAATTTCACAGCAGGACTTTCCTGCCTGATCTGGCTTTGAATGACAATCCTCAAATCTCAGTGTCCTGAGTAGCCAGGATTACAAGTGTGAGCTAATAGTGCCCAGCTAGGATTTTTTTCCCCTTAATCATATTGAGTAGTTTCTGTCAAACAGAAACTACAAACTCAAAGCATGCTGCTTTGAGTATTTATAATATGGGTATAAATATAGGTTGAGTGTGTTTCTTATCCAAAATGCTTGGGTTAAAAAATGTTTTACATGTCATAGTTTAAAAAAATTTTTGGAATATTTGACTATAATTTAACCACTTATCATTTAAGCATTACTAATCCAAATATTTGAAATATGCAGTACTCCAAAATCTGAAACTTTTTGAGCACCATATGGATTAGGCATAGCCAACCCATACTAATGTTTTACTCCATTTGTAAAGTTTAGAGAAGCTAAGCAACTTTCCACTCACATAACTAAGTACCAAAATGTTTGTACAGCCTGGATCTGCTTTCATTCCAAAGCCCATTTGAAACCTTTAATGTTGCAATTACTTAAATAGGTTACACATGGGCTCGTAGGACATCCAGATGCCACAAAAGAATATGAAGCCCAAAGCCTTTTTCTCTACCTCTGTCTACCAGCTCCTCATTCTCCATTCTAGAAACAGCCAGGTTTTACATTCCTTACATTTCTTTCCAGAGATATTCTGTGCATCTAGAAACAGTATGAAAATATATTCTTATTTTTCCCAAACCCAGGTCGTATGTGTGTTGTAAGGGATGAATCCAGAGCCTATGCATGCTAAGCAGATCTACCACTCAGACATATGCCCAGCTCTAAATACAGCTTTTTGTTGAGACTTTGCTATATAGAAATAACCTCAGCCTAGTGCTGGTGGCCCAGCTACTCAGGAGGCTGAGATCTGAGGATCGAAGCTAGCAGCCAGCCTGGGCAGGAAAATCTATGAAACTCTTTATCACCAGTTAAACACCAAAAATCAAAAAGCTGAACATGGAGTTGTGGCTTAAGTGATAGAGCACTAACTTTGAACAAAAACGCTCAGGGAGGGCTGGGAAGGTGGCTCAGTGGTAGAGTGCTTGCCTTGCATGTATGAGGCCCTGGGTTCAATTCCTCAGCACCACATAAGCAGAAAAAAGCCAGAAATGGTGCTGTAGCTCAAGTGGTAGGGCACTAGCCTTGAGCTGAAGAGCTGAGGAACAGTGCCCAGGCCCAGAGTTCAGTCCCCATGACCGACCAAAAAAAGCTCAGGGACAGTGCCCAGTTTGTGAGTTCAAGCCCTAGGACTAGCACACACACACAAAACTTCAGGGTCTCTTCTCAGATTTGTTTAGCCATGAACTTTTCCTAGAGTTTTACTCATGAATAGCCAGCTTCCTATTCAATATTTCCACGTGGAGGTCTTATTTGCAGCTCTTAACTTTCTATGCCCTACCAGTCCCTTTATCCTGCAAGCATGAGCCACCAGTGCCTGGCTTCATTTCTTGAAATGATATTAATGTTAACTTAACTTAGTTGTTATCTTCCATCCCTATAGATGTAAACTTGGTGAGGGAAAGAATTTACTTGTCTATTGCTTTCTGTTGTGCCAGAGCAGTGCCTGGCACCCAGGTGGATGCTTGGTGAATAAAATAAATGTACCCATAATAACTTCATAGGCACTCAGGGGGTAAATCTGAACCTTTGAAGGTACTCTCCTCTTCCCCATCCAAAGTACAACCTCTAAGATTTAATTTGCCCGTATACTTATAAATAATTGTGTCAAATATTCCCTCCCTTGTTCCTGGCTGTTATATCACCTATGACACCGTATCTTTTCTCTCTCATAACAGCAGGAGAGAAGCTGAGTGGTGTACAGTTGAGTCCCAGTAACCAGCAGGAGATGAAGAGTAATGTGGAGAAAGTACTACAGTTTGTGGCCTCCAAGAAGATTCGTATGCACCAGACATCAGCTAAAGGTCAATGTTCTTCATGTCCTTCATGGACAGACCACACTCAGCTTTAGTGGTGCTCACAGCCTCTATACCTTGGTCCTGTATCAGGGGCTCTGAGTGGATTGAAATAGAAACAGCCTCTTGAACTCTTTTTTTTCCCCATAAAGATAGGTATCTTCTTCGTCCTTCTCCCCCTCCTCCTCCTCCCCCCCCCTCCTTCTCCCCCCCCCACCCTCCTCCTCTTCTTCCTTCCAGTCCTGGGGCTTAAATTCAGGACCTGAGCACTGTCCCTGAGCTTCTTTTGCTCAAGGCTAGCACTCTACCACTTGAGCCACAGCCCTACTTCTAGCTTTTTTTATGTATGTGGTACTGAGGAATCAAATCCAAGGGCTTCATGCATGCTGGGCAAGCACTCTACCACTAAGCCACATTCCTAGCACAGTAAGTATCTTCTAGAGATGGAGTGATTATCAAAATCCAAATGCTGGGACTGGGAATGTGACTCAGTGGTAGAGAGCTTGTCTTGAATGCATGAGGCCCTGGGTTCGATTCCTCAGCACCACATAATTAGAAAAAGCCAGAAGTGGCACGGCACTGTAGGTCAAGTGGTAGAGCACTAGCCTTGAGCAGAAGAGCTGAAGGACAGCACCCAGACCCAGAGTTCAGGCCCCACGACAGGAAAAAAAATCCAAATGCTTTGGATTGGAGCATTGGGTGGAGATAGAAATTCTCTATTTATTTAACTAATCACAGTTTGTTTGAATAGGAATAGAAAAAATATTTCAGAATTTTCATTTATCATCAATGAAGACAAATAGTATTTTCAAATTCTGTTGGTTTCCTGACCAAATATTATTTCAAATTATTATAAACTATGGTGGTGGTAGTTTTATATTTTTGTTGGTTATGGGGCTTGAACTCAGAGGCTGAGTGCTGTCTCAGAGATGTTTTTGTTTTGTTTTTCCTCAAGGATAGTGCTCTACCTAAGCCACCACTCTACTTCTGGTTCTCTGGTATATAATCAAAGATAAGAGTCTCAAGGACTTTTCTGCCCCAGCTGGCTTTGAACCATAATCCTTAGATCTCAGCCTCCTGAGTAGCTAGGATTACAGGCATGAGTCACCAGTGACCTGTGCTTTTTTTTTTTTTTTTTTTAAAGATACTAAGGATTGGACTCAGGGTCTTGTGCTTGCTACTCAGGCATCTACCACTTGAGCCTTCAGCTCCTTTTTATATTGGCTGTTTGCCAGGTAGGGTCTCACTTGATGTGCTGTGATCCTCCTATTGGCAATTTCCTGTATCTCTAGAGATGAGAGGCAGACGTAAACCTGCCCAGTCACTGAGTGAGATGATATCTCATAAACTTGTTTTTTTTTTATCTCATAAACTTTTATGCTCAGGCTGGTCTTGAACCCTGAATCAAGTAGCTAGATTACAGGCTTGAACCACTATGTTTGACTATGCTTTTTCCATAGTTTTCCTTCCTTCCTTCCTTCCTTTCTTCCTTCCTTCCTTCCTTCCTTCCTTCCTTCCTTCCTTCCTTCCTTCCTCCTTTCATTCTTGTATGGTAATAGGTTTTGAATTCAAAGCCTTATGCTTGCTTTGGCAGGTGAACTACACATTTTGCTTTAGCTCTCTTCAGGTATAATCTGGCAGTTTACACCCGGGCTGGCTAGACTGAACTGTGGTTCTCCTACTTAAGCTTCTCAAATAGATAGCTGAGCTGACAGGCTTGAAGCACTACGCCCAGCTTTTTCATTCAAATTACTATAACCTTTTTCATAGGGGAGGGGGTGTTTCAAGAACTTTCTGCCTATGCTAGCCTTAAAACCACGATCCTCCTGATCCACATTTCCTAAATAGTCCAACCATTTTTCTAGAAGAAAAATATTTTATAGGTTTTGTGTGTGTGTGTGTGTGTGTGTGTGTGTGTGTGTGTGTGTGTGTGTGTGTGCATGAGAACATCCTAGGCAGGACAGAATGGTCTCGGTGGCCACTGCACATGACTCCTTGTGCAGTGGACTGATGAAGGTGAGTTTTCCCAGGCTATGAGGAAGGAGCAATATAGATTTCCTGAGAAAGTAAAGGCTGCCTGGTCCTCTTGCTGATTCTCTAGAACTGACTGTATCTGGTTCTGTTTCAGCGTCAGAAACCTGGGGCTGACTTCCTGCGGGTCAGATGAGAAAGAGAGCACAGGGGAACCCTTCTTTCATGTTGAATTGTTGGTTTCCTCTGTGTTGGGGTCATCCAGCCACTGAGAGCATGCAGTAACTGGTATTGAATAAGCTCTTCCAAGCTTTGCACATTTGAAAGGGTATGAAGTCAAATAAATAGAATTTTACCCATTTCCCTCGCGTTAGCTTTTATCACATCTATCACCTTTTCTTTTCTAGGGCAGAATGTGGAGTGCAGTGGTATGCTTGATCTGGTCCCCATGTGGAGAGGGCTTGGGGATCTGGCCCAGTAAAGTGGGCTATTTTGAGGGAAACTGCCACTCAGGGCATCATTGTCTTTTACCAGGAGAAGCACAAACGCTTCCTAATTAGCCCTCTCCCTCAGCCTTCCACGCTGCAGGCAGAAATAATCCAAGAGCACGTTGGCTGTGCTACAAGACTGTATCTGAAGGACCTTTGATGAAATCCAGAATATTCCCTATGGCTCAGCCGGTCCCACATGACCGTTGCCACCTCTGATTCCTCCTGTTTTACCTTTCTTCTCTCTCCTTTTTTTTTTTTTTTGTTTGTGGGGCCTGAGCACTGTCCCTCAGCTCTTCAGCTCAAGGCTAGTGCTCTTCCACTTGAGCCACAGCACTACTTCCAGCTTTTTCTGGTACTGAGGAATTGAACCCAGGGCCTCATGCATGCAAGGCAAACACTCTACCACTGAGCTACTTCCCAGCCCTCTTCTCTCTTCTTGACCCTGGTGCCCTGGAGCTTTGAACTAAGGGCCTTATACTTGGTAGGCAGGCACTGTCCCACTTGAGCCATGCCCTCCAGCCAGGTCTTATGCTTTTGCTTGAGCTGGCCCAGAAAACAATCTTCCTACTTCTGCCATTTGAGTAGCTGGGATTACGCATGTACATCACCATGCTTGGCTTCTATTATTTCTTATTTATGTTGAATTTCTTTCACTTCCTCCTCCATATAGTGCAGGATTCCAGACATACAATGTAAGTCACTTAAAAGTTTCTAATAGCCACATTGTAAAACAAAAGCAACTGGGCTGGGAAGGTGGCTCAGTGGTAGAGCACTTGCCTTGTATGCATGAGGCCTTGGGTTCAGTTCCTTAGCACTATATAAGCAGGAAAAAAAAGCTGGAAGTGGCTCTGTGGCTCAAGTGGTAGAGCACTAGCCTTGAGCTAAAGAGCTGAGGGACAGCACCCAGGCCCAGAGTTCAGGCCCCATGACCAGACCCCCAACCCCCCCCCCAAAAAAAAAACCAACTGAAATTAATTTTGCTAATATACTTTGTCTGACACAATACATCCAGAATATTATCACTCACCATGAGATCAAGATAAGTTATTGAGCTATTTGACATACTACTTTTATATCAAATGCAGTGTGATGTTTTCTTGTATGTGTGTGTGTGCGCAGGCCTGTGTGTGTGAGGCACTTAACACAGTGCAAACCCTACTGCACAATTTCATTTCAGAGAAGTGATGTTTAAAGTGCTCAGTAGCTACCTGTGACTTGAGGTTCCGTGTTGGGTATAGCTAGCACAGCTCTCCTAAGTTGCTGTCTGAACTTCTCACCTACCATTCCTTCTCCTGGATTATTCTTTTCCCCTCTATCCCATCCGTTGAAGCACTCTTCATCAATCAGGTCTCAGCTGAGGACTCACTCACTCTAGGAATCCATCCCTGAGCCTTCTAAGATGCCTATACTCCTGTATTTTGGAGATCAGAATCTCACAGACTCCTTCCCAGGCTGGTTTTGAGCCATAATCCTCAGATCTCAGCCTCCTGAGTCGCTAGGATTACAGGTGTGAGCCACCAGTGCCTGGCTTAGAAGCATTCTTTTTTTGTTGTTGTTGTTGGTTGTGGGGCCTGAACTCTGGGTCTGAGTGCTGTCCCTCAGCTCTTTAGCTCAAGGCTAGCGCTCTACTACTTGAGCCATAGCACTACTTCCAGCTTTTTCTGCTTATGTGGTGCTGAGGAATCGAACCCAGGGCCTCATGCATGCAAGGCAAGCACTCTACCACTGAGCCACCTTCCCAGCCCAGTCCTATTTCTTATACCTCACTGTAATTTTTTTAACCTGCCTCTCTCGTGGAACATGGCTTTGTGAAGACAGACCTTCGAATGCTTTGCTTGCGTCTTGCATGTGTCATGTGCTAGACACCCAAGTCTGCGGCCTTTGTTTCCTGCTGAAGACTTCTTGGTCTGTCCTTTCCTTCAGATATTGTGGAAGGAAACCTGAAGTCCATCATGAGGCTGGTTCTTGCCTTGGCAGCTCATTTTAAACCTGGCTCTAACAGGACCGTGAGCCATGGACGAGATTCTAGAATGTCTCTGCAAAGTCACCAACCACACTGCGCCACTGCTGTGGCCCAGGGAGCAGCTGCTGCTCTGGCCGATGTGTGCCATGACATGTCACGGTCCGGACGGGATGTCTTTCGATACAGACAGAGGTAAGGGTGGATGGGTGGGGATAAGAACTTGAACTTGACCTCTCGCTGGCTAGTTCTTCTCTCAGGTAGCACAGGGGAATAGATGAAAAGATCTCCTCACCAGCCCCACACTGCTGAACAGAACACAGAATGGGGATGGGGGAGGACATATCAAAAGAGAAAAGTTCTTTAGAGATGTTTATTTTGCAGTTGTTAGCACAATGTAAAGGAGCTATGTGTGTACATTTTTTTTTTCTTTTTCTCTTTTTTTGCTCTGGTGCCTAAAATTTCAACATATACTTTGGCACAGTATGTTTTCTGCACTGGGAGATATGCTGTGGTCCACATGTGGGAGGCTGTACCCTGGATTGTGTCCAGAAGGCCAGGCTGCCCTGTAGAGTCAGGGCAGGTTGCATGTCAGAGGTCGTCTACCTGTGTGTAGGGAGAGCACAACCCGGGGTACTGCGGAGATTGTCTCTGTGTTCCTTCCCTCCTTAGCGAAAGGTGCTTTTGAGTGAGGGTTTTGTCTTATGTGTTCCCAGTGGCTGGGTGTCAGTACTTGAAATTGACCTTCTCCCTTGCTGCATTCCCTGGCTCTAGGAACAGCAGCATGGATGAGGAGATCGAGAATCCATATTGGAGCGTGCGGGCGCTGGTGCAGCAGTATGAAGGACAGCAGAGGTCCCCGTCAGAGTCCAGCTGCTCCAGGTAAGCTTGGTTCTCTACCACCACTGTCTTGTCTGAAAGCTGCATTCTTGGAGCTTTGTAGGGTTCTCAGCTTCAAAGAACAACACAACACCAGTAAAGCAGGGGTGTCCCTGGAGTGTAGCTTAGTGGTAGAGCTCTTGCCAAACGTGTGTCTGCTCTGGGTTCAGTCCCTAACCACACTGTGCAGGCGCATGTGCACGAACACACACACACACACACACACACACACACACACACACACACACACTTTCTTCCCTCAATTTGTGTTTGGCATGAAAGGATCAGACCTCAGCACTCCCTGTGTAAGGTGCTGGTGAGCTGTCCGAGCCCCAGTGCCAATGCTCACCTGTCACCACACGGGGGCCCAGTGGTTGGCATCTGTATCTCATCAGCTGCCTGTGTCTAAGACAGCCAGTTCTACAGCATTGTCCTGTACCTAGGGTCTGAGACAGCTGTGTAAAGTTCATAACAAGAGGGGAAATGGTGCCGAGTTGTCTCAGCACCCGTGTTTCCATGTTCACTTACAGGTCTGGGAATCGTGGCAGATTAGGATGCATGTGAGTGGGCTAATGATGGTTATGACCGTAGCCGGGAGGTGGTGCACAGACTGGAACAGTACACTCTGCTCTAATAAAAGCCTGGTCAATGCCAAGTGTAGTGGCAGAAAAGGATTACTCTCCTATAAACACATCCCCAGATCACATCAGTTATTTTTTTTCCTAACTTGATTTTGGTGCTGAATCATAAGTAATTCATGCTTTGATGACCTTTTCTTTCCTACCCCATCCCAGCATAGCCTGTTTCCCTTCAATCTAGTTGTTTTGTACATGTATTGTTATGTGTCTTTGTTTATTCTTCCTACTTCCCTCCCCCCAAATTGCCTATTGGTCTACTTTGGTTTTTTAAAAAAAACCTGCCTAATTTATTGAAGCCATATGGAACTTACGAGCATTTTAATATACTGGTAACATGGTTCAACTTTTTGTTTATAAAATGCACAAACATTTTAAAATGTTCAGTTCAGTGCCAGTTAGTACCTTCCATTAGGAAGGTTGTGTAATCATCCAGTTTAATGAATCTTATCTTCATCAGCCCCAAGGAAAACCTATATCCATTAAGCAATGGCGCCTTCTGAATGAGATTCTAAACCATTGCTTCCTTGATTGGTTGTTTGGATTATCACTTGGTACAGAATCCGGAGATGTTTCCTTGTATAAGGAAGTCTATTGCTTCCTGCCTGCCTGTAGGCCTTCCATGCACTCCCTGAGCATTCTCTCTACCCTGTTTGCCATTTTCTTGTAATGCCGGTCCTTCACTCCGCTCTCTGGGAGGCTCAATCAGCTCTCCTCTTGTTTGTCACTGGAACCAGGGGAGGGGAGGGCTTGTCACAGCTACTGGAGACCCTGGAGGCTCTGCATGGCCACCCTTCTGTCCTGAGAGCCCACCTAAATGGCCCTGTGACCTCTCCTCCGACCCCTCCCCGCCCTGGGAGGCTCCTGTTTGGGGTGGGGAGAGGCTCTGAAGGTGATCTGAAAGCCAGCCCTGGTGTCCGTTCCCTTCCTCCGCGGCCGCAGGCGAGCCCAGGCACGGCTCTGCCCGCCTGTTGCTCCCTGAACCTCCGGCCAGCCTCTCCAGCACATCCCCGCGAATCGATCCTCAGTTGGGGACCAGAGGCCCAGAAACGCCGGAGGGGAAGGGGGAGGCGAAGGGCGTTGGGGCTTCTACTTTTTTTTTTCCTGGGGTGAGCTCGCGTCCCTATCCCGTTGGCCTCCCCTACCAGCCGGGAGCTGGGCCGGGCTCCCTGCGGTCCGACCTGCCCCCGGCCCGCGTCCTCGGGAACCCGGGAGGGCAGCCACGTTTCCACGCCGCGCCAACGGCGTCGGGACCACCCGCAGCCCCTCCCTCGCCCCTCCCCGGCCCGTCCAGGGGCTCAACTCCCCCCCTCCCCAGCCCAGTCTTCCTGCCCTCCCCTCCCCGTCCCCCTCCATCTCGGGCTCACCTCTCCCCGTTACCCCCCTCGCACCTATCCCGCCCCCCTCCCCACCGGCAGCCCCTCCCTCGCCCCTCCCCGGCCCGTCCAGGGGCTCAACTCCCCCCTCCCCAGCCCAGTCTTCCTGCCCCCCCCCCCGTCCCCCTCCATCTCGGACTCTCCCCGTTACCCCCTCGCACCTATCCCGTCCCCCCTCCCCACACCCCCGTCCCCACCCGCGCTTTTCGGGGGGGCTCCCTCCCCATCCTCCCCCCATCCCGGTCCCCCCACCCCGCCTCGCCCCGCCCCTACCTCTGCCCAGCGCCGCTGCGGGCGGTGACAGCCGGGGGAGGGCGGGGGCGCGGAGGGCGGGATTGAGGGGCGGTGCGGGGCGGTGCGGAGCGGGGTCGGCGCGCAGCCCGAGTCGCGGGAGCGTCGCGGGCCGGGCATGGGCTGAGACGCGGCCGCCCGCGGGGATGCCCGGCGCCGCGCGGCCGAGCCCGGGATGCGGCTGCTGGGGACCCGGCGCCGCCGCCGGCGAGGGGAGGCCGGGCCTCGGCGGGGTCTGAGCCGCCGGCTAGCGCGCCCCGCACCCAGGGGCGTCCCGGTCCCCGGGGCCCCGCCATTGCCCCCCCTTTCCTCCGGGGACCCCGGCGGGGGGCTTGTCCCCGAAGTCCTCGCTCGCGCCCCTCGGGGGGCTATGCCCGAGCTTGGGGGCGCTGTGACGCCCGGCCGCCCACCCCAGCCCCAGCCCCAGCCCGGGCGGCGCGCTCGCTGAAGCCGCGGAGGGGCGATGGGCGGGACGCAGGTCAAATGGTGAGCTCGGGGCGCGCGGGGGGCTCGGGGCGCGCGGGGGCCGGGGGGCCGGGGCGGGGGGGGGGCGCGGCACGCCGGGGAGAACGGGCTGCGGCCGGCCCCGCATCCGCGCTGGAAAATGCGGGGTTTTCGGAGCCAGCTGTAGGGGAAGGAGAGGCCCCCTCGCCCTGCCTCGGCACCGGATGGGATTTGCGGGGTGGGGTGGGGTGTCGCTTGCTTGGTAAATTGGGGTCGGAGAGCCATTAGATCTGTGGGAATTCAGCAGCGTCACCCCGGCCTGGGACCTCGGACAGGGTTAGGGTGTCGAAGTGGGCGACTGTTTGTGGACGAAATGGGACTCCTAAGCTCATCCGCGGGAGCCCGCGCCCTAAGATTAACTCGCGTGGAGATGCGCTTCTCCGGCCTGGGGCAGAGGACGCCACGTCCGGCCAGCAGGTACCCGGGGCTGTACCCCAGGGCTCTCCTCCCTGGAGCCCTCGGGCAGGCCACGTCTACTTCCCTGGCCTTACCTCTCTCTCTCTCTGTCTCTCTGTCTGTCTGTCTCTCTCTCTGGCCTCACCCGGGCAGCCTCCATTCAAGAAAGGAAAATGTTGTTTTCCTCTGGCGGCTCTGCCACTCCCCCATCGGGGCTGGGTACCCTGACTCCCGCCCCTTTCTGCCCTTGTATGGGAGACAGCCCTCCTCGGAGGAAGGAGGTGGAGCCGAGCATGCGTCCGTGCTTTTAGGAAAGCAGTTTTCCAGCACCCTAGATTGGCACACACACATTCCCCCCCCCCCCTCCGCCCCCCTTTGTCTGGCACCTACCTCCAGCGGTCCAGTCGAGTGCCGGCAGTGGAACCTGTAGTTCTCAGCACCTTGTCAGTTGAGAACGGCGTGTCTTCTTCTGCAAAGAGGAACAGCTGGTGTAGGCTTCTTCCTGCACCTGGATCCCATTTCAAACGTAAATGCTGAGCCTGAACAGTCACACATCTGTCTATTCTCTTTAAAAGGGCATGGGACCTTTAGCCCAGAGTTCTTCCAGCAGAGTTGGCTTGCAAGTCAGATTTCCTAAGCAGCGAGCGTTGGATGAAAAAGAGTTCTCATTTCAGAATACCATTTCCTAGTGACCCTCACCTCTTTGCCTACTTGAGTTGTAGATCGATCTAGACATGATAAAGCAACTTTAGTTCAAAATAGCCCAAACTTGACATTTTTCCCCCCTGTAGTTTCAAGAGGGATGAGAAGGTAATATGGATTGAGATCATTCCTAACAGAGCTCTTCCACTGTGGACTTTGAGCAGAAGGAGACACTAGTCCTCCGGTTTTGAAATCTCTGGCTCTTGTTTTTCACTTGTTTCTAGAAGATGAAACTTTCCTGCTCCTGGTTTTGAGGACTAGCCTGGGAGACTTTAGGGGCACATTAAGTGGGTCAGTGACTCCTAGACACTTTGTTGTCTGGGTGATGGATTTGGAAAGAATTCCTAAGAGGGGGCTGAGCCTGCAGCCCTGCAGCCCCTGAGATTGTTTGAGTGCCCATGTTCTCAAGGTGCAGTGCAAAGAGAAACAGCTCTTCAGATTCCCTTTCCCCAATAGCTGAAGCACTAGTCCCACGCTCCTATCTTGTCTTGTCCATTTGCTGCTGTTCTGGGGATGTAAAGCCTGCTCCCCTGAAGATCTGGTCTGTTCCTCCCAAGGCTGACAGTTACAATAGAACTTAAGACTTTTTCACAGCTTTCTGAGGGAAATTTGAAACCACTTTGTCAGAAATATAAATACTTCTTTGGTGAGAGTAAATCAAGAAAACTTTTTTTAAACCACTCCGACATGTATTTCTCCTTTTGACTTACTACCCTTCTTACCATGTTCCAACTTAATTGTGGATAAGTCACTCCAAATCTTGCAATAGTGTATACTCTCCTGCAATTACTACCCCCAAATACCTTCTATGCAGTCCACTCCTGTGGGGTCAGTCTACATCTGATCTATGATTGCTCTACTGGTGGTGTTTGCGAGATCACCGTTTTGGAAATGCCATTTCCTTCCAGCTACTAAGATATATACTGCACGGTGGTGGTAGAGGTAAAAAACAGCTAGCTCTCATGGCTCATGCCTTGTAATCCTAGCTACTCAGGAGGCTGAGATCTGAGGATCAGGACTGGAAGCCAACCCTTGAGACTCATCTCCAATAAACTACCAAAAAACCTGAAGTGGAGCTGTGGCTCAAGGACATTGCCCAGGCAGGCCCTGAGGTCAAGCTCCAGGACCAGCACCAAAAAAAATCCCAAAACTGAACCCCCCCCCAAACAAAAAACTACCACCACCACCACCAACCAAAGTCCAAACAAAACTGAAAAGTTAAAAAAAAAAGTCAGATTGCCTGTCCTGATAATTTGTCAGTTAGTTATGCTTAACAGCAGCCTCGTTGTAGAATAGACTATGTAGGACTAGGTTGTTCATTCAATCAATGTACATTTCATTCATTCAACAAAGTTGTCTTCAACGAATATTCGTTTTTACTATGGGGTAGGTATGTTAGGCATTCAGAGTAAGAAAAATAAGAAAGTCTCTGGGATAAATTTTGAAGTTTGGCTTCTAGACAACTGTTCATAATCATTGTTGCTCTTTTTTTTTTTTCTTTGACCACAGCCTGACTTCACCCAGTCCAATTCACAGTGCGAAGAGTGAATCCATTATAACCCAGGCGGAGGAGAAGGCAGAGTTTGTGATCATTCCCTCTGAAGGAATAGAGAACAGAACAGGTACTGTCTGTCTGCTGCCTGGGCTGGCTTAAGGAAAGGCCTCAGCTTTTGGAAAGTTGGGAGGTCTTGACAACCTACCTGCCTGTCTAAGCTTCCTGGTTTTGTGACCAAGCCAGATACTGGTGGTTTACAACTATAATCTTAGTTATTCAGGGGCTGAGATTGGAAAATCTCAGTTTGACCAGTCTAGGCTGACAAGTCAGTGAAACTCTTTATTTACAATTAACTAGCAGAAAGCCAGAACTAAAGATATGGGTCAAATGGTAGAGTGCCACCTGAAATGAAAAAATCTGAGCAAGAATGTGAGGCCCTGAGTTCAAGCCCCAGTACTGGCCACAGACAAACACCAAAATGACTCTTCTATCCATGTAGACAAGGATTTTGTGTAGCTTGCTGCTTGTGAATTAGGAAATGATATTGGGACAGATGTCTCAATGCCTTAGTTGAGTAAACAATTTTTTATTATTCTGATCTTACAATAATAATTTTGGCATTTTCCTACTTTAAATTGGGCTGGGAATATGTAGTATGAACCAAGATGCTGTAAGAATGTTCAGCAGAGCACAGGTCTACGTGGGGCTAGGGATGAGGGACACAGAAAGGACTACAAAGAGGTTCTTTTGTTTAGACTTTTTGGTCTGTCTCACTTGTTTTACTTTTTCTCTTCTTTAAACATGAACTATGAAAGAAGCAAAGCACAAGAGTTAGACTGAGGGGCTGGGAAGCTGGCTCAGTGGTAGAGCACTTGCCTTGCATGCATGAGGCCCTGGGTTTGATTCCTCAGCACCACATAAGCAAAAAGAAAAAAGCCGGAAGTGGTGCTGTGGCTCAAGTGGTAGAGCGCTAGCCTTGAGCTGAAGAGCTGAGGGACAGCGCCCAGGCCCAGAGTTCAGGCCCCACGACCGGACCCAAAAAAAAAGAGTTAGACTGAATTTCATTCACCCATAAAGATTGTCATGAAACCAAAGCCCTAGGAAGAAAAACTAGAATTCAGTTCTTCTAAAACTCTGCTTTGACTCAGCCCTGGCATTAGTACCAAAGAAACTCCTAGAGCCTTGGGGGGACGTGGAGGGAAGGAGAATATTTATTGAGTACTTTTTCTGGGGTAGGTACCACCAAGCCCAACACATAAGTTACTTTTTTGAATCTTTACTACAACCTAGAGGAATTACTACATTCCTCTTTCTTTTCTTTTCTGTTCTTTTTCTTTTCTTTTTTTTTTTTGGGTCCAGTCGTGGGGCCTGAACTCTGGGCCTGGGCGCTGTCCCTCAGCTCTTCAGCTCAAGGCTAGTGCTCTACCACTTGAGCCACAGCGCCACTTCCGGCTTTTTTCTTTTTGCTTATGTGGTACTGAGGAATCGAACCCAGGGCCTCATGCATGCAAGGCAAGCACTCTACCACTGAGCCACCTTCCCAGCCCTACATTCCTCTTAAGAGTAAAAATAACTTCTGTATTCCATAATGAGTTTTAAATGACTATGCATATAATTAGGATAAAATGGATGAGGACACCAGAGTGAGCCAAGAGGTCTTAAAAGTAGGGAAATAAGACTGGGTGTCAGTGGCTTATACCTATATTCCTAGCTACTCAGGAAGCTGAGATCTGAGGATCTCGGCTCAAAGCCAGCCTGGGCAGGAAAGTCTAAGAAACTCCAATTAGCCGCAAAAACATTGGAAGTGGAGCTGGGGCTCAAGTGGTTGAGCACTAGCTTTGAGCACAAAAGCTCAAGGACAGCTCCCAGTCCCAGAGTTCAAGCTCCCTGACTGGCAGAAACAAAAACAAACTAAAGTAGTGAAATAAAACAAAACCCACTAACAGTACTAAATATTTTACTATTACTAGTATAACAGTTTAGTATTAACGGTACTAAATAGCTTTACTAGTTAGGTTCCAGTATGGCTCACAGTTATGTCGAAGAGGCTCCAGTTATATGCAAAGAAGTCAAAGAAATATTGAAGAATGGTCTTGAATTGAATGCTCCAAATCAACAGGAATTTTATTTTACTTTATTTTATTTTGTTACATCTGACAGCCCCTCTCTTTGCTCCTGGTAACATTAGTCTCTGGGAGTTCTAGGCAATTAAGCGTAGAACCTCTTCACAAGGGTCCTGAGGTAACTGTCCCTCAGCCTGAGTGATGCCTTCTGGACTGGGTGTTAACAGCCAGTTCTTCATGCTTTGCAACCCCACCTGGTGGTGAGTTTGGTTCGTTTGTGCAGAAAGGTTCAGAAGGCAGGTGACCTGAACCTGTAAAGTACTCTGAATGCTTTGGGCCGGCAAATCAGTTTTCTCCAACATGGACTACCCTCCCTCCTTTCATTTTGTAGAGGAGACGGGCTCTCCCTTATGCCGAGACTGGCAGCCAGGGAGCCCTGCTGCCTATCTGGAAACCTCATGGGAAGAACAGCTGTTGGAACAACAAGAGCATTTGGAGAAAGAAATGGAGGAAGCAAAGAAAATGATATCAGGACTACAGGTAGCTCTTTCGCTTGCCATTTGTCCTGGGTGTACCAGCTGATTATTGTTTTTGCCGCTCATGCCAGCTGGAAAAGACCAGATTTTAGTTGTTTATGAAGTCAGAGTTGAAGGAGGGGGATGGGCAGTTTATATTTCTAGAGGAGAAAAAAATTCCTTCTGTGTGAGGGCTTTAAATGGACTTGTGGACTGTTTGCCCTAGTGCGGCTGTTAGGATTTCTGCAAGCTGCGGAGCCATTATGGACCCCTCACCAGCCCTTATTCTAACTCTGCCGCACAGGTGGGTTTCTCTTTTATGCGACTACAGACCTGCAATTGCAGCTTTCAGCAAAGAATGGCACAGTGCATGCCCAGGAATTTTCTTCCGGGCATTCTGCGGTAGGAAAGGTGGAGGAGCCAGCCATGCTGCCAGGCTTCCACTCGAGTGTAGCCACAGGTTTTGGCTCACTCCTGGGCCTTGGTAAGTGGATGCCAGGGTATGAGGATCAGGTAGAAGAGGCTCTCCTGAGCAACAAAGCCCTTCAGTGTTTCCTATACCTGCAGTGTCAGCTCAGCAAATGTCCCCCAGAGACTGGCTGACCCACTTGACATACTGTCCACCCCTAATGCCCCCGGCAATCCTGGGCCTTTGTGCCACCGTCTGCATTTGGTGGGAGTTCTTGTCGTGTGCTGATGACCCTGGAATTGCCCAGGCGTATTCCTTTCTGTTTGTGCTGGGAACTGCACTGCTTTCTGAATTGTGAAATATTTATGGACACGTAAACAAAGCCCACATTATGTGTGTGGCTCTGGCAGCCGGCAGGCAATGGAGGGCGTGCTCCTAGCCAGCTAGCCACAGGGTGGGGACACAAAGAATTTCCAAAGGAAAAGGGGAGGGAGGAAAGATTGGTAGTAAAACAATTTGCATAATGTATGCCCAGGAACCAAGAGAGATTGGAGGAGTATATGCACTGCCTAACTAGTCCCAATGAAATTTGTTGGTTTCTGCAACATTTGCTCCATATTTTTAAGATCTCTGGCTTGAGAGGCCTTGTGGATCATTTAAATGCCCTTCCTGCATAAGGAATACTTGAACAGATTTGTTGTTGTTCTTCTGTGCTTTATTGGGAAGTATTCCATGGAGAACATCTGGATTATACCCAAGTTTTCCTTGGGATAATTTGCATGATATAAACATGGATATCAGTCTGGCTTTAAGTTTGGTTTAAATTTCTCAGTCTGGGAGAAATTCTATAGCCAATTGCTTCTTGGCCTTTTGGCTGAGACCAAATGTAGAAGTTCCTTTGGCGATGAAAAAGATAAAGAAGAAAATTGACTGGGATGAAGTCAGCCTCTCAATATTCCCTGCAAACAGGCATTTTAATTCACAGCCACATGATCACAATGAGGATTCAGTTCCATTGTAGAAAACAAAAGGACTCACAGCATCCCTGGGCTTCTTAACTCTTTCTGCGATGAACAAATTGCATGCTAAGCCACATCCAGGCTTTCTGACCTATTAATATGCCTTAGTTAGAGCCTAACAATTTGCTACACTGTTGTGGTAATGGTGCTCTCCCTTAGCTCTCTGTAAACCTGTAGCTTCTTATGCATAATCTAACCCTCTTGCCTGGACTCCTAGGATAACCAAATTCATTTGACTTACTAAAATTTTCTTATTCATGTCTAGCACATCAACCACTGCTAGGATTTGAAAACATTATCAACAGTGATGAATTTGTTTCACCTCTGGTTATATCCTATTTATAATTCAATTGAGACAGAAATGTGGTGTAAAATAGGCATGCATTTTCAGTCCTTCACAGAGCTGATTTATCTCATAATACTTATCTACAGGGGTAACACAGAAGTTTATGATTGTCTTTAGGAATAGAATAGCCTGTGTGAGGTATTGGAAGAGGCCGTGTACACAGGTGCATAAAGCTGGAGCTTCCTTAGCTTTGGGGCAAATCTACCTGGTTCCTGCTTGCTAGTATTCTAATGAAAACAGCCTGGCTTTGGGATGAATGACATCCCTGCACTGGTGTTTTCCTCCTCCTTCCGTACAGATTGTCTTAGAGAATAAAAGCACACCATTTCTCAAACAAGCAAACAAAAATGGAACACTCCCAAGGCAATGCTTTCAATGGATTTCAAGCAATTCATTGCAATATCTTTTTTAAAGCCAAGATATTTCTCAGCTGCTTTTAGATCCCTTCCCAGATGGTAAAATTGAGTTTGAGCCGCTCCAGTTTAAAATGGGTTCTGTCATTTCTGAAAGGAAGGTCTGTTTTTGTGTTTTCTCTGGTGCCAAGGAGTTTAGAACAGAGGGATCGTGTATGTACTAGGAGATGAAAAAGCCCTAGAGGGCTGTAAATGTGCTTTAGTGGTAGAATACTTGCCTAGCATGCATGAAGCCCTGGGGATTGATTCCTCAGTACTACAACAGAAAAATCTGCAAATGGTGCTGTGGCTCTAGTGGTAGAGTGCTAGCCTTGAGCAAAAGAAGCTCAGGGACACTGCCCAGGCCCTGAGTTCAAGTTCCAGGACTTGCAAAAAAAAAAAGACCTAGAGCATGGGTCTAACCCAGGAACTGGATCTCAAAGGTGCCATTGGAAGTAGCCAGGGTAAAAAATAACCAAGGCTTCTAGAAAGCCATGTTTGGGGTAGATTTGCCAAGTACAGCTCTGGACTGAGTCATCTGGTGGGGAGTTCATTTTCTTTCTGTCTTTGTGGTTATTCAGGCCTTACTGCTCAATGGATCCTTACCCGAAGATGAACAGGAGAGGCCATTGGCGCTTTGTGAGCCAGGAGTCAATCCAGAGGAGCAGCTGGTGAGCTCTTATCTTTTGTGACTGGACACTGAATCTGGCTTATGCATTTGAACTTTCCATTCGTTTCCCCTGTATTCTCACTGGCCTTTAATGATCTGGCTCTTAGTTCCCTTTCCAACTTTATCACTTGCTTTTTCTTCGTTACCCCATCTCTGCTCCCAACACATATGTCCTTGTTCTGACTTTTATCTATGTTGCTTTACTTGCTTCACCTTGTGCATACGCTTCCAGCAGAGGACAGGAACCTCTTTTCTGTTCTTTATGGCACCAGAACACAGCTGACATCTAGTTTGTGCACAATAAATTCTTGTTGTTTAAGTGCATAACCATCTCTTTTTGTGTTGTATCCAGATTATAATCCAGAGCCGTTTGGATCAGAGTATGGAGGAGAATCAGGATCTAAAGGTATGTCAAGACATATACATCTTGGGACTGTGGGACTCTTATACATCATGTTCAGGGTAGTTCTGGGTGGGGGGAAGGGTGCACAACCATGATTGTCTGTATCTGCATCTATCATTGTCTGTGTCTGTCTTTCATTGGGAGAGAGAGAAAGAGAAAGAGAGAGAGACACCCAAAAGATGTCATAAAGTTAAACCTTTTCATTCTTAAAAACCTCAGGGTAATAGATACCTATGCCATTATTAGTTGTGCCTACATATATGTTTGAAAATTTTCTAGAGTTTTCTTTTTTTTTGCATTTCTTTTTTTTTATTGTGAAAATACCGTATAGAGGGGTTACAATTACATGGGCAAGGTAATGTGTGCATTTCTTATCAAGCATTGTTGGCTCCTTCTTTGTTTCCCCTTACCATCCCTCCCTGCCTACCCTGCACCAAAGTTGTAAAGTTTATTTTCGACATAACATCTTGTACATCTCATTGTTTCAATGGGTCCACCTGTATCCCTATTTAAACAATTGGTTTTTTCCCTTTCCCAACATCAAATACAGTGAAAACAGGGGTTATACCGTGGGGGAGGGGAGCTTTCTTTTTTTTTAATTAAAAAGAATGGATTGGGTATTGGTAAAGTGTTTTTATATGTAGTTCCAAGAATTCTTTTGGATTGGTGTTTTTTAATCTTTAGAAATTATTTGGCATCATTAGTACATGACTAAAGCCATTAACAGAGAAGTATGCATGTGTGCATATACATGAACGCAGACTTGAATTTTTAAAAAAAATCACTAATTTTTTTCCTTTTCTTTTTTTTCATGGGGCTTGAACTCTGGGTCTGGGTACTATCCCTCAGCTCTTCAGCTCAAGGCTAGAGCTCTACCACTTGAGCCACAGTGCCACTTCCAGTTTTCTGGTGGTTTATTGGAGATAAAGAGTTTCATATAGTTTCTTGCCTGAGCTGGCTTTGAACCACAATCCTCAGATCTCAGCCTCCTGAGTAGCTAGGATTATAGGTGGCATGAGCCACTGGTGCCTGGCTTAAATTTCACTAATTTATGTAATCAAATCCATGTAAAACCTTACAAATTTAGTATAATGTGTTACCCCGTAGAAATGGCAACACATTAAGTTAAACATTTTCTAGATAATATGGCTATTAATTTCTATGCATTGCTAATTCCATGTGGTAACCCGAGACACTTTTTTCCTAAAGTTCAAATTATGTAATGTACACATACGTGCATAGTTAGATACAAAGATCATAGAGCAGTATTAGCATCAATAGAGCAGCAGTTTTCCCAAGTTGTGCTGCCAGCCAAACACAATTATTGAGTTATCAAGCACACTGCACTTAAAGAAGAAAAGGCAAAAATTTAAACCTCAAAACACAACAAAGTCTGAATTTTGTAAAAGCCTGAGTTTTATTTTCCAGTTTAATGGAAGCTTTTTATGTTTTTTTCTTTCTCATTTTGGTGGTACTGGGTTTTGAACTCAGGGCCTTGTATCTGGCACTTGCTAAGATTAGAGCCCGTCTGTGTAGCCCAGGTTAAGAATCCCACTGGAAATACATTGGTCATAAATTGTTCATTCAATAAAGTAGGAAGAGAGCAGATCCTAGCGGAGGATCACAATACCTATGTACATATGAGGATCACAATACCTATGTACATATGAGGATCACAATACCTATGTACATATGACCATATAAAATGATGATAATCGAAATGAACTCCAAAAAGGGAAAAAAAGAGGAAAAGAGCAGAGCAATCACACACACACACACACACACACACACACACACACACACACACACACACACACACATATGTACAGTCTATGGAAATGGAAGGCTGAGCATGTAGTTTTCATTATTTGACCTTAATTGTTTTATTTTTTTGTGGTACTGGGGTTTGAACTCAGGGTCTTGAACTTGCTAGGTTGGCGCTCTACTATTTGGGTCACACCTCACCTCTGGTTCTGCTTTGCTAGTTATTTTTAGAGATGGAATCCAGCAAACTTTTCTGCCATGGCTGGCCTCAAACAGTGATCCTCTGGAACCCAACCTTCTGAGTGGATTAAAGTCATAAGTCACTAGTGCCTGGCTGAGTGAATGTGTTTTGATTTGGTCCACAATGAGCAATAATCTTTTGGAGAATCACTCCAACCCTTTGCTGAACATTAAAACTGCTATAATTGCTTAATGACATTGGGGACAGGCATATTCTAATATGATCATGTATTGCAGTGGGAGAAATTTAGATGATTGTGATTAGGTGTTCCTGTGTGTGAAGAGACGTTGGGGATGTTTGGGTTGTGTTCTTTCTCTGTGAGACTCTTCTTGACCTGGGAAGTTCAGTTGTACTGCAGAGAAGACTGGAATGGGTTCTGTTCTTCTTTCTGCGGGTCGGCCTCTGCTGCTGAGTGGCCCACATCTGCTTTCTGCTACAATAGAGGGTTCATCTGTGATGGAATGATAACTGGGTTTTGTGTTCTCGCCGACGGAATGAGGTAATGCCTGTGAAGCAACCCAGATGCCACCCTCTGATCTAACTATATTTGGTTTGCAGAAAGAACTGCTGAAATGTAAACAAGAAGCCAGAAATTTACAGGGGATAAAGGTAACAAAGGAAGCCATTTTGTTCTCTAAATAAAGTCTCTGTTGGGTGGTGGTTAACATCTGGGTACGAGGAGGGACAGTTGAGATTTGCTGGGGTTCCTGAGCAGGTTGGCTGCTTTGGGGGAAAGAAAGGGCTTTGTGGTGGGAAGTGAGACACATGGAAGAATCCGTCCTTGTTTTGCTGAGGCGAGTTTCTGGTAGCTGTGACTCATGGTACTCCTCAACTGTGTCTGTGTGTAAAGTACTCTGTCCGGGTACCTCACTTAGAAATAAAGGTCCTTAAAAAAAGAGAAAACATTCCACTTTACTTAGTCTTGGGATAGTTAATAACATTCAAGAGGTGTAAAGGCACCGAGAGGATAGCTGCAAAAGTTTACCTGCCATTCTGGCCTCCAGGTGTCTAGTTGCCTTTCCTGGAGGCAACTTCAGCAAAAGGGATGTGTGTAATTTCGCTGACATATTCACTTAGCAGTGTGTTCAGAGATCATCCTATTTCAGTAAACACTTTCCTACTTCTTTATAACTATAGAATGTTATAGTATGTGTATAGATTATATTTAATCAGTCTCCTATTGGTGAATTTTTAGGTTATTTCCATTTTTTATTTTGCTAATAGAAGCAATGATTTAGGTATATATTCAGTGCTGAATATATGTTAATGTTACCCAAGCAGTATTACATTGGCTAAATAGATTCTTCTTAGGTGCCTGCTATTTCTGTTTTTCCTGTATACCTGCCCATGGGCTAGCTTAGAGTATAACTCAACAGCATCTACTAAAGCGCATTCTGTAGCCTTAGTATATATGAAGCATTTCAAACAGCAAATGTGCTCCACGGTCAAGTAAGTTTGAGAAATGCCCTATGGGTTTGAAGAGTTACAGAGAATAACAGCATACTAAAGAATCTAAGAAGGTCTATTATGAAGAGGTTTTGCCTGACAGAATCTGCAATTATTAACCACAGAATCATCTTTTCTTCCACGTAAATCATTAACATCCCATGGAGCACACCTTGGAAATGTTCTAAACTACTGATGCCAGGGGCCTCGTAGACTGCCTTTGCAATGTTCTGTTTTGGCAGACCAGCACAATTAAAAATGGGCTTCTTCCTGGTTTTGGTGCTGTTATACATTGCAAATCCCTGTACTTGGAGGATAGGAGGATCGGCAACTTGGAGATCAGTTTGGGCTATGTAGTGAAACCTTGTCCAGAAAAAAAAGAAAATGAAAGAAATAGAGAGAGAGAAAGACACACAGAGAGAGAGAGAGAGAGAGTCTTTACACTCTCCAGAGAGAGTCTGCTCTGTTTCTTTGTGATCTTCAAAGAGAAAAAAGTTGAAGTCAGGATAAATATCCTGGACTACAGCGCCAGTCCATTAGTTCTATTCTAAGTCACCATGGGTGAAGGAGTGTGTTAGAGCTGACTCTTACAAGTGAGTATATCCAGACACTTGTCTGAAGCATGGTATGAGTAGTGAAGCTCTAAATTGAGGAAAAGATAGCCTAAAGCTGCTTAGATCCTATAAAATTGAGACGAGAACCATCAGTCCAAGAGCAGTTCTAAGCAGTGGAGGTATATTTCCCATCTTGAGTACACTAAGTCTTGGAAGCCAGTGGCAGCAGGACAGTAATAAGGCTCTGAAAGCCAGAGGGGTGGGGGCATGATTCCAGTCATTCTTTTTGAACAGGGACGGGGCCGTCCCCTAGGAAATGGGATGGGGAAGAGAGATAGGAGGAAAAGCAGCTAAAGCCAGATGGAGGTTTTCTGTTGTTGTTGTTGGTGGGGCTTGAACTTGGGGCCTGGCTGCTGTCCTTGAGCTCTTTTGCTCAAGGCTAGTACTTTACCACTTTGAGCCACAGCACCTCTTCCAGTTTTCTAGTGGTTAATTGGAGATAAGAGTTTCAGGGACTTTCCTGCCCAGGTTGGCTTTGAACTGTGATCCTCTAGATTCTAGCCTCTTGAGCAGCTAGGATTACAGGCATGAGTCACTAGTGCCTGGTGCGAGATGGAGTATTTATCCACCCAACACATAGATGAGAAAACCAAAGTGTGATGAGGGGAGCATACTGCCCAGAATTAGTGTCATGAAAGTATAACTTAAATCTATGTCTGTGTGATTCCAAAAGCCACTTTTTCTGTCTACGACCCCCTGCTATCAGTAATGTCTGTAGTGTAAGGATGAGTGGTAGACAGAGGAAAAACCAGATGCCACCCAGCTTGGGATTTGGCTTTAGATGCTAGTGTCCTGCAAGAGGACAGAAAAACCGTGGCTCAACAGTATGTGGCAAGATCCTTATAGTCCTTTTGTCTCCCGGTTTAGTAGAATTAATACTGCATATACAGTAATTGGTTCAAGAAGTATTAGTAATAGCTGAGTGATTGATAGAGACCACAACAGCTACTGTGCTCTTCTCCCCCAGGATGCCTTGCAGCAGAGATTGGCTCAGCAGGACACATCTGTTCTTCAGCTCAAACAAGAACTCCTGAGGGCAAATATGGACAGAGATGAGCTGCAGAACCAGAATGTGAGTTAAATGTGGGAACTCCATGAGCCCCATAAGCTGAGAGAACATGAAGACGCGCTCTCCCATCAGCCACCTCACTCACCTTGCTCTGGGCATGCCTGTCTTGAGTGTCTGTAGTGACTTTGATTTCCCATCAGACTAATCTCTGTTTCTATGTGAGAGCTACACCTTCTTCAGGTGTGCTTTGAGGACTAAAGACATGGAGAGCAGTTATACTTTAAAAAAAAACAACCAAGCCGGGCGCTGGTGGCTCACGCCTGTAATCCTAGCTACTCAGGAGGCTGAGATCTGAGGATCACGGTTCAAAGCCAGCCCGGGCAGGAGAGACCATGAGACTCCTATCTCCAATAAACCACCAGAAAACCGGAAGTGGCGCTGTAGCTCAAGTGGTAGAGCGCTCGCCTTGAGCTGAAGAGCTGAGGGACAGCGCCCAGGCCCAGAGTTCAAGCCCCACGACCGACAAAAAAAAAAAAAAAAACAACCAAAAACCAAAACCCATAGCCATGTCCCCTGTGTGATGTATACTGTAATTTCCAACATTAACTCTGGTTACCAGGTGACTGGTTTCCATAAGTGTTGGTATGTAATTCTTTCATACCACTGAGTTCTTCCTGATCCTTGCAGGTGGACCTCCAGAGGAAGCTAGACGAGAGGAACCGACTTTTAGGAGAATACAAAGTAAGAATGAATACTGGCTTGGAAATGGCTTCTACCTTTTATGAACAGCCCCATTTTGCTGTTGCTCAAAGATCGTTTACACATTCTACTCTGATCCAAACTTTCTGGAGGGAAGGCTTCTATGTCCTGTGATCCATAAGACGTGAAGAGTAGATAGCAGTTTGGAAAAAGAGCATACAAGTAAGGATCTAGAAACCTCAGTGACACACTTAGGTTTATGTCTAACTAGTATGGATGGCTCCTAGTGGCCCTCTTAGAAAGGGTAGTTTCCTTCCTTTTTTTTCTTTCTTTCTTTCTTTCTTTTCTTTCTTCCTCCTTCCTCTCTCCCTTCCTCCCTCCCTCCCTCCCTCCCTCCCTTCCTTCCTTCCTTCCTTCCTTCCTTCCTTCCTTCCTTCCTTCCTTCCTTCCTTCCTCTCTCTCTCTCTCTCTTTTCTTTGTCATGGGGCTTGAACTCAGGGCTTTCTTTTATCCCTGAGCTTTTCTGCTTAAGGCTAGTGCTCTACCACTTTGAGCCACAGCTCCACTTCCAGTTTTCTGGTGGTTAATTGGAGTCTCATGGACTTTCCTGCCCGAGCTTGGCTTCAAACTGCAGTCCTCAGATCTTAGGCTCCTGAGTAGCTAGCATTACAGGCATGAGCCACCAATGCCCATCCCTTTTTACCCTTTCAAGACTCTTTGCACTATATAAATGGAGTATGTGAAGTCTTCCTGGTATACTGCCCAGAAAGGCCTCCCCCGCTAAGGCTTTACTTTCCGTGGGTGGAAATTGCATGTCAGAGGATGAACTGTTCTGTGTCTCCATTTTGCCACATGTCTGTGTCTATTACAGAAAGAGCTAGGGCAGAAGGATCGCCTCCTTCAGCAGCACCAGGCCAAGTTGGAAGAAGCACTTCGGAAACTCTCGAATGCCAGTTACCAGCAGGTAAGAACACAGTCAGCCACTGACTTTCCTGCTCCTTTGATGAGGGAAAACAAAAACAAACAAACAAAAACCTTTTCTGATTTCATCTCTGTTTTTCAGGTGGATCTAGAACGGGAGCTAGAACACAAAGATGTCCTTCTGGCTCACTGTATGAAAAGAGAGCCAGATGAGGTACACTAGACCTTGGGTTTTCCTCCTCCTCACAGGGAGAGCTTCTGTTTCTTACCCAGAGCTGACACAAGGCCACAGGCCAACTTAGTGGGAGGTTTTTTGGTAAGAGGGTCAAGAGTTCAGGGTCTTAGATAAGAGAATTTTATTTCAAACTCCACTTTGCTGTATCTACATTGTGTGATCTTAAGTCACTTAGCTTCTGAGCCTTAGTAATGAGGCCAGCTGTTGGGTATTCCCCATGAATAGCTAAGCCGCAGAACTAACAGCATTGCAGTCAGGCTCGAGATATGTTAGTCATTCTTACTCTTTGGAATGACTAAGGCAGGGGCTGGGAAGTTGTTTCAGTGGTAGAGTGCTTGCTTTGCATACATGAGGCCCTGGGTTCGATTCCTCAGTATCACATAAGCAGAAAAAGCCAGAAGTGGTGCTGTGGCTCAAGTGGCAGAGTGCTAGCCTTGATCTAAAGAGCTGAGGGACAGTGCCCAGGCACAGAGTTCAGGCCCCACAACCAACAAAAATCTCATAAATGGAATGACTAAGGGAAGGGGAAGTGCTGGGACCTGCAAGTGGCTGTGGGAGAGGCAAGCCTGGCGGGGTGGGTGGGGGGGGGGGGGCCACAGGTCAAGGTTTCCATTCCATCCAATCCACATTCACAGTGCCTAAGTGTCTGGTGCAGCATTGACACAGCAGGAAAATGTATCTTCAATCAAGAAAGAGCAAAAGGAGGCTGGGAAGGTGGCTCAGTGGTAGAGTGCTCGCCTCGCATGCATGAGGCCCTGGGTTCGATTCCTCAGCACCACATAAGCAGAAAAAGCCACAAGTGGCATTGTGGCTCAAGTGGTAGAGCACTCGCCTTGAGCTGAAGAGCTGAGGGACAGCGCCCAGGCCCAGAGTTCAAGCCCTAGAACTGACAAAAAAAAAAAAAAAGCAAAAGGAAAAACATATCTTCACTCAAGAAGCTTTCAATAGAGGCATTCCATAAAGAAATAGTTAAATACTATGCCATGAAGTGTTGAACTAGAAGAAGAAAAATAAGAGGAGGAGGATGTCTTGGTTCAGAATTCTCCCTTTCACAAGCACCATTTTCTCTTGTTGCCCTAGGTGACCAGCTACAACAGCCACAACACTCAAAGCAATGGTTTTCTCCTTCCAGTGGCAGGGAAAGGAGCCTCCTCCATCGCCCACAGAGGGGTAGGTTCCTGGCATTTGCATGCAAGCCCGCTACTTCTAGCTGAAGCCAGAACAGTGTCTAGCACGGTACTGTAGCTATCACTAGTGGGCCAGGCTCTTTCATATTCTGGTCCTTTGCAAGCAATGGGTATGTAAAGAGGCGAGGCATTTCTATCCAAAATGAAGCATTCATAGGCAAACAGTGGACCTGTTTCTAAAGAAGAAAGTTGTCCTCCTTTATAAAATAAAGAGGATCTTACCTGGGAAGCCTTCCCCTTTAGTTCAGTGGTTGAAACATGGCTGATGGTACAGCACAGCTCTATGCCACCAGCACCGTAATCTTGCCCACAGACCAGTGACCTGCAGCTTGTCCGAGATGCTCTCTGGAGCCTGCGCAACAGCTTCAGTGGCCATGACCCTCAGCACCACACAATTGACAGCTTGGAGCAGGGCATCTCCAGCCTCATGGAACGCCTGCATGTCATGGAGATGCAGAAGAAACAAGAAAGAAAGGTAATGTCCTTGCTGTGTGACGTCTTGCTTCATTTTATGAATTTTAGTTCAGATGAAGGAAACGCTAAAAGATGTAAAACCCAGCTGAAGGTCACCATTCATTTTCTTCTTGGTGGAACTACCGTTCGTCACAGTATGATACTCCCGGGAAGGAATTCATGGGAACTTTTGATCTCAGCAGCTGTGTGGCTGCATAAACACTTGTGGCTCTTGACTCTGCAGAGTCTCTCTTTACTGTTTATTCCCCCCCACTTTACCCTGAATGAACTTGGCCTTGGATGAGAAGCTATATGGAAAATTCACTGGGAATGAAAAAGATTTGCATCAGTGTGTAAAACTATTTAACAAGTATGTTCAATTTATCTTATTAAATATATTCTGGAAGAAAAGTGATAGAAAAGTTTATATTTTGGGTTGGTGATTTATAAGTCTTAATTAAGTTCTTCCACTGATCTTAAGTTTTGTAATTTTTGTGTGGTCGCCCAGGTTCGTGTCAAATCACCCAGAACTCAAGCAGGTAATGAATACCGGGAGTCCTGGCCCCCTAATTCAAGTAAGTACTCATTATTATTCAGTAGGGACTCCTAGCAAATTAGACTAGAAATTTGGTACTTTTTTGTACTGCTAATACCTAAGGGGATAGAGTTTTTCTTCTATCACTTTAACAATTCTGGAGTTGTGTTCTGGGACAATGCGCACACATACCATCCTCACCATCATCATCAACCCAAAGGCCCCTTAAGTCACAGGCAGGATTTGCTGACTCGATGGGGCTAAGCTATCTGGAAAAAATGCAATTTAAACATTTATGCAGAACCAAGGAAATATAAAACAACATCTGTCCACACATACGTACACCCACATCATCTTACTCTTAAATAGCACACATGAAAAATTCCACTTTTTCTTACAGGCAAGAAGTTTAATTTCTTTGGGGATTTTCCTTGAAACTGGAGTGGTTAGGTCATTCAGTCTAAGGCCTGCAAAATAATTGCACCATCTAGTGGTCTGTTGGACTAAAATTGGAAATCTACTCTACCTGGCAATTTCTCTTTTAATTTATATCTCAGTTACTGGTTTAATGATCTTCACCCTTCCCTTCCTTCCTCCCTTCCTTCCTGCCTTCCTTCCTTTCTAGCTTTTTTTTTTTTTTATGGGGCTTGAACTCTGGGCCTGGGCACTGTCCCTCAGCTCTTTAGCTCAAGGCGAGCACTCTACCACTTGAGCTACAGCACCACTTCCGGTTTTCTAGTGGTTTATTGGAGATAGGAGTCTCACGGTCTCTCCTGCCCGGGCTGGCTTTGAACCGCGATCCTCAGATCTCAGCCTCCTGAGTAGCTAGGATTACAGGCGTGAGCCACCAGCGCTCGGCTTTTTTTTTTTTTTTTTTGTCCATCATGGGGCTTGATCTCTGGGCCTAGGAGCTGTCCCTCAGCTCTTCAGCTCAAGGTGCGCGCTCTACCACTTGAGCCATAGCGCCACTTACAGTTTTCTAGTGATTTATTGGAGATAAGAGTCTTATAGACTTTCATGCCCCAGGCTGGCTTTGAACCGAGATCCTCAGATTTCAGCCTCCTGAGTAGCTAGGATTACAGGGGTGAGCCACCGGCGCCTGGCCCTGATTTTCTGTGTTGCATATACAATTTTTAAAACCATATTTAAAAAGGGGAGGAGTGGGGAGATGGGAAGGGATGGGAAGGGAAAACAAAGGAGGAGACAACAATGCTTGATAAGAAATGTACTCATTACCTTGCCCATGTAATTATAACCCCTCTGTACAGTATTTTCACAATAAAAAAAGAAGAAAGAAAAAAAAAAGAACCTAGCCAGGTACAGTAGCTTCTGCCTATAATTCCAGCTAGTTGGGAGGCAGAGGACAGACTGGGCAACAAGTTAGCAAGATACCTATCTCAACAAATATACTAGGTACACATCTCTAATCCCAGATAGGAGGTGAGCTATGAAGACTGAACTCAGGGCTTTGTACTTGCCAGACACATCTTCTACCTGGTACCAAAAGAAAAAAACCAGCACAGTAATTTACTACTTCACACCTACTCGATGGTTCCAAAGAAACTGAAAACAAGAAGTTGTCAGTGCGGATAGAAAAAATGAAACCCTTATGTGTTGTTATGGGACTATAAAATGATGCAGTTGCTATGGAAACTGCCTGGCAGCTCCTCAAACATTGAAATACTGTACAAACCAGCAATTCCGCATCTAAGTAACATATCCCTATTGAAAACAGATTCTGGTAGGTGCAAAGAACATCCAGTTGTTCAGCTATAAAGAGGAACAGAGTTCTGCTGCATGTTAGAACATAGGTGAACTGTGAAAATGCTGTGTGAAGTGGAAGATGCCAGATACAAAGGTACACATAATATGAGATCCTGTTTATATGAAATTGATAGAGACACAAAGAAGAGTAGAGACACAAAGAAGAGTAGAGTTGCCAGGTGCCAGGATCATGAGGGACAAATAGGCAATGACTGTAATTGTAAAGATTTCCTTTGGGGATAATGACAATGTAGAACTAGACAGTGGTGATTATACACTTTAAAATTAATTAACTAAAGTTGGGCACTGGTGGCTCATGCCTCTAATCCTAGCTACTCAGGAGACTGAGATCTGAGGATTGTGGTTTGAAGCCAGCCCAGGCAGAAAAGTCTGTGAGACTCTTATCTCCAATAAATTACTCAGGAAAAGACAGAAGTTACACTGTGATTCTAGTGGTAGAGTGCTAACCTTGAGCAAAAGGAGCTCAGGGACAATGAATGCCCAGGCCCCAAGACCCTGAGTTCAAGCCCCAGAACTGGCACCACAAATTTTAAATTAACTACTATTTCCAAAGTACCTTTTTTTATGCTTTATTTATTTTATTTTATTTTATTTATTTTTTATTGTGAGAATACCATACAGAGGAGTTACAATTACATGGGCAAGATAATGAGTACATTTCTTATCAAGCATTATTGCCTCCTCTTTGTTTCCCCTTCCCATCCCTTCCCATACTCCCCCCACCTGATTCCCCCCCCCCCCCCCCCACCACCACCACCAAAGTTGTAAAGTTCGTTTTTGGACATAATGACTTGTACATCTCATTGTTGCAATGGATCCCAAAGTATCTTTTTAAGGAACAGAGTCAAATTAGGAACTTGACCACAACCCCAATTTTTAGTTCCTATGTTGCTCACAGTTCAGATAGGTTTTGTACTTTATGTAGACAGGAAGCAGAGGCCCCTTGGGTCTGAGTTTGTAAGATTGCTTCTGTGCTTTTGTACCCATTGCTTTTTCTTGCTTTCTTTCTTTTCTTTCTTTTTTTTTTGCCAGTCGTGGGGCCTGTACTCTAGGCCTGGGCACTGTCCCTCAGCTCTTCAGCTCAAGGCTAGTGCTCTACCACTTGAGCCACAGTGCCACTTCCGGCTTTTTTCTTTTTGCTTATGTGGTGCTGAGGAATTGAACCCAGGGCCTCAGGCATGCAAGGCAAGCACTCTACCACTGAGCCACCTTCCCAGCCCCCATTGCTTTTTCTTTGAGTATTCCTATTCCTGATCTCCAAAATCTAAATGTAGGCAGTTTGTGTATGTCTGTCCACCCCCTGAAATCCTGTCAGGTGTGATTCTCTGTCCTCTTTTGATCTTTAATGCCAGTGCCTGTCAAATCTCAGGCTGCTGGTCTTATTTCCTGTGCGTGAGAATTCATGGTCCTCATGATAATGTCCATGCCCAAAGCACTTCTTGTCCACGTGGTCCTTGTGGTGGCTTACTGCAGATCATGCCCTATGGACATGGGTTTAGCAAGAGGCAGAGCTGGGCTGTGACCTCAAGCTCTGTCTGATACAGCTGTGCTGTGACCTCAAGCAGCATAATTCCCCTAAGACATTGTGAGTTGCTGGAAAGGAGGAAACCAACTGTTCTAACTTGAGTGTCTCTGATTGCAGAGTTGCCTCACTCACAGAGCTCTCCAGCCATCAGCAGCATGTGCACTAAAGTGCTCTATTTCACCGACCGGTCACTTACACCCTTCATGGTCAATATACCAAAGAGGTGAGACACTGGGGATCATTATGGCAGAGCCACTAGTTACTGCCCAAATGTTTGTGTAGACTGAATAGCCCAAGAGGTTAAAGACTCCATTTCAGTTTTGCCCCCAACAGTGGCATCACAAAGGTCTGCTGTCAGGCTAGGAACAGTGGTACTTCCAGGCCTGAAAAGCATGCAGGGACACTCCAAGTTTGGAAAAAAATAGTTTTGTTTTGTTTTTTTGAGGAACAACTGGGCACTGTCCCTCAGCTCTTCAGCTCAAGGCTAGCGCTCTACCACTTGAGCCAGAGCGCCACTTCAGGCTTATTTCTTTTTGCTTATATGGTGCTGAGGAATCAAACCCAGGACCTCAGGCATGCAAGGCAAGCGCTGTACCACTGAGCCACCTTCCCAGCCCCTAGTTTTTAAGTGTTCAAAAGAGCTCCTGCTGATGGCCACAGATTGCAGCTTGATTTTCATTATTATTTGATAACTACAACTAATCCCTACCTAGAATTTCTTTTAAAAATTTCCTAAATGTCACTTCAGTTAATATATTTCTTCTGAAAGGAACTGATTTTCAAATAAAAACAATTTTTAAACTCTGAAATCAACCAATTACCGAGAGGTTATATAATTTCCTGTCTTTAAGCAGTCTACTTAATTAACTAGTCTGAATTCAAAGCCGGGTTTCTAATAGAGGAGAATAAAGATAATGATGCCTGGTTTGATTCTACTAGCTGAACAAAAGTGGACTTTTGAAACAAAGAGAATTTAGGCATGAGAATTTTTAGGCATATTTATGGTTGGTCAACAAAGTTCATTTCCAAGACCTTTTGTCTTGTTTCCAGCTAAAGACAGAAGAAAGTGATTGGGCTGTAGCTGAAGCAGTATTTTATGTTCTCAGATCACCTGATACATAATGCCATTTTCACTTCCTAGCTGTGACTGGTTCTCCTGCATCTGCTTTCATAGTTACCTTGGTTATCAAGGGCAGTGATCTAATGAGGCCACTGCTGGTTTTGCCTGTTGGTTTTGGCAGGGCACTGGGTTTATCTTTACAGCGTATTGATTAACAGTCTATTTTGGTACTCTCTTCTTTTGTGGCAGGTTGGGAGAGGTAACCCTGAAGGATTTTAAAGCAGCTATTGATCGTGAAGGGAATCACCGGTATCATTTCAAAGCCCTGGATCCTGAGTTTGGCACCGTCAAAGAGGAGGTACAAAATCATGGGAGACTGATAGTAGTATTGGTCACTCCTGAACCCCAAAGCCTCCTATTTAAGAACTAGTTCCCAGAACTACCTAAGTTTCTTATTCAGTTCAAATGAATTTACAGGAGCCTCAGATGATGATGTCTGATGACTTCAGATTAAGAGGGTCGTGGCTGGCTGAAGATGTTGAGCATCTGTTAGTCCTATGTCTTACCATTTTAACTAAGAATTCAGATAAGATTTCCCCCCCTCCCCCAGTCCTGGGTCTTGAACTCTGGGCCTGGGTGCTGTCTTAGCTCTTCAACTCAAGGTGAGTGCTCTACCACTTGAGCCACAGTGCCAGTTATGGTTTTCTGGTGGTTAACTGGTGATAAGTCTCATGGATGTTCCTGCCTGGGCTAGCTTTGAACCGTGATCCTCAGATCTCAGCCTCCTGAGTAGCTAGGATTACAGGCATGAGCCACTAACACCCGGCTTATGATTTTTATTTTGTTTTTATTAACTTGCATTAGTATATGGGGGAGATTTCATTGCTAACTTTATAAGTTCACAGTATACTCTAATCAATCAAATTCCCTCTATCAAGAACTTTTAGTGTAAAAGGGAAATCAGGTGCTGGGAAGGTGGCTCAGTGGTAGAGTGCTTGCCTTGCATGCATGAGGCCCTGGGTTCGATTCTTCAGTACCACATAAGCAGAAAAAGCCAGAAGTGGTGCTGTGGCTCAGTGGTAGAGTGCTAGCCTTGAGCTGAAGAACTGAGGGACGGTGCCCAGGCCAGAGTTCAGGCCCTACGACCTACACTTCCTGAAGTGAGCCACTTTCCCAGCCCACAAACACATTTTAATCTTTACAAAGTGAATTGTCATTATCATGGTCTATAAAGCTTATGAACGCTATGAACGTTGACAATACAACTATTTCTTCCAAATTGGGTGATGGGTACATTTCAAATACAACTTTTTTTAAAGAGAGTTCTGAGTTCTAGTGTTGCAAGTGCTTTCACTGGGGTTACAGAATGAGGAAGCTAGAAAACGAGTATTTTGTTCTATAAAGATTTCTTCACTGAAATGTTTTAATAATCCTATTTTGTTAGTGGCTTTGGAAGTGAATGAATGAATGGACTGGTGTTCTTTCCTACCCATTCTTTACAATGCTTGTAAACAAAAATTTTCCTTTTCTAGTTCTTTAAATGTGTTTATAACTGTTTTCTACTATGAGCAAAGCAGTGTTAGGATTTTTTTAACCATGTCATACATGTAGTACTAAGAAAAATGATACATTTAAAATACCAATTACAATTTTGAAGGACAGAAAAAAGGATATAAACTGTAACTCAAGGATTTCTTTTACACTTTCTTATCCGTATCCATAATATGTACTTTTTCTTTTTTTGGCCAGCAGCAGTTGTGTTTCTGTTTCCTTGCTGTACAGCCCAAGAAGGCTCTGAACTCACAATCCTCCTGCCTCTGCCTCCTGGGTACTGGAGTTATAAGTGTGTGGCATCATGCCTAGCTGGGTTTTTGTTGTTCTGTTTTTGGCTGGTTGTAGGGCTTGAACTCTGGGCCTGGGTGCTGTCTCTCAGCACTTCAGCTCAAGGCGAGCACTCTATCACTTGAGCCACAGTGCCACGTATGGTTTTCTGGTGGCTAATTGGATATATAAGTCTCATGGACTTTCCTTTCCCGGCTGGCTTTGAACCATGATCCTCCAGATCCCAGCCTGAATAGCTAGGACTACAGGTATGAGCCACCGGTGCCTGACTATGCCTGGTTGTTGTTGTTTTTTTTTTAATTTAAAGATTATAAAATTAGTTTATTGCAAAAGAAATTCATGCTACCCAATATATGCCTGGCTGTTTTATCATTTTTTTAAATTGTTTTTCAAACCTAGGTTTTCCATGATGATGATGCCATTCCCGGATGGGAAGGGAAAATTGTAGCCTGGGTAGAGGAAGACCATGGGGAAAATTGATGCTGAGTATTGGAACCCGGACACTCTCTGCTGCCTTCACTCAGGAAAGGACTAAAACCAGACACACTACGAAGTTTCTAATTCGTGCTGCCAAAACAGAAGCTTCTGCAAGTGTAACAGTCACAGGCCAGTCCCTTTGTATGCCCGGCACATCTGTCCAAATGTGGATCATGGGTTCATCAGGAGTTCCTGGTCTATGAGAAGGAACAGAATTTTGTTCTACTCTGAGGACAACAAACCGAAGGCCTTAACCAGTGGCGATGAATGATCCCACTCCTGGGGGGGCCTGCTGCTGTGTTCTGCAATCGGGGAACTGAATGCTTCACTCCCGAGTGTTCTAGTATTGACCAGCCTTAGTGGTTGCAGCAGTCAAAAGTCCCAGCATTTGTGCTTACAGACAAGGCAAAGGTACAAACTTATCTGCTTCTTTGCAGATACTGCAAACCAGGACTAACTCAGAGATGGTACCAAGGATGGAAGCCCACTCTACATGGATGGTGCTGAATCGTCAATTAGATGGAAAAGGGCTGCTCCTATTGTGCTAAACTATACTAAAACCATCACTGAGATGGGCTGACTCTAATGGTCTTTACTGGTTCTGCAGTTTGTCCTTCAGCCCACAGAGGGCATATTTCATGTACTGCTGATTTTCTCTGGTGACTCTTCAATTATAGAGCCATTTACTTACCTTCGAACTGACAAACTTGGAGTGAAAGGCTCCTTAAAAATCCAGGCGGGTATGGAAAGGTGCTGCTACCCATATCTTGTTGACTTTGTCTCATGACTTTGTTTAACTCATGGTATCTCCTTTGCAGTGGAAAGGAGACAGACCATTAATTTTAGTGTTTCTTTATGACTTATGAATACTGAGCATGACTTACTGGTCTGTCCCTCATTTCAAGACTGGAGTTAATTTCTATTATATATTTTATCTAGGTTGATCTTTTAGGGCACAGTAAAACCCATGGGGGCATGGAGCATGAGTTGTGAATGGCAGGGTTGATTCAGGGTGAAAAAAAGCCTAAAATCATTTCTCATGTGCAACATAGTCAAATGTAGATGCTTAATGTGTTCAACTCCCAGAGATTATTTAGTAACTTGGACTTTTCTCATTCCTCAACCCAGCAACCACCAGTTAATCAGTGAATTTATACATACACACGTCAAAGATACATATGTATTCCTCAAATCAGTTTGCAACTACCAATGTACACTGCCTACCAAGAGGGACAGATCAGTAGATCAGTTCTTGACCTGTCTCTAGTTTATTCCTTCCTTTTGGCCATTTGAACAGACCATTCTTTGGAACTCTGAAATCTCATCTTGTTGTTTCCTATTGACATCTTTTAAAAACAGCTCACATTTGGAGAATTCTTTTGTACTCATTTGCTTTTCATCTGAGAACCATGTCTATTTTTATAACTCAAGGGTGAGTCTTATATACTCCCATATCCTGTATACTTGTGTCCATTTTTCTAGAGAACCCAGTAGCTTTTATACAGTATCTTCGTACCACCTCTTGTGGTTTCAGAACAAACTTTATTTTATTACCAGAACACTCATGACAACTAATTACTTCCCCAAATATCTGCCTGCTATTTAGCTGTGGAGGGAGTTTCACAAAATCAAGTCGATGGCTCTTCTAAGAAAGAGAAACTCAAAAAATGACCTGACTTTTTTTCCATGTAAGATTTTTCATCACAACTAACCGGGAAAGTCAGCCATATGCAAGAATGTTCATTAGAAAAGCAAACAGAAGAAAACAGTATATTTTCAGGGTTTCTTTAGCCCCAAGAAGTCTGGAGAAAAAGTCCTTATGTTGCCAATTTCTCCGTTGCATGAGTTTTTGGTGTTTTTGCTATATGACAGCATGAGTGTTATCAGGCCAAAATTTGTTATTGCATTTCCAGTACAACTTATCTTGAATGTCTGTCTCTGAAATTCGTTTTTACGTGTCCATTTTCTTTCAGCAAACTGTCTTACCATTATGTGAACTTTGACTTTCTAAAGAAAATTAAATCACAGAAAAATTTCCAAGTCCTTTTCCTTTCGGAAAAGGAGCTACATAGCTAGCCTTGGTAAGCCGAAGTTGAATTCAGAGGAGACTATCTATGAGATAACTTCTCTCCCTTAGCTCACTGACTTCAGGTACCATGGGTAGAACAAGTAAGCATTTCTACTAGAGGATGTCACTTGGGTAACTTGTGTAAACTGCTAGTGGTACTCATTTCAGAAGTGATGGAGCCTTCTGTGCAGGAGCAGGCAGTGATCAGTATTCTGAATGGTTTCCTACGTGGCTGACTTTTTCATAGTATTGTCCGTTTGTGGCACTGGTGTAGGACAGATGGTCTTTCCTGTTACTCAAGTTCTCAATCCTTGAGAAAAACTAAAGAACTACAGTGTTTAGGGAGTCCATGAAAACAATTTCTAAACCATGTTAAAAACAAATACCTTTCTCATAAAAACTAGTTTCATTGAGGACTTAAGTTTTTTGTTTTTCGTTTTGGTTGGTCATGGGTCTTGAATTCAGGGCCTGGACACTGTCCCTGAGCTTTTTTACTCAATGCTAGTGCTCTACCACTTTGAGCCACAGTTCTAATTCTGGTTTCCTGGTGGTAAATTGGAGGTAAGTCTCATGGACTTTCCTGCCCAGGTTGGTTTTGAACAGGGATCCTCTAATCTCAGCCTCCTATGTAGTTAGGATTACAGGCATGAGCCTTAAGTCTTAAAAACTGAAGACTCACCTGCTTGCTCAATTCCCTAATCAAGACTGGAACACGAAGATTTGCACCTCAAGCATTTGGGTGGTAAATGCCTGTAATCCTAGAATTTATGAGGCAGAGGCAGGAGAATCTCAAGTTCAACCCAAACCTGAGCTACATACTAAGATTCTGGTTCAAAAAATTTTAAATAAAACTTTTTTTTGTTCAACACTGACCACCTTTTAGCTCTTTTTGACCAGGATGCTTGTAAATTAGGGGGAAAACTATCTTTATGTTCTACATCAGATCTCAGAGGGCTCTATTTTAGAATATTTAGGTCATAATTATTTTCATTTTTTTGCCACAAACTAAGCATTATGATTGTACTTCTATTGTCTAAATTTATGTAAGAGGTTTAATGTGCTTAAAACATATCTAAAATTCTATTTTCTTAGGACATGGATGTTTGCAACCTTTGCTTTCAAAGAGAATGTTAACTATGTATTCTCCCTGTTTTACAATGCTTTCATGACACCAGTGCTATGCCAGAGACTTCTGATTATCAGAGTGATAACCAGTTTTAACTGCCTGTACATACTAAATTTGTAAACGAATTAAACACACACACAAACTATGAATAAAATGGAGTTTGCAAACTAAATCCCATTAGTCATTTTCATTTGTGTTTATTGACTGAGATTAATGTACAGTAAGTGAATTACATTTAGGGAAGGTAAATTCCCACAAGTGATCTCCCTGGTAACTGTGTTTACTCACTAGGAGACTGGTGATAAGGGTGGCTTTACTGGCTCAGATGTTTTACTATTGGTATTTCTAATGTAAACACAAGCACCTAAGGATTAATTTCGCATTTCTTTTGAAATTATATATGAATGTACAAAACAATAAACCTAGGAGTACATTATACAACAAAAGTCTAATTTGCAGACACTAACAGTTCCCAAGACTGGATCTTAAGCAAAATAAAGCTTTTGCCTAATTAAAGGTATCTATGGTAACTGGGCAGTAACACATCTATTTGCAAATCTATTGTCTTCGTGGAAGGAGGCCGAGTACACAGCGCCCAGCTTTGGTCTGTCTACTTGGACTCGTGGCTGGAGAACCGCTTACCCTCCGTCCCGAGGGTGCTGAGCAAAACTAACTTGAGATCTTTGTAACCCAAGCCCAGCCTAAGCGGGGCGGGGCCCGGGGATCCTTTTCCTAACTCAGGGGAATGAGATCCGAGGGTCTAAAGTTCGAGGCCAGCTTTAGCAGAAAAGCCTGGAGACTCCTCTCTCCAGTTAGCCACCAGAAAGCCGGTCGTGGGGCTGTGGCTCCAGTGGTGGAGGGATCGCCTTGAGCGAGGAAGCCCAGGGGCAGCGCCCAGGCCCTGAGTTCGAGCCTCAGGACGGACACACAAAGGTGCCAAGGGCAAACCGCTTAGGCCTTTCATTGCCCCGGCCTACAGCTTCGGATGGCTTGGCCCATCCGATGTTCGAGCTCATTTCCGCGCGAAACCCTCGGGGTCCCCAGGCCCCAGCCCCCCCGCCCCCCATTCACCTCGCAGGCCCCGCCCTAGCCTGTAGGGTGCAGCTCCTGACACCCCGCATTCTCTACCCCTCTCCTTTTACACACTTCTCCCGAATTTGGGACGCAGCCCCGTCCCGCGAGGTTCCAGATGAGCCTCCCGTGAGAGCCCCGCCGCCCCGGCCGTGGAGGAGGAGCCGCCGACGCGCGCGCTTCCGGCCGGGGGCGGGGGGGGGGGGGGAGTGTCGTAAACCGTGTCGGCCGGCTTTGCGACAGCGCGCGACAGCGCGGAGTGGCTGACGGCAGAGCCGCGCTGCTCTTGGAGAGGTCACTGCGGAGACACCGCCTAGGTTTTGGGGCGTGCAGGGGTGGGGGGCCCGTGGCACTATGTGGCGCCTCTGTGCGCGACAGGCCCAGAGTGCAGCCCCGAAGATAGGACTTGGGGCTCGCTGGACGGCCTTGAGAGAGGGACCCGGAGCCCCGAGCGCGAGCCGGCGGGCTGGTCCCACTTTGGTCCGTTGCCGCAGCGCGACCACCGGGCATGGCGGGGTCCGGGCCCTGTGTCGCTGGGGCCCCAGCCCCGGGCCCGCTCCTCGGAATCGCCTGCTGCTGCTGCAGCTTTTGGGGTCTCCAGGCCGTCGCTGGTATAGTCTACCCCCGCATCAGAAGGTGAGAGAGCCCCCCTCCCGGGACCCCCGCACCTCTCGGGGCCGTCGGGTACTTGGGCCTCAGTGACCTGTCATCGCCCTTCTTTCCCAACCTCGCTTGGCCGGCGTCCTCGAGCTTGCCCCGAAGTCGTGGTTCTGTCCCATTGAAAGAAGCGGCTCCAGAGCCTGGGGCTCTAGGTAAAATGTCTGGCCAAGTTCGTGCCCTGCCAGAGCTACAGGTTACTGGAAATCGTCCGGGTGCCAGGAATTCTCTTTGTGTCCAATGAGACTTAGTAAACGTCTTCTTCTTCTTCTTTTTTAAATGTTGAGTAGCCCTTTTTAAACTTGGTGCTTTTTTCCCCCCCCTCCTTCTCCTCTAGGTTCCGTTGCCTTCTCTTTCCCCTACTATGCAGGCAGGCACCATAGCCCGTTGGGAGAAAAAAGAAGGGGAGAAAATCAACGAGGGAGACCTAATTGCAGAGGTAAGTTGTACAATCTGTAGGTGGACCTTAAAGGACTGGCTTGGCTAAATGGTTTGCACTTTAGCTTTCTGGAGAGTAGTTAACTCTTTTTTGCTTAAAAAACTGATTTCTCTCGCTGCTTGATGTTGGATATATGTTTATTTATTTTGGTTTGTTTTGGCACTGGGGTTTTTAAGTCAGAGCCTAGGCACAGTCCTTTAGTTTTTTGCTCAAAGCTGGTGCTTTATCATTTGAGTCACCCACTTTTGGTATGTTAGTGTTTAATTGAAGAGAAGAGTCTCATAGACTTTTCCTGCTTGGGGCTGACTTCAATCTTTGAATCATATATCTCAGCCAACTGAAGTATCTAGGATCATAGCTATGAGCTGCTCACTGGTGCTTGGCCTCATAATGGCTTGGTATTAGACATGATTGGTTAGATCAGTTTTCAACACTTGCCAAACTAATTTTTTTTAAACCAAGGTTTTGGGTTTTTTTTTAATATAATTTCTTCTTTGAAATCTGTGATAGTAGCTTTCTCTTCACGTGACTGTTGAAGTGTGTCATTCTGGGTGCATGCTAAGAAACTTCACATTGGCATGACAAACCTAAGATACTGCTTTATGTTAAAAGGTTGAAACAGATAAAGCCACTGTTGGTTTTGAGAGCCTGGAAGAGTGTTATATGGCAAAGATACTTGTTGCTGAAGGCACGAGAGATGTTCCTGTTGGATCCATCATATGTATCACAGTTGGAAAGTGAGTAGAACCCCTGTCGTTTGTGGATGATCAGTGTTCTTTTAATTCTAAATTGAAAAATTAGGACTCAACTACTTCCGAAGACCTGTGTGAAGACCACATCTGCTTTATCACCCTCTCGTATTTATGCATTCTTTCTCTTCCTTAGGCCAGAGGATATTGAGGCCTTTAAAAATTATACATTGGATTCCTCAGCAGCACCGACCCCACAGGCAGCCCCAACTCCATCGCCAGCCGCTGCCTCAGCCCCTGCATCTTCTGCTCAGGCTCCCGGCAGCTCATATCCAACTCATATGCAGGTGAGGCTCAGCTTCTCATAGCTTGCACTTGATGACTGTTTTTCATAAGTGCTATTAGAGCCTGGAAACTGGCTTTAAATCGGGTTGGCTCTTGTCATTTGGGAGTATACAGAGATTTAACCATGAAAACTGACCACTTTACTGCTGCTTGCTGGTTTTTTTTTTTTTTTTTGGCCCGGTTGTGGGGACTGAACTCTGGGCCTGGGCACTGTCCCTCAGCTCTTCAGCTCAAGGCTAGCGCTCTACCACTTGAGCCACAGAGCCACTTCCGGCTTTTTGCTTATGTGGTGCTGAGGAATTGAACCCAGGGCCTCAGGCATGCAAGGCAAGCGCTCTACCACTGGGCCACCTTCCCAGCTGTGCTTGCTGTTTTTAAATGTGTGAATTTGGACAGATCCCCTAATCTTTCCCAGTCTCAGTGTAGTACATAGGCTAATGCTTTAAAATTTCTCACTCAAGGATATTGTGTTACAGAAGATAATTTGTAATTATGTTTTACTCCTGTACACATAGTTTAATCATTGGGTGCCATCCTTTAAAGGAACATTCCCAGTTGGTGTTTGCCTTTCCCTTTGGTAGTACTAGGGATTAAACCAAGAGCCTTATGCTAGGCAAGCATTCAATCACTTGAGCTATGTTCCTATCCCTCCCTCCCTCCCTCCCTCCCTCCCTCCCTTCCTTCCTTCCTTCCTTCCTTCCTTTCTTCTTTCCTTCCCTTTCCCAATCCTGGCACTTGAACTCAGAGCCTGGGCACTGTCCTTGAGCTTCTTTTTGCTCAAGGCTAGCACTCTTATCACTTGAGCCATGGTACCACTTCCTGCTTTTTCTGTTTATGTGGTACTAAGCTTTATGCATGCTAGGCAAGCACTTTACCACTAAGCCACATTCCCAGCCCCCCACCCCTTATTTCCGAGACAGAATCTCACTACTTCTTGCTCAGACTGGCATTGAACTCTTGATCCTTTTGCCTCTTCATCCTGAATAGCTGGAGTTCCTGGTTTGTGCCATGATACCTAGTCTTCCTTTGATATATGGTAGTCTTTTCTAAGAGTAGTGGCAAAATTCTGGTAGTTTATTATTTGTTTTGAAATCTATACCTGGTTGAATAGCTTAATTGAATTAACATGTGTATGTTTTCTACCTTTTTGTTTGATATTTAAAATCATCTCTCTAGCAGTTTTCAGGAAAATACTATTAACTATAATCACCAAGGAATACTATCTGTAGAATGCTAACTAGTCACCAGAGATTTTTTTCCCCTCCAGTGCTAGGCATTGAACCTAGGGCCTCATGCATGCTAAGCAAGTATTCTGCCACTAACCTATTTCCAGCCTGAAGATGACTTCTTTTTTGACAATCCTCGAGTTTGAGATCTGGGCCTTTCACTTGCTAGACAGGCACTGTACCAATGGGCTACTTCCAGCCCATTTTTTGTACTGGTTATTTTAAGATAGGATCTCACTTTTAACCTGAATAGCATCCTATTTTATACTCGCTGCTGTAGCTAAGATGACAGTGTGTGTCAGCATACCCATTTTCCCCCAGTTGTGGGGGAAAACTCTGGCCTGGATGCTGTCCCTGAGCATTTTTGCTCAAGGCTAGCACTCTTACCACTTGAGCCATAGCTCCACTTGTAGCTTTTTGGTGGTGGAATTGGAGATGAGAATCTCAAGGACTTTCTTGCTTAGGCTGGCTTTGAACCACAATTCTCAAATCTCACCCTCCTAAATAGCTAGGATTACAGGCATGAGCCACTGGTGCTCAGCCCATACCCAGCTTTTTATTGGTTTAGATGGGGTTTTGTAGACTTTTTGCCCAGACTGGCCTTGAACTGTTATTCTCCTGATCCCAGCCTGTTGAGTTGCTAGGATTGTGAGTTAGTGGACCAATCAACAAGAGTATGTCTTAATTTAGTTTTTCTCTGTGTGTGTGTGTGTGTGTGTGTATTCTGAGAAGTTTGGAACAAATGTAGCCTCTTACGCATGAAAAGATAATAATGCTATTTGAAGAATTGTGTGGGCCAAGATCATTTTGTGAAACAAATTTCCACATTAAATCTATACTTTTTTTTGTTGTTCCAGTCCTGGGGCTTGAACTTAGGATCTGGATGCTGTCACTTAGCTAAAGCTAGTGCTCTACCACTTGAGCATATAGCTTTGCTTCTGGCTTTTTAGTGGTTAATTGGAAGTAAGAGTCTCACAGACTTTCATGCCTGGCTGGCTTTACATCTTGACCCTCAGATCTCAGCTTCCTGAGTAGCTAGGATTATGGGCGTGAGCCACTAGCACCCAACCTTTTTTTTTTTTTTTTTTTTTTTTTGGTGGATGGGTGGGGGAGGCCTGGGCAGTGTCCCTGAGCTGCTATTGCTCAAGGCTAGCACTCTACCACTTGAGCCACAGTGCCACTTCAAGCTTTTTCTGTGTATATGGTACTGAAGAATCAAACCCAGGGGTTCAGGCATGCTAGGCAAGCAATCTACCACTAAGCCACATTCCCAGCCCTCTAGCACTCAGCCTTTTAATCTGTGTTTTATGAAAAGATGAAAGATGGTTTGGGCCTCAATATATATTCAGGGATTAGTTTTGTCTGGAAGACATCTTTGCCATCCCTCTTTAAACTCCATCTCTGCTTCAAACCTAGAGAGTAGTTCAGCGTATCAGTGATAAGCTTGGGATCTGAAGGGCAGTTTAAGCAGTGGGAAATGACAGAGGCTGCGATGGGCGTATGTGGATTGTCATAGTCACTAGCACTCCCTGAAATTGCACCTGCTTAAGAGCTTTCATGTGTAATGATTCCTAGTATTAAGCAGACCATATGTATTTGTCTCTACAGGTACTTCTTCCTGCCCTCTCTCCCACCATGACCATGGGCACAGTTCAGAGATGGGAAAAAAAAGTGGGTGAGAAGCTAAGTGAAGGAGACTTACTGGCAGAGATAGAGACGGACAAGGCCACTATAGGTGAGATTTGTTTTCAGCTTCTAATAATGAGGCACTGAGTTTCGAGGTTTGCCATCCTGGTCTATACTGGGTGAGTAATAATATGAACATTTTACTGTTCTTAGGATGTACTTCCTGAGATGTTTTACAACAGTGACATGCACCATCAGATTTTTCAATTCCATGTTTTGTACTTATTGAATCAAGGACTTGTCAGTTTAGCAGCTGTTCTTAGGCCAGAATTTTCTTCTTAGTGTATTTTTATGTTCCTAAAAACCTGTGTCAGAATTACCATTGTGAAATCTGGACGAAGGAAGGAAAGGGGAAAAAGAAGAAAAATCACCGACAAGACAGGAAAATACCAAAGGAGTTAACATGATTTTTATCAGAAAACTGAAACTAGGGCTTAGATTGTTCTCATTCTTTGAGCTATACATACATACCAACCTTTTTAGATATATGAAATTTTCATGTACTTCATGTTAAGTGCTTTTTATGTTCTGAAACAACCCTACCCCTCCCCAATCATATATTTATGGTAGTACATAGATAGGTACTCCTAGTATTAGAAGTTTCTTACGGGGGCTGGGAAGGTGGCTCAGTGGTAGAGCGCTTGCCTTGCATGCCTGAGGCCCTGGGTTTGATTCCTCAGCACCACATAAGCAAAAAGAAAAAAGCTGGAAGTGGCGCTATATGGCTCAAGTGGTAGAGCGCTAGCCTTGAGCTGAAGAGCTGAGGGACAGCGCCCAGGCCCAGAGTTCAGGCCCCACGACCGGACCCAAAAAAAAAAAAAAAGTTTCTTACCTCTGCTCCATAATCACCAGTCAAGGGGAAGCCTGTTCATTTCATGGGGAGTTAGCTTAGCAGGAGAACACAGGCATTCTCTCCAGTGGTGGTTTTCAGGGTATGTTCTTCAAGCTCATCTTTCTTGGATAGTACCCTGGAGCAAAGAGGGGTTAAGAGTAGGATCCTGCAATGGCCTGCTCTCCTTCCCCTCTCCACCAGAGCAATTCCTTTAGCTTTTTGTATATCAAACTCCTAAGATTTTTTTTTTGTTGTTGGTCATGGGGCCTGAATTCTGGGCCTGGGCGCTGTCCCTCAGCTCTTCAGCTCAAGGCTAGCGCTCTACCACTTGAGCTACAGCACCACTTCTGGCTTTTTCTGCTTTTGTGGTGCTGAGGAATCGAACCTAGGGTCTCATGCATGCGAGGCAAGTACTCTACCACTGAGCCAGCCCCTGGTTTTTTTGTGGTTTTTTTTTTTTTGAGACAAGGTTTAGAAATTTGTCATTCTCTTTGTCTCAGTCTCCTTAGTATGAGCATTACAGGTGTATGTCACACCCAGCTTTAGTTTTCCTTTTGTGACTCAATGCTTGAATTTCTTGCAAGAAAAGCAGTAGCTGAATACAAGTTGTCAGATCATAAGAATCTAGCAATGCTGAATTTCTTCACATTGAAATATATGGTATAATACCAAATATAACCTCTTTGAAAATATTTGAATATGCTTTTACAGCTGAAATCCCCTATCACTGTCTACCTTGGAAGCTTCCTCGATTTGACTTTATGGGACTCTGATCTTCAGCAATATAGCTGATACCATCTTGAGTTCTGTGAATCTGCATGTGGATTGACCTTAGAGATATTTTCAGCAACTTTCAGAAGTATCTACCATTGGTCATCTCTCACAGTGCAAGATGCACTTTTTCCTCAAGTACCTTCAGTTCCCTGAATTGGAGGGCCAACTGTGTTTATTTACTTTGTACCACGTGCTGTGGTACAATAATAATTCACTTAAATTCTTAACATCCCTGTAAGGTAGATATAGTCATCCTTGGTACCTGTGAGGTTCCAGGACGTTCCTCCACCAAAATCTCTACATATGCAAGTTCTTTTTTTTTTTTTTTGTTTGTTGTTGCTGGAAAGTATGTGTGTGTTTGTATTTATGTGTGTTAAGAGACTGAACCCTGCTCCTGGCAAGATTTCTACCACTGAGCCTTACTCCTACCCTCTCCAGTATGTATATAATTAATATAGATATATACTATATATGTAATATAATGTGTATGTATAGACACATATATGTATATTATATAAATACATATGTGTATATTTATAATTATGTGTGTTTATATGTATAATGTAATATATACATACACATATAATTTATACACATCTATTCTTATATACGTGTGTATGTGAATAAATGTTGTCAGGAGAAGTAGTTTATATCATGTATCAAGTTTTCTAATACTCAAATACACAAAGTTAATTGTATAAATACAATGGCGGTTGTGGGGCCTGAACGCTGGGCCTGGCTGCCGTCCCTTAGCTCTTTAGCTCAAAGCTAGAGCTCTACCACTTGAGCCACAGTGCCATTTCTGGCTTTTTCTGCTTATGTGCTGCTGAGGAATCGAACCCAGTGCTTCATGCATACAAGGCAAGCATTCTACCACTGAGCCACCTTCCCAGCCCCTATATATCTTATCTACTGACATCTCTGACAACATGCCTACCTATTCTGTAACCTATGTTTTGAAAGAGAAACTGTTCAGTTCCACCACTATAGGCAGTTCTAATTCTTGGTGCAACCTAGAAACATGGAGCCTGTGAATGCCAGTCTGACTGTACTGTAATTGCTCTCATTTTGTAGATAAAATGAAACACAGGTTAGATAGTTTATAGAAAAGTGATGTTGTAGGGATAATGGTGTCTCTGAAATCCTTTAATGTATTTCCTTCTATTCAAGGTTTTGAAGTACAGGAAGAAGGTTATCTGGCAAAAATCTTGGTTCCTGAAGGCACAAGAGATGTTCCTCTAGGAACCCCACTTTGTATCATCGTAGAAAAAGAGGCAGATATAGCAGCATTTGCCGACTATAGACCAACTGGAGTAACTGACTTAAAACCACAAGCACCACCACCTGTCTCTCCCCCGGTAGGTATGCCTCTAGAATCAAGAGAATTTGTCCCATCCATGTCTAAATTAAAGGGATTTCATTAGATGACATCCTCGGTTCTTTCAGTTCCAAGAACCTATAAGTAAGAAAGGAGCTAAGTTGTTAATTTTGATGGAGCCTGTAGGGTCTGTTATACTGCACCATCCACCTAATAGTTCATAGTTTGATCCTTGTAGCTTTTTTCTCCTGCTGTCTTGAGCGCTGCTTAGAACAAAGCTTAGGTGACATGTTCGCTTTCTGCTTTGGGTGTAAATGTGCTTATGGAAGGTAAGGTTTTACTCCCTGTTGTCTGTTGATTTTACTACACGATCTTCATTATTTATATATAATTTTAGACCCTGCATATTCTTGGAAAATGTTACGACCATGACATGGCTTGTACAGAATTTAGTTTATTACTGTACTTTGTTCAGCATTCTGTATGCCTGTATTGTGAACTTGTATTAACTCTAAGCATAGATAACCCTTATAATGAAGCTTCTACAGAGGGGAAAATTGTGCATGCTTCTCAAGGACTCATTGTCCTGAGTGTATGGGGAGGGAACTGTCCAGGAGCAGTGTTAGTTTGTTTCTTACGGTACTTTCCCATGTGGAATCTTGTAATGATGAACTTGTTGGTGATGAACTTAATGAGAACTTAATAGGAAGAGATTAAAGTACAGGCAGGCTGTGAAGATTATACTGTAGTTAGCTTACATGTGCTACCATGAAGTAAGATTGTTGGATTTTGTTGGGTCTTTGACAAAAATTATTACTCTTGCTGTTCCTCTGTCATGTAGATATTATGTATTTAAGTAGGAAAAATGTGCATTGTGATATTTGGGGAAAATGTTATTTAAGTTTATGAAGTTTTTAACTTCATAAAATGTAAAAAGTCTTTGCTGTGGTGAATCAGTAATTTATAATTTTTTCAAAAGGTTGCCACTGTTCCTCCAACTCCTCAACCTTTAACCCCTACACCATCCGCCACTCCTGCTGGGCTAGCTGCTCCTTCTGGACCAAAGGGAAGGATATTCGTTAGTCCTCTTGCGAAGAAGTTGGCAGCAGAGAAAGGGATTGACCTTTCACAAGTAAAAGGTAAATCTCTAGGAAATGAGACATGAAGTTAAGATCTAGCTAAACTATAGGTTATGGTGTCAACAAGGATAATAGGGCTTAGAAGGATGAGGGAGGAAAATATTTCCCTTTTGCCTTCACAGAGTACAGAAACTACCGTGTTTTACTTACTCTGCCTCCAGTCTATCTGTATGTAGGATTTAGATGCCTTTCCTTCACTTTGCTCTATTTGTGGGAGCAACCTATTATTGATGAAAGGAAATGTGCTTATTAAGCAAAGTTGTATTATAAGGTTTGCTTGTATAATCTGAAGAACTTTCTGGTAGGACAAGGTTGACTATAAGCAATAAGTGAAATAAAACATGAAGGTGAGGGAATTGGAAATGACTTAAAATAATAAACTCAGCTGGGCGCCAGTGGCTCATGTCTGTAATCCTGGGTACTCAGGAGGCTGAGATCTGAGGATTGCGGTTCAAAGCCCATACAAAGCCAGTCTGAGCAGGAAAGTCTGTAAGACTCTTATCTCCATTTAACCACCAGAAAGCAGGAAGTGACACTGTGGCTCAAGTGGTAGAGGTTCACCTTGAGCTGAAGAGCTCAGTCCCAGAGTTCAAGCCTCATGACTGAGCCCCCCCCCCCCCCAAAAAAAAATATTCAAGTGTTGTAGTACATGCTGATAATACCAGCACTTGGGAGGCTGAGGCAGGAAGATTTTAAGTTTGAACCTAGCCTGGGCTCTAACAAGACCCTCTTTAAGAAAACTAACTAAAATAAAACTAAGCCAAACTAAAACTCCCTAAAGACAATGTCAAATGCCTTATTCATCTCTTTTTTCCCCACAGGAAAAAATGTGGCTCAGTAGTCAGAACATGTGATATGGAATTTTGGCTTTATTGTTTTGTAATATGTCTGAGTGAATTACAGTTTAGCTTATGCATGTCTTCATCTGAAATCTTTTTGTGTTGTGTGTGTTTTTGTGTATATCAGTCTTAGGGCTCGAACTCAGGGCCTGGGTACTGTCCCTGAGCTTTTTTGCTCAAGGCTAGCACCCTTACCACTTGAGCCATACTTCACTGGTAGCTTTTTAGTGGTGAATTGAAGACAAGAGTCTCAAGGACTTTTTTGTCTGGGCTGGCTTTGAACCTTGATCCTCAGATCACAGCCTTCTGAGTAGCTAGAATTACAGGTAGAAGCTACCTGTGCCCAGCTTTCCATCTGAACTCTGTAACTTACCTGTGTTTCCATCTACAAAACTAAAATAATGGTGTGCGTCATATAGAATGATGAGAATTAAATGATCTGTAAAGTAGAAGCTCTTAGAATAGTATCTAGCATATAATTGCACAAAGTATATTACTTGTCATTCATATTGCTATTATTGCCTAGCACTTAAATACTCTTTAAATAAACTTAAACTAATATCTCATGTAGATAATTAAAATACTTTTACTCCTTTGAGGACCTGGTTTGATGGCTGGAACTATATGCTGCTCATTTAATTTGCACAGCATTTCTTGAAGTAGGACTACCATTACATTTTGGATAGGAAGAGAATCTTTAAAAAGTTGTAGTTTGAGACTAGATTTGTTTAGCTATAAATCTGGTTTTCTTCTTCCCCTGTGCTGTTGTCTGTCTTTTTTTTTTTTTTTTTTGGCTGGTGCTAGGGCTTGAACTCAGGGTCTGGGGGCTCTCCTGGGCCTCTTTGTATTCAAGGCTAACACTTTATCACTTGAGCCACAGTGCCACTTCGGGCTTTTTCTGAGTGGTTTATTGGAGATAAGAGTCTCATGGATTTTTCTGCCCAGGCTGACTTGGAACCATGATCCTCAGATCTTAGCCTTCTGAGTAGGTAGGATTACAGGCATGAGCTGCCGGCACCGGCTCTGCTGTTTGTCTTGGTGCACTGCTATCATAATTGCTGAAGAAAAATGTGGTCAGTTCTGCAGTTGTCCACCTGTGGACACTTGGTGCTTGCTATCATCTACCTGCAAGCCATTATTTTCTGGCTAAAAGTTAAGCTGATCCCAGGACACAAAAATAGCTTGTACATTTTTTTTTTCAACCTCTGAGGTTTCTTTTTTTTCTTCCTCCTCTACAGTATGTTATTTCATTCTGTAGGTGATTAGAATTAGGGACTTGGCTTAGAGAGAGGAAGAACTGGTTTAATACTTAAATCTGAAGAATTTAGACATTATTTTACTAAAAAGACAAATTGAAAAGTCCCAGTATTCTTACCATGTAAGCAAAGATAGCTGATTATAGTTGATTCATTTATTATAAAAGCAAATCATTACTGAGTACTCTGTATGTATGAAGTACTTGTTCATAAATTAGTAAGACTTCAGTTTGAATTGCTCACTGTGGCCAGCAAAGAATTAAGTGAGCCAAAAGGGAGTAGTTTAGTACTTCAGAGAAGGCTCTGAAGGTAGGAAGCTTGAGTTTAAATGTCAGCTCTGCCATCTACTAACTGTGTGACCTTTTGTATCTGTCACTTCATTTGTGTATAAAAATAAAACTTAATAGGTTGTGAGCAGTCAACAAGTGCCTACAGAGAAAGAATATTAGTTCCCATGGTAATTCTTTTTAAAAATAAGACAATTTAACAGCTAGGAAAGAAAGAGAGTAATAGTGAACAGCAGGATAGATCTGTGTGCTGTCATGACTACTTTTAGACAGGAGGCTGAGGAAGACCTTCCTGATGAGGTGATGTGTGATCTGATCTGCGAGATGAGTCAGTCAGCTGTGAGTCAATCAAAGACACGGGGAAAGAGCCTTTTGGGCAGAGACTGGCAATATACAGTTTGAGCTTGGAAAAGAGCCTAGCATTTTTGAGGAGCATAAATGGAGGGGTTTAGAGGGAGGCAGGACCTAATGGTAAGAGATAAGGTTGGAAGGATAGAGATTCAAACATCAAGGACCTTATAGATCATGATGAAGAGTTTCATCTGATTTGAAATATAGAAACCTATTGAAAGACTTAAGGAGGTGAAAATAAAATGGTTTATATTTTTGAAGGATCATTTTGATTGCTCTGAGGAAATGGGATAAATGAAAGCTGTGACACTTGTGAAGATTCTGTGGTTAGAGATGATGCTGGTGACTTAGAATGAAAGTGGAAATGAAAAGAAATGCCAGATTCTGAGATTCATTATTTACATAGAACCAACAGAACTTAGTCATGTGTGTCTTTGGGAATTTGACAGCTGTAATTTCAGACGGTGGAGTGTACAAAAGCAAAATGTGGTCAATTCTATACCTGTGTCACCTAATCTTTTTTTTTTTTTTTTTTTTAATTAATCCTGGGGTTTGAACCCAAGGCCTGGGCACTGTCCCTTGAGCTTCTTTGGCTTGAGGCTTGTGTTCTACCACTTGAGCCACAGTACCACTTCTGGCTTTTTCTGAGTAGTTTATTGGAGATAAAATTTGTCACATATATACCCAGGTCTGGCCAGGGTTCACTCAAATTTTGTAGTCTAAATGAAAGACAGCTAAAAGAACAGATGTTAGGTTAGTTACTTGATAGAGCTTAACTGTTCTTGAAACTGACTCACCTCCTCCCCATGTAAAGAATACCCCTTGGAGCCAAGGGCTGATGGCTCACGCCTGTAATCCTAGCTACTCAGGAAGCTGAGATCTGAGGATCCAGCTTGGGTAGGAAAATTTGTTAGACTCTTTATCTCCAATAAACCACCAGAAAACCAGAAGTGGCACTGTGGCTCAAGTGGTAAAGTGCTAGCCTTGAGCTGAAGAGCGCAGGGACAGCACCCAGGCCCAGAGTTCAAGCCCCACAACAACAACAAAAAGTGTCATGGAGCTGGCGTAAAGCCAGGATCCTCATATCTCAGCCTCCTGAGTAGCTAAGATTACAGGTGTGAGCCACTGTGCCCTGCTAATCTTGTCATTTATCATAGGTGGAAAACTGGGTGAAGACCTGGTGATAGCACAGTGAGTAGCTCATTTCATGGTTTGCTATGAAAGAAGCTGTAGAAATGTAGGTATAGTTTTAGGGAAATGTGGACTTTAGGTTTCTGAAGATAAGTGATAATGGGTGAGGCTAGTATAATTTCTCAACTCTGGCCATATGATTCTTGGTTATGGTTATAAGGTGTGTTAAAGGTTTATTATGGGGTGTGCCATTTGCATTGTGGGATGTTGCTGACCACCAAAATGTCTCATGAGACTGTTATAGAGAATCACTAGTTTAACGGAAAGGGATTGGGCAGGATGTTTTTTGGCCAGGAACCAAGTTCTTAAGAATATGAGAGGGCTGGGAAGGTGCCTCAGTGGTAGAGCGCTTGCCTTTCATGCCTGAGGCCCTGGGTTCGATTCCTCAGCACCACATAAGCAAAAAGAAAAAAGCCGGAAGTGGTGCTATGGCTCAAGTGGTAGAGTGCTAGTCTTGAGCTGAAGAGCTGAGGGACAGTGTCCAGGCCCAGAGTTCAGGCCCCATGACCGGACCCCCCCCACACCCCCCCCCCCCAAAAAAAAAAGAATATGAGAATGAGTGGTATTGGCCTTTTTAGGAATTTGGGTTCTTTTTATCTATTCTAATGGATGAGTTTATTAGTTTGGTGGTATAGTTTGGTTAATAGAGCCTGAGGTGAAGGGATCAGCTGGAGACTGAGTCTGGGAAGGAATAGGGTTAGAGAGATTGTAAACAAGTCTTCTTAGAGATTGGAAGGTAAATTTAAAGTAAACAGTTGAATTTCTGGGCAGTTTTTTTTTTTTTTTTTTTTTTGTCAGTCATGAACTCTGAGCCTGAGCGCTGTCCCTCAGCTCTTCAGCTCAAGGCGCTCTGTCACTTGAGCCACAGCACCACTTCTGGCTTTTTCTGCTTATGTGGTACCGAGGAATCGAACCCAAGGCCTCATGCATGCAAGGCAAGCACTCTACCACTGAGCCACCTTCCCACCCTCTCTGGGCAGTTTTTGTCTGTGCATTTTAGGTTTGTGGTTCTGAACATGAGAGTCACCGTGTATGTCATTTATTCCCCCTGGTAACATTAAGCTACCCTGCTTGGTAAGAAGTCAAACATAGTTTTAGAATTTTACCCTAGAGTGATTATAACACCAATCTGTACAAGGTATTTTGGGAAAGGAAGAAAACAAAGACAAGAAGAAGGTCATGATAATGAGAGAACAGTGGAGGAGATTTTGCAGTGATGAGTTAGAGAATAGTCTAGGCTCAACATCTAGGCCTCACTCATCTTACCCACCCAAAACCCCAAGTAACCTTTAGGACTAACATATATTTTTCATTCTTTCTGTCTTTATCCATTTATGAATTGTTTGCAGATTTTTATCTAATTTTCCCGACTCTTCATCTATCCTACCTCATTCTGACACCAAATGTTTTGAGTTGTTATTCTGTATTTTGTTTGTTTGTTTGTTTTTCCTATATAACTCAATTCTTTCCCACCAACTGGGTACAAGCAGTTCAGTCCAATTCTGACATTGACCTAGATTTAGCATCAGACTCGATAGATGTATGAACTCAGTCCCATAGGTGACCCTTTCTTCAGATTCCAGTTGTAAAGCCTGGAGATCCACATCCAGGTATCTAACTCATGTCTAACCTCTCCTTAGGTTTGATAATTTACAGGAATAGCTGACATAACTCAGGAAGGTATTTTAATTAGTGTGTGTGTGTGTGTGTGTGTGTGTGTGTGTGTGTGTAAAGGCAACACCTCAAAAACAGCTAAATGGAAGAGATGCATATGGGCAAGATAGAGTGGGAGGGGTACATAGCTTCTGTTTCTTCTCCAGCACAAATGTGTTTACCACAGAAGCTCTCTGCCTTTCACAATGCAAAACTTGTTTTCCTTTTCCTTCTTTTTTTGTTCCACTGTTACTAGTAGAAGCTTGAACTTAATACCTTGAGATCTTGCTTGACTTTTTCATCCAAGAATAGTGCTAATAGTTCTCTACCACTTGAACCACACCTCTACTTCTGGCTTTTTTGCTGGTTAATTAGAGATGAGAGTCTAGGGATTTTGTCTTCCCTGACTGGCCTCAAACCCCACACCTCTATTTCTGGCTTCTTTGCTGGTTAATTGGAGGTAACAGTATAGAGATTTTGTCTTCCCTGCCTGGCCTGGAACCATGATCTTCAGGTCTCAGCATCCTTAATAGCTAGGATTACAGACATGTAAGCCTAGTGTCCTAGGCTTTCTTTGCTTAGAAGTATCATCACAGACGTGATTGATACAATCAGTGACAGTTGGTCATTGAATTTAATTTTTAGTCTTCTGCAGTAGTGGATCAGAAATTAGAGCAGTGGAGGAGGAAGATGGGAAGATGGAGATGGGAAAGGGGATTGAAACACCCTCCACTCAGGTGTTGGTATTTCAGCTGACCATCCCCTTTTCTGGTAGGGATCCAGGAGCCCCAACCTCAGTTACCTCATGAATATAAAAATTCTGTGGTGTTCAGGATCTTTTTCTGAATAGCAGAAGATACTATGACATAGGAAATGTCAAAGGTTTTAGGAGGTCCATGCCAGGAACCTAGAGCAAGAATCATACCACAATGAGGGCAGTCACAGATATGGTTGCTGTAATTCTAGATTTTGAGACTATTTAACTACCCCCAATAACATGGTCTAGTGGTTTGGTAGCGACCCTTACAGAATTGCAGGTTAGTGATATGTGATGGTTGTGTGATACTTGCTATTTCTTCCAGGGACGGGACCAGAGGGCAGAATCATCAAGAAGGACATTGACTCTTTTGTGCCTTCTAAAGCTGTTCCTGTGAGTTATATTTGAAACTTACCTTTACAAAATTTCTCCCGCAAAGCACTTTGTTTTCTCTATTAACTTTTTTATAAATAATGCATAAATGAAATAATTTAACCAGAACTGGCATTATAGCAGTAAACCTCCATGCCTCACTGGTTTCTTTTCTTTTCTTTTTTTTTTTTTTGTTGATCATGGGGCCTGAACTCTGGGTCTGGGCGCTGTCCCTCAGCTCTTCCGCTCAAGGCTAGTGCTCTACCACTTGAACCACAGTGCCACCTCTGGCTTTTTTCTGCTTATGTGGTACTGAGGAATCGAACTCAGGGCCTCATGCATGCAAGGCAAGCACTCTATCACTGATCTACTTTCTCAGCCCTGTTTTCTTTTCTTTTTGGTTGTTACTTTTGTTTAGTTTTGCAAGAACAAAATTATTTTTATTTAAGCTAGTCATTAAATATATTCTGGCACAAAGAAGATGGGTGGTGATTAAAATGTGACTTCAGATTCTAAGTAATAACAAAAAGTTATTTAAAGTTCTTTAAATATAAGCATTGTAATAATTCCACTATCCCTAGGAATAGAGCTAGCCATTCTGCAAAACTCTGATTTTTCTGTCTGACATGTATATGTAGAGCAGATGTTTACGCTAAGATTGGGGCACAGTTATTAAGAATCTTTTTCTCCCCCATAGGCTGCAGCAGCTGCTATGGCTCCCCCAAGTCCAGGTGTGGCACCAGTTCCTACAGGGGTCTACACAGATATCCCAATCAGCAACATTCGTCGAGTAAGAACATTACCCTTTTCTGGAGCAAGAACTGTTGGGCATCTTCCCTCTCTTTGGGTTCATACTGAAGCAGAGGTCTTTTCAGTTGGGAATATTAGATTATAGGTTTAAGGAAGTTTAGTTTGGTCAGTTAAGCAATGGGTAGACATTTAAATACTGGGAAGGAAGAAAGAAATGTGTGATAGTGAAATCTATTAGAATGTCTGAAGTTGTGCAGTCCTCATCGCTGTGTCTGATAATGTGTGGGTAAGCCTTGCCAGGGAGCAGACTGAATCACGTACAGCCTCCTCTCAGATCACGTTTAGTGACTTTTGGATCTCTTTCTCTGCAGGTTATTGCACAGAGATTAATGCAATCCAAGCAAACTATACCTCATTATTACCTTTCTATTGATGTAAATATGGGAGAAGTTTTATTGGTACGGAAAGAACTTAATAAGGTAAAACTTTTGGCAATTCTAATTTTCTAAATTATAGAAATAGTCTTCCACCACTGAACATTTTATTTTTGACTATAGATTTTGTTACAGTATGCTAGTTGAATATATAGAGAAAAATAACTCATTTTTAACTTTAACTTTGAGAGAGCATCCTGGAGAATTCTCATCTTGCAACCTCATCTTGCAATTCTCATCTTGTTTAAAGCTTATCATTTTAAGTTGACTGAGCCATTGATAGATTTAGTTTAGTGAAATCACTATGATGCTGTACTCAGGTATTCTTTGGTAAGTGAGAATCATGTTTATAGTCAGATGCCATGTACCTAGTTAGGTTTAGTAGTTTACAACACAAGGACATAAGGCATAATCTTCCTTCATTTACAATCTAATTGGAGAGATGATTCATGTACAAAGGAGTGAAGGCAATTGTTATGAAAGTGAAAATAAGTACTCATTTGTGGATCAGTCTCTTTACGGTAATGTGTAATTGTCTGCTGAATGACACTGTAGAGTTTTGTTGAGGTGGAGACAATGGGGGGAGACCTATGAGAGTAGTTGGGAAATTCACAGTAGTATAGGACAGACTTGTTGAGCTAAAGTGTTTGGATTGGCAGAGGTTGAAGAAAGTTTATTGTAAGTATGGAGAATCAGTGCTTTAAAAATGGAAGGAATATAGCGTTTGTGGGGGATAGATTATCTGACATACACCATAAGCCAGTTTAAGGAAAACCTTGATTTATAAGAAAAGTTTGAACTTGATGATTTAGACACTAAGAGTCTATTAATGTGTTTTTTAGTGTTTTTTTTTTTTTTCGGTTGTGGGGCTTGAACTCTGGGCCTGGGCGCTGTCCCTGAGCTCTTCAGTTCAAGGCTAATGTTTTACCACTTGACCCAGAGCGCCACTTGCGTTTTTTTCTGGTGGTTAATTGGAGATAAGAGTCTCATGGACATTCCTGCCTGGGCTGGATCCTCAGATCTCAGCTTCCGGAGTAGCTAGGATTACAGGCATGAGCCACTGGTACCCAGCAATTAATGTGTTTTTGGACAGTAAAGTAACAGGATAGCAGGATTTCAGAAAAGGCTAAAGTGATATATATATATGGACATATAATAGCAAACACTAGTTTTGCTTCATTGTAAATAAAGCATGAAGTTATGTAATAAGTGCCTACATTAACAAGGAAGTAGGAATCTGCGCATGGTAATATATGTGTGCCTGTAGTTCTAGCACTCCGAGGCTAAGGCCAGAGGATTGTGAATTCCCTGTTTCCAGAACAAACAAACAATCCCTGCATTTGATCCCCAGCAATACTGAAAACAGAAATGGATATAGGAAAGATTTTTTTCAAGGAAGTGAAAACTAAAAGCTGAATTTCTTGGAGTAGCCTACATGGAAGAATATGTCTGACCTCTCTGATCTCCTCTCCTACTGTTTTCCCAGTTGCTTTATTCCCCTGTAGGTGCTGTAATTGTCTTGCTGCTCCTCCACACTCTGGCCCCGGGTTCCTTGCACTTGTCTTTTTTTTCTGTGTTGCCTCTAGTATCCACATAGGTTTTCTCCTTCCCCTCCTAAGGGTTTGACTCTATAGCTCTGTCTCTTGTTTCCCCTATTCTAAAATTGCAACTTCTTCCCTCCTCCCTTCCTTAGTTTACCTTCCCTACTTCTTTTTATACTTAGCATGATCTAAAGTATCATGTCTCATTCATTCATTATTTGCCCTCTCTTTCCCCCTGTCCCCCAGCCACAGTTAAATGAGAGTAGGACTTTATCCATTTTGTTCAGTGCTTCATACTTAGAGCTTTGGCATTATATGCCCAGCCTGGAGTCGACACTCACATATGAGTCATGTAACTGAATTCTGTTCCACTCATTTGTTGAGTCCTCCCCTCTCCTCTCCTCCCCTCCATTATTTCCCTTTTTGCCTGCCTGCCCGCCCTCCTTCCTTCCTTCCTTCCCTCCTTCCTTTCCCTCCCTTCCTCCCTTCCCCCTTCTCTCTTTCTTTCTCTTTCTCTCTCTTTTTCTTTTTCTTTCTTTTGCTCAGGGATAGTGCTCTGCCACTTGAAACACAGTTCCACTTTGAGCTTTCTTGGTGCTTAATTGGAGATAAGAGTCTGACAAACTTTCCTTCCCAGGGTGCTGCTTTGAACTGTCATCTTCAGATCTCAGCTTCCTGAGTAGCTAAGATTACAGGTGTAAGCCACTGATTCTCAGCCTCCACCTTTTTTTTTTTTTTGCCTAATTGCTCTGGTTAGCATCTCTTATATAATACTGCACTGAATAGAGTAGCAAGAGTGGATAACCTTGTCTTGTTCTTGATCCTAGTTCGTAACTGTTAAGACTTATATTAAACAAAGTGAAAGAAGCAACTTTAGATTTCATTTTGCTCTTTTTACCTCACAATATTTGTGTATTTTCATTTCCATAGTGTCTTTCTTAGGGTTACGTAGTCTGGTTCATTTCGGGGTGGAGAAAATTTAAGAAAACTATAACCATTTCTTGTCTTCACAGATTTTAGAAGGAAAAAGCAAAATTTCTGTCAATGACTTCATCATAAAAGCTTCAGCTCTGGCATGTTTAAAAGTTCCTGAAGCAAATTCTTCATGGATGGACACAGTTATAAGACAGTAAGTAAAACTGGAGAAGCTACATATCAATCTTTATGTTTTTCATCCCATCTAATGTGTAAGTGGGAGTTAAAGGGAGAGATGACAGTCATTGGTAAAATAGTTTGAAAATAACACAAGAACACTTGTAAGATAGTACTAAGTTTAGTTTGTAAAGACTACAAGTTCTCTGAGTTGAGTGAAGAGAGCAATGTAAAAATAGTCTAATTAAGCTAGTAACAACTCACAAAGCAAGGTTAAATAAATGGGCTTTCAGAGCAATGTTGAATACAGTATTTGTCAATACTATGGTGACATCTGTCATGGTGCTTTGTGTCACATGTTTTCATTTAGTTCTTTTTTTTTTTCTTTTCTTGCCAGTCCCATGGTCTGGGCACTGTCCCTGAGCTTCTTTTGCTCTACCACTTGAGCCACAGCGCCACTTTTGGCTATTTCCGTGTATGTGGTGCTGAGGAATCAACCCAGGGCTTCACGCATGCGAGGCAAGCACTCTACCACTGAGCCACCCTCCCAGCCCCAGCCTGAGTATTTTCTTGTGTGTAGATTAATGCTTTTTAAAGTTTTATCATCATTCTCATCTATTTGGGAAACAACCAAAACCCAAACGAGTTTTCCTTCCTGCTCTACCCTCACATGCTCACGCCGCCTCTGTAGCCAGTTGTGTGCACACGCTGGCGGAGGCCCCTGTGTAGGAACCAGTTCATTTCACTGTCCCTGGAGGAAGTGTGGGAGCCCACACACTGGGGGCTGAGCAGGCTCACGGGACTGCCCTACTTCAGGTCAAACTCTGTCCCCTTTAGGCTAAACTCTGACCAAATGGGCTGCAAACTCAAGTCCCCATGACACTGTCTTTGGGTTTGATTTGTTAGTTAGGACAACTCACAGAACTCAGGAAAACACTAGATGTAGTGAACTGCCTTGCTGTAAAAAATATGGCAAAGGATATAGATGAATTGCAGGTAAAGAGATGGTCAGGGTGAGGGCTGGTGGTTGAACTAATATGTTGTCTCTGGGCATACTACCTGCATTTTAGTAACTTAATGGGATAGAAATTTCTAAAATTGAATATGTTTTTGTAAACCCTGGAGACCATCTATATAAGACCATTTATATAAGACATATTTTGAAGAAAATATGTCATATAAATACAATGGTAATACAACTTTTATTAACTAAATTTTTAATTGTGCTTATGAAAAGACATGTAGTATACCATGGATACAATAACCTGATTTTAATTATTAAGGTAGGAACTATATATATTTACTAAGTAATATTCTAAATTTATGTTTGTATTCTTACAAAAGTTCTACATTATTTCTCAAAGTGGTTGCAGTATTTTACTTTCCCACCTCCAATGGATCAGGATTCCAGTTTGTCCAGTCCTCACCAACACTTGTTTTTTTTTTTTTTAAAGAGCACATTTCTTTTTTTGGGGGTTCAGTCATGGGACCTGAACTTGGCCTGGATGCTGTCCCTCAGCTCTTCAGCTCAAGGCTAGCACTCTACCACTTGAGCCACAGCGCCATTTCCGGCTTTTTTCTTTTTGCTTATGTGGTGCTGAGGAATCGAACCCAGGGCCTCATGCATGCAAGGCAAGCGCTCTACCACTGAGCCACCTTCCTAGCCCCTCACCAACACTTGTTAATGTGTTATGTGTTTTAAATAGCTATTCAGAAGGATACGAATAAGAGCCATCTGCTTTTAGGACTATGCAGTGGGGAAAAAATACTCTTAACAGGAAGGATCAAGGGCATGGCAGGTTCTGTGAACTATTGATTCTTACAAAATGCCTTTCATTCTTACAGCTATTCAACAAATACTGAACACAATGTTTGCTGGATTCAATGGTGAATAAGGCAGGGAACACAATGTTTTATCAGAAGGCAGCTTACTAAAATCTATTGTGGGGCTGGGAAGATGGCTCAGTGGAAGAGTGCTTGCCTTGCATGCATGATGCTCTGGGTCCGATTCCTCAGCACCACATAAGCAGAAAAAGCTGGATGTGGCACTGTGGTTTAAAGTGGTAAAGCACTAGCCTTGAGCTGAAGAGCTCAGGGACGGCGCCCACGTCCAGAGTTCAGGCCCCCACTGACAAAAAAATAAAAATCTATTGTGAAAGGATGATTTTTTGAGCCATATTTTTATTTTCATTTCATAGATAGTTGTACATGTTTATGTGGTACAGTATGGCATTTCTTTTTGTTGAGAATATTCTAGCTATTTTAAAACATCCAATTATTGTGATAATGGTATAGTTTAATAAGAAAGTAGTATTTGCTTGGCACTAGTGCTCATACCTATAATCCTAGCTGTTCAACAGGCTGAGATCCAAAAACTGTAGTTGAAAGCCAGCCTGGGCAGACAAATCCGAGAGACTCCTATCTTCAATTATTAGCAAAAAAACTAGAAGTAGAGTTGTGACTCAAGTGGTAGGGTACGGCTAAGGGAGAGTGAGACTGGTAATTCAAGCCCTACTACCAGCACAAAAAAACAACTCTTTCCCCCTCCCCTGCCCCCCCCCCGCCCCCAAACCTCAGTGTTGATTATTTGATTTATTTTTTCTTTCTTTCTTTCTTTTTTTTAAACAGAAATCATGTTGTTGATGTCAGTGTTGCAGTCAGTACTCCTGTAGGCCTCATCACACCCATCGTGTTTAATGCACACATAAAAGGACTAGAAACCATTGCTAATGATGTTGTTTCTTTAGCCACCAAAGCAAGAGAGGGTAAACTGCAGCCACATGAGTTCCAGGTAAGACACTGGAAGGATTTTTTTTTTGTTGGGGGGAGGGCTTTTTTGTTGGTTTGTGGGACACTGTTCCACTATGTAGCTTAGTCCTGAAAAGAAAGAACAATGAAGTCACACATCAAAAGCTGAAAAAAAGATACTATCCAACTATCAATACAAATAACTGGCTTTTGTTTAGATTGTATTGGTTATTTTCCTTTTTTTTCAGTAATATATATTCTATTCCGGCCTTTCTTAATACACAGTAAAAGATTATCTTAAGGCATTTTCCCAGAACATTTCTTTTTTCTTTTTTTTTTTGGATCTGGTTGTGGGGCCTGAACTTTGGGCCTGGGCGCTGTCCCTCAGCTCTTCAGCTCAAGGCTAGCGCTCTATCACTTGAGCCACAGCGCCACTTCCCGCTTTTTTTCTTTTTGCTTATGTGGTGCTGAGGAATTGAACCTAGGGCCTCATGCATGCAAGGCAAGCGCTCTACCACTGAGCCACCTTCCCAGCCCCTCCCAGAACATTTCTAATGCTTTATAGTTTATTGTGACAAGCAATTAGTATGATCTTTTTTTTTTTTTTTTTTTTTTTGTCGGTTATAGGGCTTGAATTCTGGGCCTGGGCGCGGTCCCTGAGCTCTTCAGCTCAAGGCTAGCGCTCTACCACTTGAGCCACACAGTGCCACTTCCAGTTTTCTGGTGGTTAATTGGAGATAAGAGTCTCATGAACTTTCCTACCCAGGCTGGCTTTGATCAACTATCCGCAGATCTCAGTCTCCTGAGTAGGATTACAGGCGTGAGCCACCAGTGCCTGGCTGATTTTTTTTCTTTTTTTTTTTTTTTCCAGTATCCTAGCCCAACTCAGAGCCTTACTGTTGCTTAGCTTGCCTGCTCATGGCTGATGCTCTACCATGTGAGCAATGCCTGTAGTCCAGGTTTTTACAAGTTTTGTTTGGAGATGACGTTTCATTGTCTTTTCTGCTTGGCTGGTTTTGAACCTTGATCCTTTTATCTAACCCTCCTGAGTAGTTCGGATTACAGTTGTGAGCCACCAATGCCCAGACTAATATTCAATCTTTTTTCCTTTAGGGAGGAACTTTTACAATCTCCAATTTAGGAATGTTTGGAATTAAAAATTTTTCTGCTATTATTAACCCACCTCAAGCGTGTATTTTGGCAATTGGTGCTTCAGAGGATAAACTAGTTCCAGCAGACAATGAAAAAGGGTAGGTGCCTAAATGGAGAGGGAGTTACAAGTTCATTTTCATTACATTATGCTTAGTCTTGTGCATCTGCTTTACCAAGTTACTGGCATGGGTATTGGAATTTCAGGTAGAGTCAAATGTAAATGTGGTTTGATAGTCTGTTGGGTATTGTTTATCTGGGGTCAGATTTTGTTGGGAGCATTTAAATCTAGATTAGAGTTTGGTTGTGTTGAGACGCTGTGATGTTAACACTTGTCTATCAATTGAAAAAAAAAATTGAGATTGCTAGGCAGGGTAGGTTTGGAGAGTACTAGTTTTTCAGAGATAACTATGGGTGAGAGAAATCTAATGTAATAGATTTAGCTGAAGAAGGATGAAAAAGAGAATAAGTAATGGCTGCAAAGAAGGAAACAAATGAGCTGGGTGCCGGTGGCTTATGCCTGTAATCCTAGCTACTGAGGAGGCTGAGATCTGAGGATCTCGGTTCAAAGCCAGCCTGGGCAGGAAGGCCCATGAAACTCTTATCTCCAATAAACACTCAGAAAACCAGAAGTGGTGCTGTAGCTCAAGTGGTAGAGCGCTCGCCTTGAGCTGAAGAGCTGAGGGACAGTGCTCAGGCCCAGAGTTCAAGCCCCATAACAGACAAAAAAAAAAAGAAGGAAACGAATGAGGGTGAGAGACCTTGTAGTCCTTACCAAGAAGAAGAAAATCAAGTTGAGAGTCTATGCATAAGACACCCTAAACATTAATTATTGCCTACTCTTAAAAAGCTTGTCAGTGGTAGGTATTCCCCTGTTTAAATACACCGTTAGTTTCAGGTGGAGAAGGGTGTTGTGATAAAGAAAAGATTAGGTATATTTGTTAACTAATGAGCAATTCAGTTCTAAGAGTCAGTATGAGCCAATGCAAAATAACACTAATGAAAACAAAAGTGCTCAAAAGAAAACCACAAGATAACACAATATAAAGTAAAAAACATAGAACCCTACAGTTTCATACACTTTAGAGGTTTTAAATCATGGATTGGTATTTCCCTATCTAAATTCGTCTCCACTTTTGTTTGGGGAGGGGTATTATGGTGTAGAAAGGAGATTATATCAACTGGTTGATCAATCAAACACAGAGAACAAGCTATTAGTAAGGCTCCCCAAAAAGTTAAACCAAAAGGTTTTCCAAATGGGCAGAATAACCATATAAATGCAAGAAAAATGGCAAGTCAAGAAAGCTTAATTCCCACAGAAAATAACCAGGCAATAGAGTAGACAATGAAGGACTTAGAAGATAGTTCTCAAAATGCTTTAAAAATAGTGCTGATAAAAGTATGATTAATGAGGAGATGGGAAGCCTACACAAGGCAATTTGTGAGGGTGGTGAAACTAAATAGTATTAGAAATCACAGAATTCTTCTAATTCATGTAGAATTCATTCTGTAAACCTAAAGGAATTCCAAGAGAAGGAAAAAGGAGTCTAATGAGGCAATAGTCACTCAGCTAAAGGATATGAGATAAGACTCAGATAAACAAATCAAGGAAATGAAGTCCATACAGGACCTAAAAAAATTCCATAGAGATTGAAACCATTACAAATGACCAATTAGATGGCAGAGAAATAAAAAACAGAGTAGAAAGTCTTGACAGCAGAATAAATGATGTGGAAGACAGTCTCAGGGATCAAAGATAGATTAGATATAATAGAGGAAGAGGAGACAATTTTCTAGAACAAATCCAAGAAATAAGAAGCTTGCAAGAACTTCCAGATTCAGTCAAAAGGCCTAATTTAAGACTAAGAGGTATTAAGGAAGGAGAAGAGCAGGCAATTAAAGGGATAGGACACATTTAACAGAATTCTAACAGAACTTCCCAAACATGCAAATGTAAATAAATGTGGAATGAAATTCCTCAGGGCAACAACTTTTATGAAATGAAGTTAATCCTGTTTGAAGTGGGATTCTCTTTGAGATTTACTTAGATGAGAAGGTAACAGTTTTTTTTTTTAAAGAGATAGTAAATATTTTAGTTTTCTGGACCATGTGGTCTTCATTCCACATACCCCACCATTAAAATATGCAAGCAGGCATGAAAATGGTAAATACTGTGTAAATGAAAGGCTTTCTCTATAAAAAGAGGCAGAAGGCCGGATTGGACCAGGTTGTATAGCTTGTCACATATCTACTTACCTGCTACCTGGTCTGTTTAGCTCTTTGAGCTGAAGATACAGGTAACATTAAAAGTAGGAGGAAAGTAATATTACCTGGGTGGGATTAAGGGCAGGATAAGGATGTGATTAGCTAAAATCCATTCTTTTCAGAAAATCTAATTTATTTATTTTTTTTTTTTTTCTAGATTTGATGTGGCTAGTATGATGTCTGTTACACTCAGCTGTGACCATCGAGTTGTGGATGGAGCAGTTGGTGCCCAGTGGCTTGCTGAGTTTAGAAAATACCTGGAGAAACCTGTAACCATGTTGTTATAATTTACTGAAGAACTTCTAGACTCCCAAGTCACTTTGGTTCATTCTTATCAAGATATTTATATGTTATTAAACAGGTGGTTCTTTGAAAGTTTAACTAGTTATTTTTATTATTGAATCTATCCATATGCATTGTTTGTAATGGGCATTACAGAATGTTTTTTAATGTCAGTTACATACGAATATTGTGTACATTTAATGTCAGATTTTCAGTTGTGCACTCCTAGTCAAGAGAGACACATGGCCTTGTTCTTTGCGCGATATGTATTTGCACTAGAATACAGAATAGATAGGATGTGGCTCCCTAGAGACCAGTATGCGGAGGGAACACAGATGTAAGTAACCTTGCCTTTCAAATTGCGTACATGTGAGAGCAGGAAGTTAGAAAAATTGCTTCTCTTGGGGGAAGGGCTAGGGTTTGAAATTTGGAATTTTACCCTGATTCTTCTATGGTTTGTCACACATGGGAGTGGTAGAGAACTTCAAGGAGAGTGAAATTTTTACGGTCCACATTTTCCTAAGCTTCCTCAATCAACTGTCCTTTAAAATGAGTTTCTACATAAATGATTGTTTTCCTTAAGGTAAGGACAAATGGGAGTGGATATGTGGCTCAAGTGCTAAAGTGCCAGCCATGAGTGAGAAAGCTCAGTAAGGCTGGAGGCTTGAATTCAAGCCCCAGAACTAGCATCAGCAAAAAAAGATAATAAAAATTTAAGTCCACTTCTTGATAGAACACCTTACGTATTTATTTAAGCAGCTTAAGTGTGTGATTCTGAGAGAACTCTATAGTTAATTCCAAATAAAAGGACATGCGTATGGAATTGAAGAGAAGTTCTGGGGGGCAGAGGTATCCAAGATCGACTGAACGTTAGCTGTAAATGAACTTACCAGAATTTATTACTTATATAACCTGAGAACTCTATGAAATAACTGTGGAGTAAATGTACATAATGTAAAATAGGATTACTAGAGTTGGATGTGTGCCAAAGTCGTCTTAGCACCAAATCTTGTTGGCAGTGGGGAACACTGGTAAATGGCTTGGAATTCTAGCGGAACTCCCAAGCCACGCACCAGCACTTGTCCTGTCTCCTTAAGAGCTAGAGTCCAGAGGATCCTGGGCACAGGTGCTCGAGGCCAGCCCAGGCAAGATAGCAAAACTCCATCTCAAAAACAAAGCAAGCATTAAAAACAAATGATGCCCAAAACAAAATGGTAATTTCTTGTTGGAAAAAAAAAATCTTAAAAAATAGTGAAAAGTATATAAAAATCATTCTGTTTCTCTTCCCAAGCATTGCCTTAAATAAGATATCCCTAAAATCCTTTTGGAAAGACAGACTTCTTCCCATTTTACTATGTTTGCCTTTTAGAGGAATGAAGGAGGTGATATCAGGATAATCAGAATGAACTGGGAACATTATCACAATTCCAGACTTTCTACTGAGCTGATATGTTTTAATAAATGTATGGGATTATTTATGACTATTTCAAATAAACCTTGTACATGTACTATATGGAGCTGTCCCCTGCCCTTGCTTTTAAGTGTTTCAGCACAGAATCCATCTTTCTACATGTTCGTTCTCCCAAGTATTCCTCATGTAGTCCACCAATAGTCAGCTTGCTGTGTGACGAACAATTCAGAACATCCATCTGATTTTTTGGTAGTTAGTATTTTTAGGTTGAACTGGAAATTATGAAAAAAGAATTAGCTCATCATGAGAGGGCTGTCCTTATTGTGAGCTATATATGGTCCCAACAAGTCAAACTGCAAATAAAATTCCTTACTAATGTTTATGGCTTTACTATTACCTTGAAAGAAAAATAAAACAGTTGCCATCTAATGCAAATTGTGGAGTTAAGAGTTAATCTCAGCTATGGTTCAAATAAGACTTTAAAACTTACATGTTTTCAATGTGTCTTGAAGAATCTTATTTTTTTCACCTTAAAAAATTAATGTTAAGTGTCACCTTTGTGCTTATAGACTCTCAGTACATACAAATTTTTGGCTGGACTGGTAGGCAGAGACAGGTGGATTGCAGTTCAGCCCCTGTAAAACATCGAGATCCTTTTGCATACGCTGGTTGTGGTGACCCATACCTACAATCTCAGCTACTTAAGAGGTAGGAGTACCGTAATAACTCAAGGAGCCATGGCACTTATTCCCAAAATAGGAGTGATCTAGCTCTGTTAGATATTTAAAGGACTATGAAGTTCCTGGGTCCAAGGGCATGGTTTGCACAACTATTAGGCAATCATGTGAAAGTTGAAAGTAATGGTAGTACAGTTCTCGGACACCTGGGGAAATTGCCACTAGTGACAGGAATATGAAACTGGTTAAATTCAGCCAGGTGCTAGTAGCTCACACCTATAATTCTAGCAGCTCAGGAGGCTGAGATCTGAGGATTGAGGTTCATGGTCATCCTGGGCAGGAAAGTCCTTGAGACTCTAATATACCACCAAAAAGCCTGAAGTGGAGCTATTGCTCAAGTAGTAGAGTACTAAGCCTTGAGAAAAGCCAGACAGTAACCAGGCCCTGATTTCAAGATCCAGCCCCTCCTACCATCACCACAAAAACAAGTTGAAACTTAAAATTAGTATGTACTTCATTTTTAATGTTTTTCCTGGACAGTGTTTTGCTTTTTGTACAGAGGTCATTATTAATGAAAAAAACATTAAAAATAAATACAAGGGGCTGGGAAGGTGGCTCAGTGGTAGAGCGCTTGCCTTGCATGCCTGAGGCCCTGGGTTCGATTCCTCAGCACCATATAAGCAAAAAGAAAAAAGCCGGAAGTGGCGCAGAGGCTCAAGTGGTAGAGCGCTAGCCTTGAGCTGAATAGCTGAGGGACAGTGCCCAGGCCCAGAGTTCAGGCCCCATGACTGGACCAAAATAAATAAACAAATAAATAAATATAAGTGGCTCATGCCTGTAATCCTAGCAACTCAGGAACTTGAGATCTGAGGATTGCCATTCAAAGCCAGCTGGGGCAGGAAAGTCTGAGACTCTTATCTCCAATTAATCCTCAGAAAATCACAAGTGTTGCTGTGGCTCAATGTGGTAGAGCACTAGCCTTTAGTGAAAAAATTCAGAGGAAGTGCCCAGGCCCTGAGTTCAAGGCCCATGACCAACTAATTAAAAAGTATGGATAGGGGCTGGGAATGTGGCACCGTGGTAGAGCGCTTGCCTTGCATGCATGAGGTCCAGGGTTTGATTCTGCAGCACCACATAAGCAGAAAAAGCCAGAAGTGGCGCTGTGGCTCAAGTGGTAGAGCGCTAGCTTTGAGCTCAAGGCGGAAGAGCTGGGGGCCCAGAGGGGGGAGGGAAAGGTGTAGATAATTTGGAAGTTAATCAAAGTTTAACATTGGGGGTGTGTGTGTGTGTGTGCGAGGGTGCAGTATGCTTTTGATTGGCTATTTTGGAAATAGAGCCTAGTGGCCTTTTCTGTTCAGGTTGTCCTCAAATCGATTCCAGTTCTCAGTCTCTAAACTACAATTTCAGGCCTGAGCCACGGGCACCCAGCCTCAAGTTTAACATTATACTGGAAGTATTTTATTAATAAGTACATAAACATAATGGAAACATCTACATATTGAAGGTAAAAGTAGAAATTCAGCTTTATGTGGTCATTATGTAGAGAGATATCTGGGAAATAGAATTTGGCTCTGTTGGTGAAGGCATGCCTGTGTTTCTGAGGAGTGAAACAAGGGTAAGTTTTAGTTTCAGTCTTAAAAAAATAAATTATTGCTAGAAGAATTCAAATGTACGTCAGGTTTAAGATTTTATTTGCTTTTATATATCATAAATTATTCTATTATACATGAACATTACTTCCTAAAGGCTTGATTTATAAATTTTATGTTGAAGTATACATTAATAATTATAAGAAAGTTATTTTTTTAACCTAGAAAAGGCAAAGTGATATTTAAAGTGTGATGTGTATTGTGCTACCCTGGGAGGTAAATTGGATAGATGGTACATTTGTCTTTGACACCTTGCAGGAGATGGAAGCTGAGCAGTGTACCATTAATTTCTCTAGGAGAAAAGTACTTGTCCCAAATTAGCTCAAATTTGCATATGTTGTGCCAAAACATCAATTGCTGTACTGTATCCAGTTCACAGAAAAGTCCTACTGATGTTAAAATCAGACTCATGGCAGAGCTGTCTTATTGAAACGTAGTTTCCTAGAAGCAGATTGGTCCTATGTGTTAAATGCTGGAGGAAGCTTATTGCTACAGCCCATCCTGGTGATAGCAAACTTTCTGTAGGTCTGGGATTTTTTTTCTGATGAAAAATGCTAGAGATCTTTTTTTTTTTTTTTTTTTTTTTTAAGTAGCAAACCAAGAGTTCCCATGTGTTCCTTAAAACAACTTTAGAATTTTTCCAATGACATGTCTTAGGATTGATCGGAGTATATATAAGATAAATAACTAATTTTTTGAAATCCTACTCTTTCAAAGTTTCTGGTTAATATCAAAACTGAGGAGAAAAAGTAGTTAAAAGTAGTTTCAGCTGAAGGGATAAATCTTTCTGTCAAAGGGATCTCTTAGAAAATACGGAATTTGGGCTGGAGTTGTGGTTCAAGTGACAGAGTACTTGCCTTGTAATTTGTATGATCTCATACAGAAAAAATATAAAAGAAATTGCTTAAAATAAAAATTAAAAATCCAAAACATCAAGCTGTTGTTTTCAATGGCATTGTGATGATTAATGTAGACTTGTCTTTGATAAATTTTGCTGTCGTCATTTCAGTATCAACAGATTCTGGAAGATTCAGGTGTAATTGGTATTTCTCCGAGACCATGATTAGTAAATCATCCTAAGAATAACAAGATATTTTCGGAACATGAGAACTGATTTTAAAAAATTTGTGCTATTAAATTTCTGCTTTTTTTTCCCCACAGTAATTACTGAGTTCAAGTTTTCACTTAGGTAGGAGGATCCTGTTTTCTTGTACAAGTTACTGGGGTTTGAGCTCAGGGTCTGGATGCTGTCCCTGAGCTTTTGAGCCACAGCTCCACTTCTGGCTTTTGGTGGTTAATTAGAGATAAAAGTCTCATGGACTTTCCTGTCCAAGGTAGCTTTGAACAATGATCTTCAAATCTCAGCTTCCTGACTAGCTAGGATTACAGGCCTGAGCACTGGCATCCAGCTGTTTTGAGATTTTTATTGCTGCATAACATCAAATGTTAAATGACATTGTTCCAAGAGTAGTGTTGTCATCCTGAATTATGTGGTACAATCGTTGGAGTTAACTAGCAAAAGGACAAGGAAATGGAGTAGGGGCTGAAAGATATTAGGGGATGTGTGATCTGATAAAGCCCCAAGAAACTAACAGTGGTTTGGGAGGCAAATAATGTACTTAGGTAATTTGTGACTGGAGTGTGGAGTGTGAATGGAGTGTCTAGGCGAAGGAGTGGGACATAGAATGTTGCTATTATGTGTGCTTCTGTTGGCTACATTTCCTTTTTCTGAAGTGAGGTTAACTATTATCTTCTCCCTATTCCACAATGTATCACGGATTGGGTTTGGGCACTTGTCATTGATTTGTGGTTGAAAGGACATAGAGGGTTGGGATGTAGCTCAGTGGCAAAGCATTTGCCTAGCAAGTACAATGTCTTAGGTTGAATCCCCAGTACCAAAAAAGAAAAAAATACAGCTAAAAAAAAACCAAACAAATAAAAATACCCTTAGCAGGTATTAGTGGCTCACGCCTGTAATCCTAGCTATTCAGGAGGCTGAGATCTGAGGATCATGGTTTCAAACCAGCCTGGGCAGGAAATACCATGAGATTCTATCTGAAATTAATCATTCTACTCAAGTGGTAGAGTGTTATCCTTGAGCAAAAGTTCAGAGACATTGCTCAGGCCCAGAGTTCAAGCCCCGGGACTGGCAATATATATGTATGTGTGTGTGTATATATATATATTTACACACACACACACATATATATCATATATATATATAATTGGCAAAAATATATTTTAGAGTTTGTTACTGTGATGAGGGGTGCTTCCTTGAGAAAACCAGCAAAATATCTGTAACCAAAAGGACAGACTGTGGCTGACTAGGACTGCTCCCAAATACCTGCTCTTCTGTAAGACAAGAGGATTGCATATCCTTGCTATATGGCTTCCCATGAATACCTGTGAGACTATACTTCCAAGTCCCATTTATATAAGACTTGGCCTTCTCAGAAGTGATATATGCTGTATCTCAGTTGAAGTTTTAGATCCATTGTATGGGCTTGTCATTTCTGTTTTCACTCTACAGTGAGTGAGAAAGACCTATATCTCAGATGTTCAGAACTGTTCCTTCACCTCAGCCTAAGGATCTATAAGACTCATGAAGCAAAGTGGCCTAGCTAGTGTGTAACATGAGTAAATAATTATAAGCCCTAAAGTGTTGGAGTTTATTACTGCTACAGTATAGTAGTGTGTAATGACAGATACAAATTTTCTGTATTGTTAGTCTTCTGTACCTGGAGGTTCCACACTTGTGGGAGGATTTAACTTATTTGGGATTAGAAATGTAGTAATGTTTATAATGGTTGTATCTCTACTGGTGTAAACTTGAAACAGAATTTAAACAACAGTCCAATGTAACTCAGTCTAGTTTGGATCTTAGGTGCCACCCAAAGGTCCATGTGGTAAAGGCTTGCTCTCTGCAGAGGCACTATTACAGGGAGGTGATGGAACTGTTAGGAAGTAGGGTTCACCGGGAGGTCTTTAGGTCATTGGGGAGTGGGACCCTGGTCACTTCCTTTCTCCCTGGCCATGTTGATAAGTGGTTTTGCTTTGCTATGCACTCTTGCCATGATATGTTGCCTCAGATTGGCCTAAAATCAATGGGGCCAACTGACTATGTTAAAATGGAAAGTGAACTAAATAACCATATGTATTGGATTTACATATATAACTAGGCACTATAAAGTGTATGGGTATATGGGCATAGATTATTTGCAAATACTGTGTGGCTTTATATACAAGACTTATGCATCCATGGGTTTTGGTATCTTCAGGGGTTCCTGAAAACAAATCTCCAGGGATACTGGAAGACTACAGTATGGTCTATTCCACTGACCTCAGAAACATGAAGGTCACAGAGAGAGGCTGAATTAACACCAGGTAATTCAACTTTCAATTCAATTTTCAGAGGTTTGTCATTCTGATCCTTTGCAATTTTTAATTTATAGGCTGGAATCTTCATGTCCGCCTGGATTTCAGTGCTAGAAAGCTCCTCTATAAGAGGTTTGCCTGAAACTTGGTCTTTTGGCAGCAACAATTGAGGACAGTGATCTGGACTGCTCACAGCACTGGTTCTTATTTCTCCAAGAGTATTTTCTGTACAGAAAAGAGACAGGAGAGAGCAAATCACAAAATGCTCTGTCTGTGATATAGAAGGATGCACAAGTGTTTCATATGAAATGACAGTATTTGCAAATAACCTTGCCCATTTCCCCATATAATGTATACTGTGTGTATGTGAATATATGTATATATATGTAGATACATTCATACATGTATTTCTATATACATATATAATATGACTTGGAAAATATGCTTGGCTATGGTTACATAAGTTTGGAAATACTAATCAAAAGAGTCCTAAATGAAGCTGGGGATATAGATTAACAGTAGAACTCCTGCCTAGTAGTGGAGGTCCTAGGTTGGATTCATCCCCCAGCACATCAACAAAACACACAAACCCCATCACCACCACCACCACCAAAAAACTCACAAAATATAAAACGGCTTAAAGAATTTGACTGGAAAAAAAACGTTTATGGAGGATTGGGGGCAGGGCTTCAGTGCTAGTGTACCAATTGGGAGTGAAAAAGCTGGGGCACATAGGAGGTCTGAGTTTAAGCACTGGTACTACCAAAAATCAAACTGTTAAAAACAAGATGGGTATTCTTAACACTTCCGAAAACTGAAATTTTATATTTTTCTTAAGTGTCTTATCTTTTGAGAGAGTTCTAGATTGCAAACTTTACATAGGTTACACAATAATGAAACTGGTTTAATTTTGAACTCATATTCAATAACTTACCCTTCCTCATTTTCTCTCTTAAGTCTGTGAAGTCACTAGTCTTTAGTCTCATCAGATTTTGCTTCATTCTTTGAATGCTTCCTTTCATTTTAAATTTGGTAACATGGTAAGAGTGCGAGAGGGTGATCTCGAATCTCTGCTCGATGCATTCCATGGCCATCCTGATTAACTGATCTTTTTGCACTTGGTCCTCTTCTGCTTCCTGTAGAACCCCAGGGTTGTAAGCAACATTGATGACTGTATAAGCATCTGTGTGTAACCCAGAGAGTGTGAAATGAGACCATCTGTTAATGATATTGACAGGTCATATATTAAACCATATTCCTGATGAAGATACAATTCAAAGGCAATGACAGTGGCATTATATACACAAAATTCCAATTAAGGCATGGCTGGTATTTTTACACAGGTTCAAAGCAGCTCATTATTAGAAAAACTGAACAATATTATATTTTGCATGAAGGTAGACCAGTTTGTCATTAACTGTGTTACCACTAAAGAAAATCTTTTACTTGAAATTCAAACCCAACTAAAACCTAATCCATGCTTATTCTAAATAAAATAATAAAAATGTGTTCTCTCCTTTAATTCTTTGTACCTGATGCCTCAGAGATATCTTCTGGTCTGCCAACACTTATAGGTACTGGGTGAGTAGCTGACTGGGGAGCAGGGATCCTTTTCCACTGACACAGGTTGATATAAAGTAGTTTTTCTTTTGGTTTCTGGAAAGTGAATCATTTTAATAGCTCAAAATTCTAGGTTTTTAGAAAAGTTTTAAGATAATATCTTAAAAGCAACTCTTTTTTTCCATTTCCTGGAATTCAGTTCATAAATACATGATCAGAAGAAAAGCAACTCTCTACCGGATGGGAAAAAGGAGAGTTTTGTTTTTTTTAAATTTTATTTTGACTTGTGGTGCTGGTGATTGAAACTAGAGCCTTACAGATGCTAAGCAAGTGCTCTACTACTGAGCTACATTCTCCAACCCAGAAGAGGAGAATTAGAGGTGCTAGATCATTCCAAATACTAAAACCGTGCTTGAGATTCCTCAAGGTAGTTGGCTTATCATCATGAATCTGATTTCTGCCCCTTTCCTCTGGAAAAGACAGGAGAAAGGGTTGCATGTTGTTGTTCTACCAGATATAGCTGACTATTTCACCACTGCATGATCTCTCCAATTCCATGATTCTTTATCAAATCATTATGCCACTTTTCCTTTTCCTTCTACCAGTAAGAAATGACTCATTTTGACATCTTTTTTTTCACCCAGTGCTGGGGCTTAAACCCGGCCTGGGCACTGTCCCTGAGCTTCTTTTGCTCAAAGCTAGTACTCTACCACTTGAGCCTCAGCACCACTTCCAGCTTTTTCTGTTTATGTGGTACTGAGGAATGGAACCAGGGCCTCATGCATGCTAGGCAAGCACTCTACCACTGAGCCACCTTCCCAGCCCCTTGACAAAATATATTCTTACTCTTTCAACAAATCACAAAACACTGAAATTTCATTTTTTTTTTGTCGGTCGTGGGGCTTGAACTCTGGGCCTGGGCGCTGTCCCTCAGCTCTTCAGCTCAAGGCGAGCGCTCTACCACTTGAGCTACAGCGCCACTTCCGGTTTTCTGGTGGTTTATTGGAGATAGGAGTCTCACGGTCTCTCCTGCCCGGGCTGGCTTTGAACCGCGATCCTCAGATCTCAGCCCCCTGAGTAGCTAGGATTATAGGCGTGAGCCACCAGCGCCCGGCTTGAAATTTCATTTTTTTTAACAGAGGCAGTTTCCGCCAAGTTTTCTTGTGTTACAGTAGCAATAGTCGAGGGTCAGATATTCCCCACTTATCCTAGAAGCCCATTCAGTGTCTCCCAATCCCTTAAAGCAATTCTACATACGAGAATCCTGGTCCTTAGACAAAGCTGTGGTTCTGGGCCAGCAGAGAGCTCTTTCCCCTCTTTCAGTTCTTGTTGAATGAAGTTCTTATAACACTCAGGGTCATTTTCAGCTAAATCATCTAGGAGGTTCCAGAATTGAGTAAGCTGGGACAGTAGACCCTTTGAGGATGTCTCCATGATTAGGGGTGCAACAGGCTGCTGTGGAAAGATGTTAATTAGAGGGGGAAAAGTTTATTGATTAGTTTTTTTAGGGGAGGAGGAATGGATGAGGAATTGTGTCTAAAGGATTGGTGTTCTGAACTGCTTTATCTTTATTAATGCTATTCTATAACTAACAACCCTTCTTAAATTACCAAGTTGTCCTCTCAGATGAAGCCTTCACTCTGTTGGAAGCTTCACAAACCCCAAGGGAGCAGAGCAGTGATTTTTAAGTCATCGATTCCTGATGTTTATCTTGTTCAAATACCTGGACATTGGGTAGTAGATGGTGCTTTCCAAATCCTGAAACTGCCAGACTTGTGTATGTGGGTGAGAGTCACAGAGGATTTCCTTAATCCTCAGTATTGTTTAGTAGTTTAAGCACATAGATTCGGAGCCAGCATGCCTTGATTCTGATCTTTGCTCTATCTCCAGCTAACAGTGACACAGTGAGCAAGTCATGTATATATGTGCCTCATATTCAGATGAAAATGAAGATACCTCGTGGGATTATTGGGAGGATCAGGTGATCTAGAGAGGCTGGGACAGTTTGGTAAACATCATTTGTGAGCAATAATCCTGGGGATGACTCTTCTAGTCCCCCATTCCTCTAAAGGAGAGGTGTTCCACACCGTGCACAGAACGAGAGAAAAAGAAGAGGTTTTAGATTCTTCGAATATTCTATCAGGATTAGACTGGACGACAGTCAACTACAAAGTCAGGGGACCCACCTCTGCTCCCGGGTCCCACCGCGACTCCTGTTACCCGGGTAACCAGGGCGGGTTCCTCATCTAAACGAGTCCGGAAGGCCGCGGACAGAAAAGTCTCCTTACATCCCAGTTCCGGAATGTCCTCCCCTATAGCAGGCTTGCTTTGCAGCGGGTCCCGACTCATTTCTCTTCCAGACGAGCTCCTGCTTCCTTTATGAGCGCGCCGGCCTCCAGAATGTCCAGCAAAACTCTCCCACGGGGAGCCTCCGGGTCTCGCGGTCGGAAGGAAGGCTTTCTCGGGAGCACAACTTCCGGTCTGGAGCGGAAGTCTCCCCCCTTTTTTTTCTGCCGGGCCGCGCGCTTCCTTCCCCCCCACCCCCGCCACGCGAGGCTGCGGCGCACGGTATGGGTGTGTTTGTGTGTGTTTGTGTGGGGAGGGCGTTTGGAGGGACGGTGACCGGGAGCTCTGAGGCCGCCGCGGGGCAGGGATCCCGGTGACCAAGATGGGGGTGTGCTTTTTGTCTTCCATTTGGAAGCCCCATCCCCCCCTTCGGACACCCTAGATACTTCCCAGGGCCCAACGGAAGGCCTTACCCGTCCCAGGCGTCCCCGTCCCCCTGTGGGCAGCGAAACCCAACCGCCGGGGCCGCCGCCCCGGCCGGGCGCGCGCGGGGGATGCGCGCGGGGCGTGCGCGCGGCGGCCCGGCCCCCTCGGGCCTCGGTCCGGGCGAGAGCGCTGCCCGTCGGGCTGGGCTGGGCCTCGGGTGAGGGCAGAATAACCGGTGGGAAGGCTGCGTTTTCACGAAGGACTCGGGTGAAGCTGCAGAGCTGCCTTTGAGCCCTGACTCCTTGGCTTCCTGGGTCGGAGGAGATCTTGTAATGGAGTGGTTCTTCGTCTCACACTAACAAGATGCCTGATTTCCTCAGGATCGAGGGGTGAGTGAGTGTTGGGGTGCTCGCACAAAGCCCCTGCCAAGCTTCACGTGTGAATATCTTTGTCATCTAGTGTTTTTTTTTTTTATTTTTTAAACTTCTGTACGAAATAAAGAAAAAAAGAAATGCCCCCGGCTTGAAAATTTTAGGTCCTTTTGCATTTGATGTTTTCAGGCGTCAGTTTTTGTAACTAGTGACGTATGGTTTCTGACACGCGAATCTAGGTATTTGCTTTGTGCACACTGATTTGAGGATTGGAGATTCGATTTCTCATCGGGCTGTGGATGTACACGATTTATCTGGGATTATGTAGGAGTCACGGCTTTAAGCGGGGGAACTTCTGGTATCCCAGGGTTCAACATCTTACGAGTTCAACCCCCGCCCCCCACGCCCCGCCAACCGAAAACATTTGGGGAAACAAATTGCATCTATAGTAGCCATGTACAGACTTGTACTTTTTTTTTTTTTAAATTAAGTCTGCTACCTACTTAAGTAGCATTTGCATTGTATCAGGTATTGTAAATAATGCAGACCTGATTGAAAGGGTATGGGAGGTTGTGTTTTGGTTATATGTGAGGACTTTTTACCATTATAAATGTGAAAGTTGAGCACCCGTGGATTTTGATGTGGGTTTGGGTATGTGTCCCAGCACCACTCTCCTGTGGATACTGAAGGATAGATACTTGCCTCATTAAACACGGAGTTTAAGTAAAATGCTGCTCATGAAAATACTTAGTTTCATGCAATTTTAAGGAGCTTTAGTGTGCCATTATCCCTTTCACCCCTACATTAATTGTGGTCAGGCATTTAAGTGGTGAAAGAAAAACTGTTCTTTAAGATTTTTGTCTCCTAGTTGAGTGATTTTCCTTTACCTTACACTTCTTTATACTGTTTAACAGAAAACTAGAAGAAGGAAATAATGAAATGTTCTTTTTAAATTTATTTCAGGTTGAAGAATGTCCCGGGTTCCACTGGGGAAAGTCCTCCTGAGGAATGTCATCCGACACACTGATGCTCACAATAAGGTATGTGTTGTGGGGGAAGGTTGGTGTGTGTGTGGGAATACCACCCACTCATTCTTAAACACTTGAGGCTACAGAGTGTGCCCAGTGTTACTGTGACACAGCAAGAGAGATAGCAAATAGAAATAAATAGGTAATTATGCTTTGTTAATTACTATGGAGTGGAGACAATTACAAAGTACTTTAGAGCTCTGAGGTAACAATAATGAAATCTGCCTGTGGAAGTTAGAAAAGATTGCCCAGAATGAGTGGCAATTGAGGTGCTGATGTTTGAACTGGTTCTTGTACAATGGTTTAAGTTTACCAGATATGAAAGATTATTCTGAACAGAGAGAACATCTTGTACTAATACGTGGCAACAAGAAAGAGCATGAGCTGGTAAGGTTAGGTCAGTGGTAGTGTACTTGCTTAGCATGTAAAAGGTTCTGGGTTCAAATCTTATCACTACCAATAAGAAATGAAAGCATTAATCACTTGGGTATGACACGAAAAAGGGGCTTATAGGAGATAGTGGCAGAAGATAAGGTCTCAGTGGAAAGTTCAGTTATTGTGGTACTTGGAGACAGATGTTAACTGAAAAATGTAAATGTAGCATAGATTTATCACAGTTGTTTGGGAGAACTTAAAAGCAAAAAATATGTTCTTGTTCTTTTTGCTACTTATAGTTTGATATGTAGAAAATTCTCTAGCCAACAGTATGGTTTGTTTTGTTTTTGACAACCTTAATGTGTAAAGAGATTCAGTCTAGAGAATTTAAAAAGCTGTCTTCAGTAAGCTTTTGTTGTTTGGTTTTTGGCAGTACTAGAATTTGAACTCAGAGCACACACTCAGAGTGTGTGCTAGTCAGGAGCTCTACCACCTGAGCAAATCCCAGTTCACTTTTTTTTGTGGGTCCTGGGGCTTGAACTAAGGACCTGGGTGCTGTCTTTGAGTTTCTTTTGCTCAAGGCTAGCGCTCTACCACTTGAGCCACAGTGCCACTTGTGGCTTTTTCTTAGTACTTTATTGGAGATAAGAGTCTCACAGACTTTCCTGCCTGGGCTGGCTTTGAACTGTGATCCTCAGATCTCAGCCTCCTGAGCAGCTAGGATTACAGGGACAAGGTACCAGTGCTGGCCCTGATTTACTTTTACTTTAGTTATTTTTCTCTCTCTCCCTCCCTGCTTGCATGCGGGCGCTCTCTGTCTCTGTCTCTCTCTTTCCTTTGTAATACTGGGTATTGAATTTAGGACCTTGTATTTGCTTAACATGCTTTAGTTATCTTTCTAATTGAGTTTTCAGTTCTTGAATAGCCAAGATGACAGATACATGCCAACATGCCTGCCTTTATATTGGTGGAAATGAGGTCTTTGGAACTTATTTTTGCCTGTGCAGGTTTTTAAATACAGTCATCATAATCTCTGTCTCCTGAATGGCTAGGATTAGAAACATGAAGCAGTGCTTACAGCACTAGTTTTGTGGTTTTGTTTTTGTTTTCACTTTAGGGTAAAATCTCGAGTTTTGGCTTCTTAGTAAAATGTACTAGTAATTCCCGCATTAATTTTCTTATAAAATTGTTTAAGGTTCTGTTGTGGTGATGCAGTTAAACTCTTAGAAATGTGGGATTATTATTTGTTAATTGTACCATGATTTTAAAATTGGACATGTGATAAATGTGTCTGTTCAGAGTTACCCACTCTTGCTGTAAAATTTGAGATTTATTGTTTATCCATGTTCTTGAGAACTCAGAATTGACTTTCCAGGTCTCTGATCATAACCCCATGTGCAATACACTACTAGTGCAGACTGTATTTTCAGCTTGTTATTTTTCTGTAATACAAAGTTACTTTAAGTGACATTTTGTTTCTTTGCTTTTCAAAAAATTAGATTCAGGAGGAATCAGATATGTGGAAAATCAGAGAACTAGAGAAACAGATGGAGGATGCTTACCAAGGGACCAAAAGGAAAATGTTACCCAGCAGTTCAAGGTGAAGCTCAAATCTCTCCAGAACCAAAATAATTCTCATCTGTTTCAGTGTCATCACTTTTGTTTAACAACATTTTAATATTTTAAGGATGTATGACTTCAGTTCTGTGAGTCATTAAGCTTTCCCTGTTTGGTAAATCTAGATGGAAGCATAAAGATACAGTGGTGATTGATTTGGAGAGACTATTTATTTGTAATGGGAAATTTGCCATATCTGTCTTGGAATTGTAAATGTTCAAGATTCTTTGAATTCCAGCTGCCTGACAGCTTTTAACTTCAGATTTTCTTCTGGTTACTTAACTGATGAGTCACTACTTTCGTTTGTAACCACTTGTTATTTTAGACTTTGTTTTGGTACTTACTGGGGCTAGAATCTACTCTGGGTCTCGCCCTCTTGCTTGCCTTTTTTAGTCAAGGCTGGTGTTCTGCCACTTGAGCTACACCTCCTCTTCAGTTTTTTGGTAATTAACTGAAGATAAGAGTCTCCTGGATTTGTCTGTTCTGGCTGGTTTTGAATCATGATCTTCAGATCTCAGCTTCCTGAGTAGTTGGGAATACAGGCCTGAGCCACTGGCTTCTGGCTAGGCCTCACTTCTTACAATTACCCTGACTTCTCCATATTCTTACACACCGGTCTCTGGGGACATTCCAGATCCAAATTACAGTAAAGAGCAACATAGGGGGTCTTCATATAATGCTACTTTTTTTTTAAAGAGTAAATTTCAGTTGTTTTATTGTCCTCTTCTAATACATGATGTTCCATAAAGTAACTCTTAGAAGTTGTGTTTTCATTTCTAGTCGGATGCGGAGTGATGGTTTTGATGAAGAGAGTCAGAGAGACTACTGGAGGCCAAAGAATGAAATTTCTGGAACAGTGGAAGATGATTTTCTTAAGTCTAAATCCTGGAACAAGAAGTTATATAATTATGAAGCTAATATGCCAGACAGGTTTGTGACTAAATTTCTGTGACTTGCATTGATACTTGACTTGAGGCTATGTATTTGCAAAATTAGTTGTTCCTAACAAAACTGAACAGAAGTGTTCATTCATAGCAGCATTATTGATAATTCCCCCAAAGTGGAAACCAAATATTAACTGTTAAACAGATAGACAAAATGTGAGGTAATCTTATTTACCAGACTGTTACTTGGCAGTAAAAGACACAAAGTACTGGTAATACGCCACAGCATGGGTAAGCCTGTAAACCTTACACAAGGTGAAAGTAGCCAGTCATAAAAGCTTTACATCATATGATTCTCTTTCTTTGATGTCCAGAATAAACAAATCTGTAGAGACAGAAAACAGGTTAGTGGTTGCTGTGGGCTAATGGAACTGCCTTTTTTTTTGGTTATTGTTTCCAATTCAGATGTCCTTTATTTCCAGGATTTCTACGCTTTTTAAAAGAGCAAATTTCTTGTTATGTGAATTACATTTCAATAAGTATTTCAAAATTATTATATAAAAACTTTCCCCAATGTAGACAGCGTTCTGTAAGGCAGTCTATGTAGAAAAGAGCTTCACAGCTAAAGAACAATGTATAAATCCTTTACTGTTTCTTTTTGTATGTTGGTTCTGGGCTTGACCTCAAGGTCTGTGTACTGTCCCTTAGCTTTTTCACTCAAGATTGGTGTTTTACCACTAGAGCCACAGCTTTGCTTCTATCCTTTAGCATTTCTTGAAGAATACAGAAAATGCTTTTACAAGAGGACAAAGATAGAGGTGAGGCTCAAGAGATAGGGTGCTTATGTACCCAAGTCAAGGCCCTGAGTTCAATCGTTAGTACTTCCCTACTACATACATGCGTATAAATGAACAGAGGAATCCTTTGTGTGCTATATAGTGCAGAAAATGTAGCTGTTTGTGTCTCTACTATGTCTATTTTCTTGGTTCTGTGTATGTCTCTTGGTTCTATACATACACTTTAATAGTTTTATTTCTTTTTTAATTTGTGCATTGCTTTAACAAATGTGATATGTCATCTTACAGATGGGGTCACAGTGGATATAAAGAGTTATACCCTGAAGAGTTTGAAACAGACAGGTAAGATAATTACTAAAAGTAAGATTAGTACATAGTCTGTATTAGAAATTGAGTTCTTTTTACAAGCCTTACCACTGAAAATTCATGTAGAACCTGGTATGCTGGTGTATACTTACAGTCGCAGTACTTGGGAGGCTGAGGCAAGAGGATTGCTTGAGCCTAGTAGTTTGAGGCTATCTGGACAACGTAGGGAGACCTTGTATTTCCCCTCCTCCAAATATGATTTAATTAGGAGGTGATCCCTTCTAGGCGTTTCCATTATTGATGGATGGAATGTCTGCCAGCCTTTTGGTTTCTATATATAGTGGTCCCCCACTATCTGTGGAGATATGTTCCAAGACTCTCATTGGATACTTGAACCCTCAGATATTACTGAACCTTTTATATTTTGTGTTTTCCTGTTGATACATAGCTATGATAAACTTCCATCTGTTTAATTCAGATGTGGCTTTCTTAGCTATATTTGAGTTGTCAGCATTACTTTTGTGTTGCTTTGGGCCTTAGTTACTAAGTACATTGTTGCCTGATATATGCACTGTTTTACTGTGGCAGTGAATTGATAACCCAGATAGCTAATAAATTACTAAGAGGTAGACAGCTGGGTGAAAGGTAGCTGTCCCAAGTGGGACTGAAAAGTTTTGTCATGTTACTCAGAATGACGTGCTACTGAAAGCTTTTTAAAACTGTTTATTTCTGGAATTTATTTTTGAACTATGATCAGCCACAAGTAACTGGTACTGCAGAGAATGAAGGTGGGTAAGGGCGTGAACTATGATCAGCCACAAGTACCTGGTACTGCAGAGAATGAAGGTGGGGAGGGCGTGCTAGGTGAGCGTCGTATAGTCAGTTACTGTGCCTTTTTTTTTTTGGGGGGGGGTTGGTCATGGGGCTTGGACTCTAGGCCTGGGCGCTGTCCCTTAGCTCTTCAGCTCAAGGCTAGCGCTCTACTACTTGAGCCACAGTGCCACTTTTGGTTTTCTAGTGGTTTATTGGAGATGAGTTTCAAGGACTTTCTTGCCCAGGCTGGCTTTGAACCGCGATCCTCAGATCTCAGCTTCCTGAGTAGCTAGGATTACTGGCATGGGCCACTGGTGCCCGGCTTTTATCTACATTTTTTAATCACTGATTTTGTTTTTAAAATTTTTATTTATTTTTGCCAGGTTTGGGGCTTAAACTCAAGGCCTGAGCCATGTATATCCCTGTTTTTTGTTTTTGTTTTTGTTTTCTTAGTGCTCTACCTCTTTTTTTTTTTTTTTTATATTTTATTTTATTTTATTTGAGAACATACTGTACAGAGGGGTTACAATTACATGGGCAGGAGTGCTCTACCTCTTGAGCCACAGCTCCCTTCCTTCATCTTCATTTTAAAGATGAGAAAACTAAAACTCAGGGTATCAAAGTTGGTTAGTTTCAAAATTGTATGTCAAAAGTTCTGAATTAAAATTCAGGTGTTATTCTAGACTTCCTGTCTAGAGTACAGAATATTAAAATAAAAACATACTTTTTATTTTCTACGTAAGTTTATCTGTACTTTTTTATTGGTAGTGATCACCAAGATATTACCAATGGGAAAAAAACATCTCCCCAGGTCAGATCATCTGCCCATGAATCCCGCAAACATAAGAAGTCAAAGAAATCTCACAAAAAGAAGCAGAAGAAAAAGTCACACAAGAAACAGAAGAAAAGCAAAAAGGAAGCCACAGATATAACAGCAAATTCCTCAAGTGAGTTCTCAGAAGAAACTGGGCCTTCTTGTAACAAGAAAAGGAAGCAACCACACAAGCGCAAGAAAAAATCCAGGAAAAAGTCTCTCAAAAAACCTGCTTTATTAGTAGAGGCAGAAAGTGACACCTCTCAGTCAGATGATTCAGCATCCAGCAGTTCTGAGGAAAGCGAAGACGGAGGCACTGAGAAAACCAAAAGGAAAAAGACAGACACAGATGTCCATGTCCCTGTAGCTAACAGTGAAATACACGAGAGGACAAATAAACGCACAAATTGGAAAGTGGCTACAGATGAAAGGTCTGCTGAGAGCTCAGAGGATGACTAGATAGGAAAGAAACACTTTTGCTTCCCATTTGATTCTGGGTATTTATAACTCTTACTCCTTGGAGTTGTGCCAGTGACTCTTTCAGCACAGGGGTCTGAGGTCAGAGGTATCTTGTGCCATCTATGTTTTGCCAGACTTAAACTTGATCCCCTTTTCTTGTCTGTGGGGAATCTGGTATTTTGTTATGAAGGTTTCTTGAAGATTATTTTTTTGCAATTAATCACTTTTAGGGTAAAGTGACCTCTGTAGCAAATTAAAGGACCCAGGAAACTGAATTCAGTAAAGACCTGGGTACACCGGTTGAAATGAGTTTGGGGACATGAAGGACTGGGATGAAGAAGGGGATTGAAGGAGTGTGGTATGTAGGATGGCTTGACAAGAGAACACTTCTTTGTTCATATAGCAGGTGTACTATCGACTTGTCCTCAATCTTGGTGCTTTGAGCCTTCTGTATTTTGACCCCACAGGTGTGGTCTAGTTTACTTAAAGAGGAAATGGGCATAAGAATAAACCTTTACCCTTCTTGGTAACATCCACACAACTGTTAGAAGGAACTACCGTTTTCTCAAATTTCCCTGCTGGACAGGGTAGCTATTAGTATACCCCTAACACATGCTAATTGGATAGTAAATGGTTTTCTAGTTTCATTGCTATAGTCTAAATGCCCTTGCATTTGAAATTTGTCCTTCAATTCAAATGGGGAAAAATTAGGAATTGGTCTTGCTATCTTAATGATGCTCTGAAATGGATTCAGGGCAGCAATAGCCATCTAAACATTGTCTTCCTGGTTCCCCTCTCCCCCCGGGCTGTGTTGAGGATTGAGCCCAGGTTCTTGCGCATGCTAGGCAAGTGCTTTACCACTGAGCTACAATCCCTAGCTCTGTTGTCTTGTTGTCTTCCTTGTTCATTTCTAATTCTATTAATGAACTTTAGATTTTCCCTGAAACTTAAGTTGAATCAGTTCCAAAATGAAACAGGCTTCTCAGGGACATAACCCGTTTCTTTCCCGTCTTGCCTTTGGGTTAAAAGCACCAAGCAGAGACCACATTATTTCCCTTTGCTGTACTGTGATTCCTGTATTCACAAGAAACCAAAATATCACTGAAAAAAAAGGCTGGCAGAACATAAGTGAATTTCTCATTATTAGAGGAAAGATCAAGTGATGCATTGTCAGTTTTCACCTGGCTGTTACTTTATCAGCCAGGTTAAGAAGCATGACTTTTGGTATTGGCTCTGCCACTCAGTTATGAGTTCTGGAGCAGGTTAAGTTAAAAATCTCCCTCGCCTTATTTTCCATATGTGTTACACAAATACTTCATGGAAAGGTGACAGTCTGAGACACCAGCAATAGAATACAACTATGATGACATTCCATGAAGTGATTGCTATTTTATAATTTTAACTACTAAATTTGTCTTTATCAAACAGATTTCTAATAAAGTGCTTGGTCTTAAAATACTTTGTTGGCCATAGGTGCTCAATCCCTTGACTATGAATAGGTGCTGCCTTTTGGGGATTTTGAAATATTAGCTTGAGACCTCAATTGTCCTTGGTAAAAGTGGAGGTATAGTGAGGGAGGAAGAGGGAGCAAGTTGGAAGTAGTTTTAAGCCCCCAGCCTCGTTTGGTACAACTCTAATAGCACCTATTCCAAGCACAGCTTCAAGAAAATGGGCCAATAGAATATGGCAACTCAAAGAAGTTGGCTCTGTTTGGGTCTTAACCTATCCATCTTCCTACACTAGCATTTTTTTCTCAAAGAATACACTTTTTTTTTTTTCCTCCTAATGTTTCTTTCCTTGGTCATGTATAAGCAATAAAGTTGTTTTCTGTTCTTCACTTTTCTCAACCTCAAGTTCTTTTCTATGCCTTAGAGAAGCCCTTGATGGTTACTCTTAATACCCTTTAGATATGGCTTAGGATGGCATTCCAAAACATACGTTCTCTCCCATGTGCACTATCAGCCTTGGGACATATTTATTTCTAGTGTTCCTATCAGACTAGAGTAATCATAGAATGAGATTTAAAGGAAAAAAACCTGCTAGAGCATTCACATTTATTGACTAACTGATGTGATATAACCTGGAATTGGTAATTCCAAATAAAATTCACATTCTAAACATGTGATGTTACTGCTAGCATCAGCTGATGCTAACCTGACCATGGGTTGACAACTGTTCCCCCAGTGACCCTTCAGTTTGTTTAATAGCAAGTCCTTTGCTGCTTCTGTCATTCTCTCAGGAGATGGTCTACTGCCCTCCTTTCTGTACAATCTGGGCAAATCGATTGGTGATGGCAAGAGTTGTGTCAATGAAACGGTCCACACAGCTAGAGAGACAGTTTTCAGTGCGAGAGTCTAGGCGATTTCCTGGCTTTTCCACACATTTATCCCAACATAGCTCCATGAAGTGATGCACCTAAGAAAAAAAGAAAAATCACTGGGGTCTGCACATAGGCTCTAATTGTTTTATTTCTGTATTCAGGTTTCCATGACTATAAAACCATGGAATTCCTTTACTCTTTCTTCATTTCTCACCAAGATTTTTTTTTTTTTTTTTGCCAGTCCTGGGGCTTGAACTCAGGTCCTGGACACTGTCCTTGAGCTTGTTTTGCTCAATGCTAGGACTGTACCACTTTTTATGTGGTGCTGAGGAATAGAACCCAAGGCTTTATGCATGCTGGGCAAGCATTCTACCACTAAACCACATTCCCAGCCAGAGGGGAAATTTTTTTTTGTTGTTGGTCGGTCATGGGGCTTGACTCTGGGCCTGGGCGCTGTCTCTGCCCTCGTCAGCTCAAGGCTAGCGCTCTACCGCTTGAGCTATAGTGCCACTTCCGGTTTTCTAGTGGTTTATTGGAGGTAAGAGTCTCGGACTTTCCTGCCAGGGCTGGCTTGAACCACGATCCTCAGATCTCAGCCTCCTGAATAGCTAGGATTATAGGCGTGAGCCACCAGCGCCCGGCAGATGGTAAATTCTTGATGGGTAGCTAGCACCAGTACAAAATGGGAAGGCAGAACACTAACTCTGCCAGACCACTGCACTAATCTGAACCTGTATACTTGACACAAGGGTTAAAGGGGGAGGTGTAGGGGGGCAAATCACAGATAAACTCAATTTAGTGAGCTGGGTGCTGGTGGCTCACACCTGTAATCTTAGCTACTCAGGAAGCTGAGATCTGAGGATCATAGTTTGAAGGCAGCTCAGGCAGGCAAGTCTCAGACTCACTTCCAAAAAGCTGGGAGTGGAGATGTGGCTGAAATGGTAGAGTACTAGCTTTGAGTACAAAAGCTCATCGGGCAGCATTGAAGCCCTGAGTTTATGTCCCAAGACCAGTATCGATTTCTTCCCCAGAAAAAATACACATACAACTGCAAAGAAAATGGTTCCATTTTCAGAATGTTCAGCACCAGGTTTCTTTTTGCTCACCCCAAATGGGCAAAATTACCATTTACCCACGGAGATTATGTAAGGTATGGGTACTATTAACTTCAAGGTCATACCCGGATTTAGTTCATAAGGGCCACGCACAGGTTCGAACCATACCCAAAAGATTCCAAAACCCTTGTCCTAAACCAACCAGTCCCCATCAGTTACTTAAGAACCCACTGATGGGAAGACATCGGTGTTGTTACGGCATTGCTATCTAGTCAAACACACTGAGACATGACTCTCGAAAGCCAAAAAGGCAGTGGGTGGCAGCGAAACCAAACCCCACAGCCGATGCGTGTCTTGTCCAGGACACTCAACCTCCAAGGGGCAGGGGCACGATGAGAACCCAGATCCTTGGGCCAGCTCCGACTGGTGGCTGGCTGAGTAGGTACCTATGCTCGTACGAGGCCCAAACCCCTGTCTTCTTCTTCTCGTGCAGTGCCTGCTTCACCCGGGCCCAGTCGGTGGGTACACGAAGACCACACCTGCGCCCCGGCGGGATCCAGCGCCCGCACCGCCGGCGTGCGGAGAAGTCTGTGACTTCACCCTGCTTCCCCTCCACCCGCCAAGGGTGGTCCCGATCCTCGCACCTGAGCAGTGAACTGTGCCTTCTGCTGTTCGGCCGCCACCAAGCGCTGCAGCTCCGCTTCGTCCGCCTCACCCAGCTCCGCCATCGTCGGGGCAGAGCCCAGGACCTGCAAAACAGCGTGTGCGTGCGGGTGCTCGCGCGCATGCGCGGCAGGTGTGCCCCGCCCCCCGATTTCCGGGATTTATTTCTCCATCTCCGGACGGGTGGGGGGGGAGGGGAAAGGAGAAAGGGAGGAAGGGTTTACAGCATAACTACTTCCGGGTTGTCGGGTGACCTTGATTCCTGAGAAGCAAGATGGCGTCTCTGCTGAGGCTGAGCGTCCTCTGCGGAGCCCGAGGAGGCCGAGGTGAGGGGGTCGGGCCGACAGAGGCGTTTCCAGCAGCCAGTTCCCGAGGAGGGGGGCGGAGGGGGCAGGGAGACAGCGCGAGAGAAGGGACTCCCGGTTTGTTTCCGGCCGCTGAGGCCGCAGAGAGACCGTTGCAGCTCGCGAGCGCGTCATCCGTGGCCAGACCCGGGTGGGGACGCGGTGGCCGGAGAGGAAGCGCTGGGTGGAAGTTCCCGGAACGCCGCGGTTAGCCCTGTCTGGAGGTTAGCCGTGCCCCTGCGGTTCGACCCCGCACGACTGACGGCGTCTCTGCCCCGAGTCCGAGCCGGGCAGCCCCGTCCCCACTGCCTTCCCGGGCCGCGGTCATCGCCCGGCCTGTGCCGCCCGCCCCGGGGCGCAAGTCAGGCCGGCACACACACCGCAATAAAACGCAACTGGCTTCAAAACAAGCGCTCGTCTCCTCGTGTTTCTTTAGAGAAGAAGTGCATACATGCGATGCACACAAAGCAAACACTGCTGTGCCGCACAGCCCCCAGAAAGGGCGTCAGGTGTGTGACAGTCGTGTTGGGGAAGGATTCTCCGTGGTTCCTAACGAGGTGTGCCTAAACTTCAGTTTTGAGGATAAAGAAAGCCCAAGAAAAGAAACATGTTAAAGGAGCAAAAATCGTGATGAAAGCATTAAAAAAAAAAAAAAAAGCATGGTATGGGAGCAGGGCAGTTAAAATATAGGATGAGGGGAGAAAAGTGTAGTGTCACGAAATCACAGAACTTGATAATGAATGTGACCTTTACCTAGTGGTTTTTGAAGGGTAGTCTTTTTTTTTTTCTTCCTTGTGTGCCAATACTTGGGTTTGAACCCTTGATGGGCTTCCCCTCACCTCCCACCAACACAGTTGGAGCTCTACTACTTGATACATACTTCCAATTTGGGCTTTTTTTTTTTTTTTTTTCCATTTCTGGGGCTTGAACTCTAGGCCTGGGAGCTGCCCTTGGGCTCCTTTTGCTCAAGGCTAGCACTCTACCACTTGAACTATAGTGGTACTTCTGGCTTTTTATATGATTAATTGGAGATAAAAGTCTCAGGGACTTTCCTGCTCGAGCTGACTTCCAACCTTGATCCTCAGATCTCCGGCTCCTGAGAGCTAGGATTACAAGCATGAAGTGTTCTTCTGTTTGGGATTGCATTTTACTATGTGATTCAGGCACAGCTCCCAACTCTTTGGCTCAAGAGATGTTGAAGGGGCTATTGAAAGTTTGATAGATTTGCGGTTTAGACTCCATTGTGTAGTTTTGAGACTGGTGTCTTACTGTGTTGCCCAAGCTGGTCTAAAACATGCAGTCCTCTAACCTCAGCTTCCTGAGTACCTGGAATTATTCCAAGATACCACAAGGGCAAGCAGTCTCCCTGCCTCCCCTACTTCTTTTTTTTGGAACCTACAGCCTCTTGCATGTTAAGCTCATGCTCTGCTACTGAGGCCAGCTGGGGCAAAGTTAGTGAGACTATATCAAAAGCAGAATAAAAACAAAAGAATATAGAAGTGCAAGATGCATAGCTGTAATTACAAGTGTTAGCCACCATGCCAGTCCTAGTAAGTAGCCTTTTTTTATTTTTTATTTTATTTTATTTTTTTTGGTCTGGTTGTGGGGCCTGGGCACTGTCCCTCAGCTCTTCAGCTCAAGGCGAGTGCTCTACCACTTGAGCCACAGCACCACTTCTAGCCTTTTTTTTCTGCTTATGTGGTGCTGAGGAATCGAACCCAGGGCCTCATGCATGCAAGGCAAGCACTCTACCACTGAGCCACCTTCCCAGCCTGCCTAGTAGCCTTTTTTAAAAGGGGATTTATTCTTCAATAATTCTCTCAATAGCTATTTAGTATCACTTCAGAGTAACCCAGTGAAATAGGAACTGCCTTCATTTTACAGATGAGATATTACATATTACCTTTGTGCCATATTTCATATATGCAGTATAAAATAGAAATAAGTGGCCTGCATATGCTCATTTAGAAAGTCTCACTCCTTTGAAGAATTGCTTACAATCCCTGTAACATTTCTTCCCTCAGCTCTGTTCCTCCAAATCCCAGTGGTTAGACCTGCTTATGTCTCGGCATTTCTCCAGGATTCTCCTACTCCAGGATGCTGTGGAACAAAGCACATTCACCTGTCACCAAGCCGACATGGTATATATTCTCTCCAATGTTGCTGCTTTCTGGGCTCTGACCTTTGTCTCCTGAGTAGCAAGGATTACAGGCATGAGCCACTGGCACTAAGCTTGTTTTGGACTTTTTTTGTAACAATGGTGAAAACTGCGATCCTAAAAGTTGATTTCAGACTTTGCCTCTCTTTGAGTTGGCTGCTTTAACTTTGTTTGGGAGAATGATAATACATTCCTTCCAAAGAGTAGAAGATGCAGATATACAAATATTGTTTTAAAGGAGTTTATCAGGCATCACTGGCTTATATTTATAATATGTCTATTCCACTCAAGGGTTTATTCCACAAAGATACTTTGTCTAGCCTCTAAGCAAAGTGGATTTATCTTCTAATCAAAACATGCAGGAAGGGAGACCTCTGTGTTAAAAGACTTCAGTAAAGGGATACAGCATCTCTCAATTACAGATTTTTATTCTTGTATTTTAGAGTTAAATTTTATGTGTATCCTGTTTGCCATTCTGTCAGTTTAGGTGATTATGCAATAAATGTTAAATGTGAAAGTGTGTGTCTTCTCTCAGCTAAGATGAATTTGCTCTGCTTGTAGCTGGTTCCACAGCTGCATCTCTCCATTGGACTGGTGAGAGGATTCTTGCTGTTGGCCTCTTGGGCCTGCTTCCAGCTGCATATTTGAATCCTTGCTCTGCGATGGACTACTCTCTGGCTGCAGCCCTCACACTCCATAGTTACTGGCAAGTACAGGAGTCTTTTCACTTCTGTGTTGGCTACTCAGTTGTTTGTTGTAAGCTTGTCTTGTGTATTGTATATAAGGAAGAAGTTGACCGAGATACTCAAGACCTATTAAAAAACAAATACAAGCAAAACACCTTACATATCCATCGGAGGGAGGAAGACAGGGTCTTGCTGTGTAGACCAGGCTGGCTTTGAATTGTCCTGTGATCCTCCTGTTTCTGCCTCCTGTGTATACTACCTCCTGTGTGCACACCCAGTCCATATCATGCTCTGGGGGTCCAGAGTTCAAGTCCCAGTAGTGGCACACACACAAAAAAAAACAATTGCCCTTTGGGAAATTGAGTCCAAAGACTAAAGTTATCTTTATTATATATTAGGGTTTTTTTTATTATATATTAGGGTTTTTTTTATTATATATTAGGAAACTCTTGATTTCTTCATTTTAATTTACCTTTATTAGCACGAATGCTTTGGTTTATCTCACAGAAAGTATAATTCCACATGTAAAATGGTATACATAATCCAGGGGCCAGTGGCTCACACTTACAATCCTAGCAACTCAGGAGGCTGAGATCTGAGGATCACGGTCCAAAAGTTTGTGAGACAATCTCCAATTAACTACCAGAAAACTGGAAGTTTGTGAGACAATCTCCAATTAACTACCAGAAAACTGGAAGTGGTGCTGTGACTGAAATGTGGTAGAGTACTAGCCTTGAACGAAAAGCTCAGGGGCAGTGCCCAGTCCCTGAGTTCAAGCCCCATGATTTTCTCTCCCCTCCCCGCCCCAAATACATAAAATCCTTGAAAGAAGCTGACAGTTAATGGAGTGACAGATAATGACAGATAACCCTGTGCAGCCAAATTATCTGTATGGCCTTCTAACTTCACTTGTGCTTTGTGTGTGTTTTGTTGTGATTTTTTTTTCACTTTTTTATTTTTTAGGGGCCTTGGACAAGTTGTTACTGATTATGTACATGGGGATACGCTGCCGAAAGTTGCCAGGGTGGCCCTTGTGCTCTTCTCATCTGTAACCTTTGCTGGCCTTTGTTACTTCAACTATCATGACGTGGGCATCTGCAAGGCTGTGGCCATGCTGTGGAAGCTCTGACCTCTCACTTCATCCGTTAAGAATTGATTGTATGCACATTTGTCTCTGTCATGCCATTCAGCTTGCAGTAAAGAAATAACAGATGAGTACACTGCTGGATAAACCTTCTCCTGATTACATGATTACAGAATTTAATGTGGAGGAAAGATTTGAGAGGAATTAGATCTAAGAAACTGAGGCTCCGTTTTGTGTTGTGGCGAGTGAATGTGTTGTCTCCCACCTCACAAAACTCATAGTGTCTGCAGTACGTATGGTTGGGTTTTTTTGTTTTGTTTGAGGTTTTTTTTGCCTTTTTTAACTTGTCAATTTATCAATTTCTTAAAAGAATTTAGCTTTACTGCTATCAGCACGTAATAATACTTCTGTTTTTGTCCTGGAAATAATGGACAGAATAAAAGCCTATTCATTCTTGAGTAAAGACTTGACAGAAAATTGGAAAGTATATAAGTTTTGGAAGTGTCTTTCAGTTCTATTGATACTGGAATTGGTCATATGTTCTATGGAAATTTTAAAATTCGAAGGTGCTTTATCTCACATTACAAATTTCTAAATGCTAGAAGGGAACCTGAGAGCTTCCCCAATAGATGCACTAAAATTTAGGAACAAGATTTCCCCTGTGGATGTACTAAAATATTTCAGATTCCAAACAGATATCATCCTCAAAAGTAAGTAACAAAGTTGTTTTTCCACTGTGGGAATTGCTAATGAGAAAATGTACTCTATGAAAAGTTTTTTTTTTTAATAAATTGTATAATAAAAATATATTCTGTTATTTTATGTATTAGCTGTTCCTAATGTTTTTGGTTTTGGGATTTTTTTGTTTTTTAGAGATGAAGTCGTTGTTGTCTACATTATCCTCAAACTCTTGCACTCAAACCATATTCCTGTCTTAGTTTGTTGAGTTACTGGGACTACAGGAACCCTCTACCATAACTTTTTTCATTACAGTGAAGTGTTGTATCCACAGCTCTCAAACAGGACTGAATATTTAAATTTCCTTCTGGAGCTTAATTGAGAACAGACACAAAATACTATAATACAGAAAAAGAAATAGTAGATGGAAACAGTAGGTATAAATTTGGTATGAGTATGAAGATTTAGTAATAGGAATTAAAATTCCTGGTGTTCCTGTGAATACCAGCCTTTGGAATTGTTACATTCCATATGTATTTAGCCTGGGCTAAGTGTTGTACTGTGAGGCTTGATGTTTTTTTCTAGCAATGTAGGTATTGACACTTAGCACTTTCAACTCGCCCTGAGGGTTTTACTAGGATTTTACCTAGAAAGGGTATGTCTGCTCTTGAATGTCTGTGTGGAAGTTAGAGATGCCCACCCCATAAGGTGCCTCTGGTCTTGTCAGATTGAGGTGTGCATCGAGGGTTAGGAAGAGGGATTGTTTCAGGATAGGTCATAGGCTTCAAAAGGGCGGGACTCGTGTAGCAGTGGCTTACCATTTGGTGGTGGTGGGACTATTTTACCCTCGTGAGGGACCATTTCCCCAACTTTAATTACTGACTTGTCTAAGAGTTACTGTTATTTAATGATGATAAAGAGCAGATGGACTTTGAGTCAATTTTGTTGCTTTAAAATTCTCCACAGGTAGTGACCCCACTTAGTGTTCACATTCCCTCTTGCCCAGGCTCCCAGTATACCACTGTTCTGATATAGTGGTGAAGTGAAGATCCCCAGAATTAATGGGGAGGGTAGTGCCTACGTAACAGGCAACTCCTTCAGTCACTTCCAGCATCAGCTCCCAGTTTGGCTCTGGAAAGTGGTCAGGTGGCCATAAGCATTAGATGGTGAGAGAGAACTGTGCCCCAGGTTCCAGCTGAATTTTTTTTTGTTAGCTAAGTAGGATGTAACAATACAGCAACAGAGAAAGTGAGGCAAGAACTAAATGGTCAGGATTTTCTGAGGGTACATAGGATATGATCAAACGTACTGTTCTGGAAGGAGATTAGATGACTTGAAGGAGTACTTTCAGGAAAGTTGGTAAGCCAGAGGCAGGAGGACAGGTAGAAGAAAGGGCTTGAATTTCAACAGTGGCAGAGGAAGGAATCAACTACTAAAGTATTAAATATACATTTATTCAATTCTGCTTGAGCCTACATAGCTTCCCTCCAACCTCTCCTTTTGCTGAGCTTTGCTATTCTTAGCAGCTTCTCTGTATCACATAACAAACTTGTTCTAGCCTATGGCCTATGTGCTGGCTCTTCTCTTTGGAATGCTCTTCCTTCTATTCTTGCTATAGGAACTTTGTCTTGGCCTTCATAGCTTAGTTTGACTGTTACCTCATAGAGAATTATCCACAGAGCATTTTTCACTATGATACTTTGATCTCTAAAACCATTGTCTAGGCCTTATTTTCTCTCTACTAGAATGCAGCCTCCTTAGCTATAGTCTATTTGGTGAATCCTTAGTGTATTGCCCATGACTCAAAGAGCGTGGCCCATGGTGGGTGATCAATAACACTTGTTGGAATTTTGCAAGACACTGAAGTGATTGTTAAATTGTTTGCCTTCTGCCTGCTTGTGGGAGAAAATAGCATTTGAGCTTAAGGGAGGTACCACAGGATGTAAGCATTACTCAGCAGAGTGAAGAAACTACCCTGCCCCTAACCTTCAGGCTGTTGCTTTCTTAAGGAGTTTATGAGCACCACCCATCAGTGACTGCCCTGAGCCTGTGCATTTAGGGACTTGATTTATGAATGTTGATGCAGTTGGCACATAAGACATTATGTACAGGTACATAATAGATATCTAAAAAGGAGTAGTTTTCATCCCTTGCCTGGGGAGAACCAACCCTGTTAGGAAGGGCGGGTAGTACCTTTCTAGCTACCGGGAGATTTGGGTGTGAAGGGTTATCAAGGTGGGAAAGGAGTGGCGAGCAGGTCCTGTGTCGTTTGTACACATTTTGTGCCACTTGAACAGCTGACCTCAGTCATCATTGGTCCAGTAGCCATTGGCAAATATTTAACCAGGACACACAGAGTTGCTATTAAATGAGCACAGTCCACAATCTACATGAGACTTGTTCCTTTCCAACAATCTTCCGTGTTATACTATAGCCAGAACCGTAATCAGATGTTGCCTGTTTGCACCCTCCAGCCAGTAGAGCCTTGGGACAAACCTCTTAAGTTATCCAGCCTCACATGGTTGTTACAACAGTCCAAAGTGGGCAGTATTAAGGCTCAGAAAAAAATTCCAAACACAAAAACTAAAAAGTTGAAAGTGTAGCATTGTATTTTAATTAATTGGTTATTTGTGCTGGTACTAGGGTTTGAACTCTGGGACTCATGCTTTTATTTGGCTTTTTTGCTTAAGGCTGGTGCTCTACCACTTGAGCCACACTTATATTTCCTGCTTTTTTGCAGGTTAATTGGAGATGATTCATGTTTTGTTTTTTTCTTTCTGCTGGGCTGGCTTTGAACTGTGATCCTTAGACTTCATAGGAATGAGCCACCAGTGCCAGGCTAAAAATGTGTGTAATTTTAGTATCTAGTTTCATTTTGCACAGTGAACATTACAGAATTATCCTCAGAGTCATCAATTCTTTTCAAAATAGGCTTGAAAAGTTTACCCTCTTGTTTACAAGCTAGAAAGTATCCTTTATACAATGAAGACTCAAATTGCATCTTATCATCATGCCCTGGAACACTTTTCTGAAAGAATATGATATCACTCTTCGTATCATAGATGTTAATAGGAGGTTCCATTTCCTATAAAGAGAAATAAAAAAATTCATTTTTTTAAAGGACAGGAACAATTTAAAGACATGGAGTTTATTTAGAAGTATGGTACTGACCAGAAATAAAGTAGTTTTTTTTCTCCCTCTCTCAAGAATTAAGGCAGGGGAGAGGGAGTATAATTCCTAGTCTCCTGTTCTTTCTGTTTTCTATGACTCTTAGCATCATGGGATGTACACATGGGTGCAGGCCTCTTGATTCTCCAGTCACAGGATGACCCCCCTCCCTTATCAAGGAGAGTCCGCATCTGCTCCAAATGACCTGGACCGTCACTTCTCTAGTTCGTTAGTTCTTGTCTTCTCCAACGATATGGCTAGTCACACTAATGTCTTCTATAAGCCTAGATAGCTCTAATTTCTGACTCAACTGTGAGAAAGTTCTTGTCAGGACATTCCAAGAATCTCAGAGCCTTTCAATGGAGGCTGGATCTTAAATGTAGAATGTGTTTCTAGAGCTGAGTTGCTCCACAGCCCTGCTGTGCCAGCTCAATCAACAGCCTTTGTCTTTCTCTCCCCACCAAACATGCTGGCTCATAGTAGTCTCTCATTTGTGCCCTCAACAGTCTACCTGGCCAGGCCTTGTTTGTCTCAAAGGTCTGTATGTCCCTCCTAGAAGAGGGTGTTGTGACTGAAACTATAACCTTGCAAGCCATCTAACTGTTGCTACCACATTTTCCTATTGCTACATCATGTTTGCTTTCGGGATGGGCTAGAAAAGGCAAGACTGCCTGAGGTTCTTCCACGTTAATCTTGAACCAGATGATATTTTGGACTGCATCTTGACCCCAGGGTAGCAAAGATCCCCGTGATCCTAAGGACTGATGGAGAAACCCTAGACCTAAAATAGCATTCTATCCTACTAAGACAGATGGCTGTGGTCATACTCTCAATAAAACCAATTATAGAATTGATATTCATAACTTTTTTTTTGGGGGGGTCCAGTCGTGGGGCCTGAACTCTGTGCCTGGGCACTGCCCCTCAGCTCTTCAGCTCAAGGCTAGCGCTCTTCCACTTGAGCCACAGCACCACTTCTGGCTTTTTTCTTTTTGCTTATGTGCTGCTGAGGAGTCGAACCCTGGGCCTCATGCATGCAAGGCAAGCGCTCTACCACTGAGCCACCTTCCCAGCCCTGATATTCATAACTCTTGACCTTTATCCTTCACCAACAAGAGTGGGTCCTGATTTGGTGACAATATAAACCAGTCCCTTCCATTGGTATCTATTTCTGTAGTTGACTACAGCAAACAATTTAGAACTTTACCTTAAATTGCACAAGTCAATTTGAGACGAAGCTGAAGTCTAATATCTAAATGAGAAATAATCCTTAGTTGAAATGTCAAAAGCTCTAGTAGTAGGACCAAAGGAAATGAGTCTGTGAGATCAAACCTAACACAGAAAGTTATAGTTGAAGGTGGGGCATGTGGATGGGTAGAACAGGTGTCACATTTAAGGCAGAAAATTCCTGGGATATTCCTTAGTCTGGGACATTTAAAGCTACCACTAGGCAGAGCCACCACAACTGAATGTGGAAAGGATCCTGGTGTCTTTGGGAGTACCTGAGGATTCTGGTGGTTGTGTGTGTGTGTGTGGTGTGTGTGTGTGTGTGTGTGCGTTTCTGGTGTGTGTGTGTGTTTGTGTGTGCTAGTCCCGAGGCTTGAACTCAGGACCTGGGCTCTGTCCCTGAGCTTCTCTGGCTCAAGGCTAGCACTCTACCACTTGAGCCACAGTGCTGCTTCTGACTTCTGATCAGTAAGAGTCTCATGGGCTTTCCTGCCTGGGTTGGCTTTGAACTGTGATCCTCAGGTCTCAGCCTCCTGAGTAGCTAGGATTACAGGTGTGAGCCACCAGCACTTGGCACAAAGGTATATTCTTTACATGGGGAGGAATTGAATCAGTTTCAGGGAAAGTTAAACTCTATTAAGTAATTAACCTAACATCTATTCTTTTAGCTGTCTTTAATTTAGACTACAAAATCTTAGTGAACCCTGGCCAGACCCGGTGTATATGTAAAAAACCCCTTGAACAAAGTCCTCTGGGTAAAGATTCTTTCCCACAAGAACTTTGCAGCTAGTAACTAACAGAGAGTGGTAAGAAGAGAACAGTAGCCAATTGCATCTCATTATCTGGACCTGGGCTAAGATGACCGCTGCTAAGGTGCTGCTCCGTGGAGAAAGGAAATAAAAGAGCTAAGGCTGATATGGATCCTAGCCTACATTTCCCTCTTTTCTTCTTCTCTCTCTTCTCCTCACTCCTCCCCTTCCTTTAATTCTCTTTCCACTCATTCATCTAATTAATATTTACTAAGTTTCTTCCAGAAGTAGACTTGTTATGAAGCTAATGAAATTTCAAGGTTAGAGCCACTCTTGTTCTTTTCTAAGGCTCCCCCCACCCCTCTCTATCTGTCTTTAATTTCTAAGTAACTAACAGAGTTCATATCTCTGGCAATGTTGTGTTCTCTTTTATAGGGCCACCAAAATCGTACAAGCTATAGATTCTTTATGTGTGTGTGTGTGTGGGGGGGGGGGGTCATGGGGCCTGAATTCTGGGCCTGGGCACTGTCTCTCAGCTCTTCAGCTCAAGGCTAGTGCTCTACCACTTGAGCTACAGCACAACTTCCAGCATTTTCTGCTAATATGGTGTTGAGGAATTGAACCCAGGGCCTCATGTATGCAAGGCAAGCACTCTATTACTGAGCCACCTTCCCAGCCCTATACATTCTTTTAAATGGATTTGCCCCAACTCCTACTATGTTCTAAGCATAGTTTCAATCTTCTTTGACACTTAGTCCCTCTCAACAAGAACCTGTGTGTGGTTTAGGCTTAGCCCAGGTAATTCAGGTTTAGCTCAGGTTCTGAGTCTGCCTCTGCAGCTAAATCAATTTTCCTCTATCTCACATAGCTTGAACTTGGCCCTCTCCTTCCCTCTGCTTCTGCTGTTCCATTTGCATGCTTAACCCCTTCTATTCCAGGGCTCTGATGTCATTCTGATAGCTAAGCTCACAGCCTATCCGGCCTATAGTTGGGAGTCAATCTAATTCTAGTTAGAAGGAAATGGCAAGGAGTTTGTCTGGAGGCTATTATCTGTTGCATATGCACTGTTATTATTTGGTTTTTAGAGTGGCTTTTTTTTGGGGGGGGGGCAATTCTAGGGTTTAAAATAACCAAGGCCTTGCACTTACTACATAGGACTTACTCTCTTAAGCCATAGGCTATTCTTTTTTTTTTTGCTAGTCCTGGAGCTTGAACTCAGGGCCTGGGCACTGTCCCTGAGCTTTTGCTCAAAGGTAGTACTCTACCACTTGGGCCACAGAACCACTTCCAACTTTTTCTGTTTATGTGGTACTGAGGAATCAAACCCATGGCTTCCTGCATGCTAGGTAAGCACTGTACCACTAAGCCACACTCCCAGACCCCACAGGCTATTCTTACATACATGTATCATTTGCATCTACATTTTCATACTATTTTTATATATGGATTGGTGTTCTTCTGAATATGAAGCAAGTGCGTCCCCGTCAGTCCTAGAGGTCATAACGTTATCATAGTTAACTACCCGTTTCCATAGTTCTCTATTTCTTACTCTAGACAAAAGATTGAAATGATAGCTGCATTTTCTAATTTTGTTGATTAATTTGCCTAAAAACAAAGTAATGCTCAGGCTTACCTTAAAGGTAATAGTTTTGTTCTCACAGGAGAGAGTGTAAACTTTGTTATATTTTGCAGAGATGGTCACAGCAAAACCTCTAGCTTCACTATCTTTATACATTTGTATTAGTAATATGGTCTGGGATGCATTATCTGAAATAAACAATAAGTGAGATCACAAATGAGACTTTTTTAAAGCAATAAGGCAGTTTCAGGGCTCCAGGCTTGCCACACCCTCAGTCCTTTTTGTTCTGGTTGTTTTTGAGATCAGACCTTGTTTATGTCTTTGTTTTTGCCAAAGCTAGACTGAACTGCTATCCTCCTGTTTATGGTACCTGCCCTAACTGGAATGACAATTGTGCCCAACAATTTTTTTTTTGCCAGAGCTGGGTGGAATCTTAGTTCTTCTAATCTCAGCCTCCTTTATAGTTGGAAAGACAGGTGCACACCACCTTGGCCACCTGTGACAAGAATCAACATTTGTGGAAATTTAACAAAAAGAGAGTCCTTAACAGATCAGCTGCCAATCCTGCACCCTAAGACCTTACCATACAAGAGAAGTAAACTATATATAGCTAGCCAGATTTATTTTTTTGTTTGGGTCTGGTTGTGGGGCCTGAACTCGGCCTGGGCACTGTCCCTCAGCTCTAGCGCTCTACCACTTGAGCCACAGTGCCACTTGCGGCTTTTTTCTTTTTTGCTTATATGGTGCTGAGGAATCGAACCCAGGGCCTCATGCATACAAGGCAAGTGCTCTACCACTGAGCCACCTTCCCAGCCCCAAGCCAGATATTTTTTAAAAGACACTAAGGCTTATGTTGTAACTTCTCCTCAGGAAGCTGAGATCTGAAGATCAAGGCTCAAAGCCAGCCTGGACAGTCTAATCCTTGAGACTTTTTTCTTTTTTTGGGGGGGTCGGGTCGTGGGGCCTGAACTCGGCCTGGGCTCGGCCTGGGCGCTGTCCCTCAGCTCTTCAGCTCAAGGCTAGCGCTCTACCACTTGAGCCACAGTGCCACTTCCGGCTTTTTTCTTTTTGCTTATGTGGTCCTGAGGAATTGAACCCAGGGCCTCAGGCATGCAAGGCAACCACTCAACCACTGAGCCACCTTCCCAGCTCATCCTTGAGACTTTTATCTTCAGTTAACCAGCAAAAGGCTGGAAATGGAAGTATGGCTTAAGTAGTAGAGAATCAGCTTTGAGTGAAAAAGCTTAGGGAGAGCTGAAGGCCTTGAATTTAAGCCCCTGTACCAGTACACACATAAAATAAAACAACCAATAAAATAGATTTGAACATCAATGACAACCAACATATGACAACTTTTTGAGCTTATAAATATATTCTGAATTCTAAGAGTTTGTCTTTACCTTTAGAGTGCTAAATATTTTGAGATCCACGTTAAAGTGAAAGTGCACATTCACTACACTTTTTTTTTTTTTTGTCAGTCGTGGGGCTTGAACTCTGGGCCTAAGTGCTGTCCCTCAGTTCTTCAGCTCAAGGCGAGCACTCTACCACTTGAGCTACAGAGCCACTTCTGATTTTCTGGTGGTTTATTGGAGATAGGAGTCTCACAGTCTTTCCTGCCTGGGCTGGCTTTGAACCGAGATTCTCAGATCTCAGCCTCCTGAGTAGCTAGGATTACAGGCGTGAGCCACCAGCGCCTGGCCACATTCACTACTTCTATCTGGTCCCAAAGTGTGATTTAGAATTCATCATCTTAGGAGGCACAGCAAACATGCTCACTTTCTAAGGCACTCTGATTTTCTGATGGGACACAGACTCAATTAAAATGTTGTATTTGTGTTTAATTTTCAAAAGATATCACCTGTATTTTTAGCTGAGATTAAAGATCTCTCTCTACAGAGATCTTATACAGTAAATAAAATTAAATTAAGGACTGATGATCCAAATGTTGGTTCACAGCAATATGATCTCTAGTGATTTTTTTTTTTTTTTTTTTTGGTTGGTCATGGGGCCTGATCTCTGGGCCTGGGCACTGTCCCTCAGCTCTTCAGCTCAAGGTAAGTGCTCTACCACTTGAGCCACAGTACCACTTCTGGTTTTCTGAGTGGTTTATTGGAGATAAGAGTCTTTTGGACTTTCCTGCCCCAGCTGGCTTTGAACAAAGATCCTCAGATCTCAGCCTCCTCAGTAGCTAGGATTATAGGCGTGGGCCATCAATGCCCAGGTCTAGTGATGTCTTTATTGCACCCAGTATTTCATCTCAACTAACTATATGGATGGCTAATGTTTTTTTTTTTAATGAAATTGTTACTCTTATGACTTCTCATCTCAGATTGGGTCTGGCATAGAAAAATGCAGTCAGTACAATGGAATGGGAAGAAGTAGCTAGTAATCTCTGTGTCTGCAAATAGAAGAGCTGAGGGACAGCGCCCAAGCCCAGAGATCAGGCCAACAAAAAAAAAAAAAAAAGAAAGAAAAAAAAAAGGAAATACCTTTACAGTCAGAGTCGGGCATATCCTGAAATACAGGCTTAATTCCCGGGGAAATGAGGAGAACTTGGTTATCCAGATTTCGTATGATTGAATATTTAGGTTGTTCAAGTTGGCCAAAATAATCTGATTCCAGGTCTGCTGTAATACACATTAAATCTTATTAAATCTTATTTCCTTTTCTTGAATAGATAGATGCACTATACATTTCCCTCTGTAATCTCTTCCTCTCCTATTCAACTGAATCTTATAGCTTATCATTTTATCTAGCTCATTCACAGTATCTTGAATCCTTAACTCATTTATCTTTTCACTACAAAACACCAGAGCTGACTGTTAAGTGCTGCTCATGAGCAATTGTACAGATACTTGAATAGTTGCCATTATGGCACCCATCAGGTGTCAGTACTACATTTCCCGATTGTATCTTCCATAATCCACAGCTGCAAGTTCAAGTCTTCTTCACTTTCATCAGATCCTCTACACTATCACTTCTATTTCCACTTTCAGAAAACTACTTCCTGCTATTCTCCCTACTTGCCAGGACACTCTGTCCCCCAAGAGCCTCCCAGGCATCATCCCAAAGCACTTGTGAGAGATGTGGTTGAAGAAAGGCGATACTGACTTTGGAAAGTTCTCATGCATCAATCTCCTTTTTCTATGCCTTTCAGAGAATCCATGGATTCCTGCTAATCCTAGGACTTAGATAAAATCTACTTTGCAGCTTCCAAGAGCTAGATGTAAAGGTTCTCATGTGTTTTCATTATGGTCATCTTCATTCCTAATGTTGTGGAGTCTGAAAATTCCTTTGGGAAGGCTGGCTTCCCAAATGGATAGTATCATATGGACAGCTTCTCCCTGCTCATAGTGTATGTGTCCTAAACAGCTATTTATTTTGCAAAGAAAGAAAAATATATTTATACTTTACCATCATTTTCAGCTAAAGGGGGGAAAGAGAAAGAAAATACGTTAAATATTTCAAGTCCGCATTCCTCCCTTCCCCTACTCTTGACTACTCTGTCCCGCCACTCTCTTTCTGACCCCTGTGTGATGGAGATGACCTTTATTGGCTCCGTCAGAAACAGGTAATTATCCACAAGGTCCATACAATGATGCTCATGAGAGTTTGTGTATTCTCAGGTAAGTCAGATACTTACTCTTATTTAAACTGAAAGATGTAAATCTTAAAACTTAAAATCTTAGCTGTGTCCAGTGGCTCACACTTGTAATCCTAGCTACTCAGGAGGCTGAGATCTGAGGATCATGGTTCAAAGCCAGCCCTGGCAGGAAAGTTTGTGAGACTCTTTTTTTTTTTTTTGTCGGTTGTGGGGCTTGAACTCTGGGCTTGGACGCTGTCCTTGCACTCTTCAGCTCAAGGCAAGCACTCTACTGCTTGAGCCACAGTGCCACTTCCGGTTTTCTAGTGGTTTAGTGGAGATAAGAGTCTCACGGACTTTCCTGCCCAGCCTGGCTTTGAACTAGACCCTCAGATCTCAGCCTCTTGAGTAGCTAGGATTACAGGCGGGAGCCACCGGCACCGGGCAGTGAAACTCTTATCTCCAATTAACTACCAGAAAACCAGAAGTGGCACTGTGGCTCAAGTGGTAGAGCCCTTGCCTTGAGCTGAAGAGCTGAGGGACAGTGCCCAGGCCCAGAGTTCATAGCCCCACAACCGACAAAAAAACCAAAAACTTAAACTCTTAAATCTTGATTTAAGAGTAGCTATTACATAGAAACAGCTAATATATAGAAATTTTATGATTTTACAAGTGATAAATTTTACTATTTAATGATTAAATAGGAAGATACCTAAGAATATTTTTTTATCACAAGCCAAATTGCCCATGGAAGGTTAATTATAACGAATCATTATCTATCTATCTATCTATCTATCTATCTATCTATCTATCTATCTATCTATCTTTGAGGACAGGAGTTTAAATTCAGGGTTTCACTGTTAAAAGATGGGTACTCTCCTGCTTGAGCCATGCCTCTGTCTGAGAATCACTTTTTATCAAATGCATTTACATAACATGGTATAATTCACCATTAGGGTGGTAGAACTTCTGCTTTGCAAACATGAAGCCCTGAGGTTGGACACTAGTACCAAACAGAAAAAGAATGGTATAAGTCAATTGCAGAGCTCTAGATTTAGGCTACTATGTATAAGTTCCCAATTTGCTTTGGGAAATAGTATTTCCTCAATATACACACTTTTGTGGGGTTTTCATAATGATGGTGATCTACTGCTCATCAAAGTCCCAAGCCATTTGGGGGTCAAGGTGGTGGCACCTAGGAAATGCTATGGTTACTTTCTAGAAGTTTGATTTCTTTTCCAGAGATGAGTCAATAATACTACAATGAGTTTTGGTGACAGGAAGTCACTTAATAGTCACTCCCCAGCTTCTTTTCTAGTTGAACATAGTTACCTATGTGTATTATTTCTCATACTTACCGATGAAGTAGAGCATACCATCAGTAAATTTCATTTTCAGAAAGTTGATGAAACTGTGTTCTGGAGGGACAGCAGCCATCTCTACCTATGGAGAGCAAGAGTGATGCCTGCTCATCTTCTAGAGAAGTCTTTTACTACAACCTGTAATACCTCCAGCTTCGGAAGTCAGCTTAACCCTCAGGATGCTGACTAACACTCTGGATCTTTAGTAAGTGCCACAAGTATCTGCTTGTAATACTTGTTTAAAGGCTCTCTTACAAACAATTAGATGTTTGGAATCAGGAAAGCATTTTCTAATGACACAATATTATAAAGGATGAAAAGCTGGGCACTGGTTGCTCATGACTGTAATCTTAGCTACTCAGGAGGCTAAGAACTAAGGATTCAAAGTTCTAAGCCAGCCTGGGCAGAAAAATCTGAGAGACTCTTGTACCCAATTAACCACAAAAAATTGAAAGTGGAACTTTCAAATGGCAGAGTACTAGCCTTGAGCAAAAAAAAAAAAAAAGACTTGGGGCGGGAGAGGTGGGAGGGAAGGGACAAATTGGGAGAAAATGAGGGAGGGGTGGCAGTGTTCAAAAAGAAGTGTAACTGTAACCCCTCTGTACATCACTTTTACAATTAAAAAATTTGTTTTTTTTAAAGGTCAGGGACTGTGCCCAGACCCTGAGTTTAAGTCCTAGAACTAGCACAAAGAAAGGATAAGGACAAGTGGCTCTATTGAACTGAATTACTATTCTAATATTCTTTGGGAAAATACCAACATTTTATCCATATAAGTATCCATATAAGTATAGCAGCATCTGACGTTGTCAGAAACACATCTAATCCTACCATTTTTTCTAGGTTCTGGTTCTATTCTGCTTCTGGTTCCATTCCTTAGAACCAATTATTTCCCATGGATGAGAAGCTGAAGGTTCATGACTCCACTAAAGGTTAAAGGCAAAACAGTGAGCAAAGTGGTGTTTTTCTAGGTGTTGATAGTTCACACATGCAATCCTAGCTACTGGGGTGGTAGATATCAGTAGGATCATGGTTCAAGGCTAACCCAGGCAAAAAGTTCACAAGAACCCATCTCAGTCAATAGTTGGGTGTTATAGCATGTGCCTGTTATCCATCTACTCAATAGTATCTTGATTTGAGGTTACCCAGGGCAAAAAGGTTGTGAGAGCCCATCTCAATCAGTTAGTTTAAAAGTTTAAGGCATATTGAAGGGACAATAATATAACAAAGGAGGCAAAAGTTGCAGAAATACATCTAAAAACTTTACAAAAGCCAAACCAACTTTAAGTGATACATGCCTGTAATCCCAGTAATCAGGATGCCAAGGCAGGTAGGTAGTGAGTTTGAGGGCAACATGGGCTATATGGGGATACTTTGTCTCAATCTAAAAAGCAAAAGAACCATGGTTAGAGTGATTAGATTGTGAGTGTTATGAGGGCATTTTCTTTTTCTTTTCTTCTCTCTTTTTTCCTTCCCTTCTCTTCCCTCTCTTCCTCCCTCCCTTCCTTCCTCCCTCCTTCTCTCTCCCTTCCTATCTCTTCCTCCCTCCCTTCCTCTCTTCCTTCCTCTCCCTCCCTCCCTTTCTCCCTCCCTGTTTCTTTTTCTCTCTCTCTCCTTCCTTCCTTCCTTTCTTTCTTCCTTTCTTTCTTTTTTCTTTCTTTCCGTTATGGGGCTTGAACTCAGGGCCTAGGCATGTGCTGAGTTCTTATATTCAAGGCTAGTGCTCTACCACTTTGAGCAACAGTTCCACTTCTGGTGTTCTGGAGGTTAGTTGGAGATAAGAAGCCTGCCAGACCTGGCTTTCAACTGTGATCCTCAGATCTCAGCCTCTTTAAGTAGCTAGGATTACAGGAGTGAGCCACCAATGCCTAACTGAGAACATTTTTGTATTCATCTTCCTGGCTTTGTTGCTTAACACAATACTTGTTATGGTATCAGAATTCAGTTGAATTCAGTCAGAATTCAGAACTAGGAAGGAAGACATTTGTTAATCCAGGACTTTTCTGATTGGCTATTAGTTGGGGGAATAATGATGAGAATGGGCTTTTCTGCTTCAATATTATAGAATGTACACATCCATTGAAATAATTACTCAAGTAGTAAGGGCTAAATGACTAGCATTTTACAATGGGCATGTAGTTGAACCACATGTAGATATAGGTAGAGAAGTACAGTTACCTGAAAAATACTAAAGAAAAATACTACAAAAATACTATTGCATTCATCCTTGACCTCATTCATCAGTGAATTAGGGAGTCCCACTATGTCTCAGGAATATATACAGAAACGAAATACACAGAAATGAAACTTAGCTCTTATACTCACAGTGACTCAGACACCAGTGGGTGACAAACACATGGTTACAAAAACAGCAGAATGAGTGTTGTAAGAGCTGCATTTACAGATGACCCTCCCTGGTAGGCCTGGTGAAGACTTCTCAGAGGAAGTGATAACAGTGTGGTTTGGGGCAGCATCTTCAGGGAAGGGAAGACTTCCAGCAAAGCCAGAACAATGACAGCAAAGGCCAGGACAGAAGGAGGGTCAGAGAAGTCAGGTTCATTGACTCCTCCTCATCATTTCTCCTGAAGTAATGCCAACATAGTCACATTTTACAGGAAAGACTCATTTCTGAGGCTCTTACTTTACTTGGGATTACTTTTTCCTTGGGAACAAATGTAAAAACAGAGATGAGATATTCTTGAAGTACAGGTACCTTCAATCACCAAAGTGTATGTTTGCTTTCTTTTTGTTCTCTTTCTCAGCATTACTTGTAGTGCTTTGTACAGTGCTTTGGTCATACCGAATCTTGGTGTTACTTTGGCCTTTTTAATCCTGTTTAAATTAGTTTTTGTTCCAATTTATATCATTTTTTTTTGGTTGTGAGGCTTGAACTCAGGGCCTGGGCACTGTCCTTGAGCTCTGTTTTTGCTCAAGGACAGCACACTATTACTTTGAGCCACAGCTCCACTTCTGGTTTTCTGGTGGTGAATTGGAGCTAAAGGTCTCATGGACTTTCTTGCCCAGGCTGGCTTTGAACTGCAATCCTCAGATCTCAGCCTCCTGAGTAGCTAGGATTATAGGTAAAAGCCACCAGTACCTGACTTATAGTTTAAAAAAAATTTTTATAACACTTTAAAAAAATAACATTATCAGATATAAAAATGGTTAACATTATTATACTAAAAAACACTACATTAATAGCCAGTGTGTCTGTAGGACTTCTGAGCTATTTAAAAAATAACTGAACTTAATACTAACATGTGGGCAGATAACTCCACCAGGTTTGAGACAATTCCATGTGGTAATAGTGTTAATGTTTTACAACTCACTTGGAAATCATGCCATTATAGATTAGGTATTTAATCCAAAAGAACTGATATAAAGTAAGACTAATATTATTGTTATCTTACATTTTTTTCTTTTCCTAATTTAGTTAGCAGAAAATGCAACTTGCAATGTTGACCTGGGAAGGAAAGTCTGATTATAAAGAGATAAAGCAGGCAAAAGAGATGGAGGTAATTTTTTCTTTTTAATCCTGGAAAAATAGTGACATTTTGAGTAGGAGAAACATATTATTAAAACTATGTTTTAAAAAGCTCACTGTGTCTGGGTGTATGTAATCCTAAACTGATATCAGAGGATTGCAGTTTGGAACCAGTCCTGACAAAAGAAAGTCTGTGTTAGCCAGTGTCCAAGGTTAATGCTTGTAATCCTAGCTATTCAGGAGGCTGAGATCTGAGGATCACAGTTCAAAGCCAGCTCAGGCAGGAAAGTCCATCTCCAATTAACTACCAAAAAGCTAGAAATGGCACTGTGGTTCAAGGTGGTAGAGTGCTAGCCTGGAAGCACAAAAGCTCAGGAACAGTGCCCATGCTCTGAGTTCAAGTCACAGGCCCAGTGCTCTGTCTCTGTCTCTCTCTGTATCTGTCTCCCTCCCCACCCCACCCCCTTTCTCACACACACAGACTACGTCTGTGAAATTTTGTTTCTAATTAACCATCAAAATTCTGGCTAGGGCTGGGAAGGTGGCTTAGTGGTAGAGTGCTTGCCTTGCATGCATGAGGCCCTGGGTTCGATTCCTCAGCACCACATAAGCAGAAAAAGCTGCAAGTGGTGCTATGGCTCAAGGGGTAGAGCGCTAGCCTGAGCCGAAGAGCTGAGGGACAGCACCTAGGCCCAGAGTTTAGACTTCACGAACGACAAAAAAAAAAAAAAAATTCCGGACAGCTGTGTATATCACACTGTGACAATAACAATACAAAATTATTAAAAATGCTGGACAGGGCTAGGAATGTGGCTTAGTGGTAGAGTGCTTGCCTAGCATGCATGAAGCACTGGGTTCGATTCCTTAGTACCACATACACAGAAAAAGCTGGAAGTGGCGCTGTGGCATAAGTAGTAGAGTGCTACCCTTGAGCAAATGAAGCTCAGGGACTGTGCCAGGCCCTGAGTTCAAGCACAAAGCCCTGGATTTGATACCCAGTACTGAAAAAAAGTAAAACATATAATAGAAGCTGTCCACCAGTGGCTCATACCTGTAATCCTAGCTATTCAGGAAGCTGGAATCTGAGGACTGTGGTTCAAATCAAGCCCAGACAGGAGAGTCCATGAGACTCTTACTTTCTTTGTTTTCTTTTTGGTCTGATCGTGGAGCCTGAACTCTTGGCCTGGGTGCTGTCCCTCAGCTCTTCAGCTCAAGGCTAGCACTCCACCACTTGAGCCACAGCACCACTTCTAGCTTTTTTTCTTTTTGCTTATGTGGTGCTGAGGAATCGAACCCAGGGCCTCATGCATGCAAAGCAAGCGCTCTACTACTGAGTCACCTTCCCAGCCCGACTCTTACTTTCTTCTAACCAGTAAAACGCTAAAAGTGGAGCTGTAGCTCAAGTGGTAGAATGCCAGCCATGAGTGAAAAAACTAGGGGACAGTACCTAGGCCCAGAGTTCAAGCCCCAGTAATGGCACAAGAAAAAAAAATGTAAATGAAGAGCTTTCGAGAGGAAAATTAATGTGACAACAAAAACAGTATTGTGCTAGGAATGTTGTTTTTCTTCCTTCCTTCCTTCCTTCCTTCCTTCCTTCCTTCCTTCCTTCCTTCCTTCCTTCCTTCCTTCCTTCCTTCTTCCTTCCCCTCGCCCCCTCTCTCTTTCCTCTTCTTTTTGGTAGTTAGTGGGTTAGTACTCAAGGGCTACCTGAGTATTTCCTAGGCAGGCATTGTACCATTTGATCTATTTCCCTACCCTTCATTTTGACTTTAGTGAACAGTTATATTGTCCAGAAGTAAAAGTTCTATACTCAGGTGGCTATTATCTGAGGATCACAGTCTGAAGCCAACCTGGGCAGGAAAGTCTGTGAGATTCTTAACTGTAATAAACTACTCAGGAAAGCTGGAAGTGGCACTGTGGCTCTAAGTGGTAGAGCACTAGTCTTGAGCACAAAGAAGCTTAGGGACAGTACCCAGGCCCTGAGTTCAAGCCTCAGGACCGGCAAAAAAAACCCCAAAAAGTTATATGGAAGAGTCAGAATTTAATCTTATAAGCAATATGAAAACACTGCAGGGGGTAAAAAGATATTCAATTGAAGGAGGATTCAATAGCACATGAATAGCTGAATGTAGGCAAAAAATAAAGAGAACCTTCAGGATACCCTAAATTTTTTTGTTGTTGTTGTTATTCAACTTTAAGTAGAGATAATGTCAGTTATTTCCTTATTGTGAAATAAAAGTCTCCTGGAAGTACTGCCCTATTATTCAAAGGTAGCCCAGCCCATGGGTGCTGCTCCAGATGCTAATAAACCTTGTGCAAAGTTTTGGTTTGCTTTGAATAGAATTAATTTGGACTACAGAATTCCTCTAAAGAAAAGCTTATTTATTATATCACTTTGCAGCAAGGATTCTTGGAGGTTTACAAAGTGAAGACATGTGCTAACAATTCTAGGTTGTCATTTTTCCTTTTTACTCTCCTCTCTCAGAGGTGTAAGGAAGAGTTTACTAGAGCCTAGATTCCAGGTGGCATTGCAATAGAGAGAACAAGATCATGTAGATGAAAATCCCACTATCTTCTATTAAGCCAGACATCCAAGAGATTTGTTAAGATAAAAATAACCTATTCTTCGTATTGAATTTTTTAAGAATACATAGCTTGCTTTAATTAAGAATGCCCTTTAAAAGAAAAAGAACTAAGCAACCCCATAACCCTACAAAAATGCAAAAACGAAATGAAAAGGAGAAATGCAAAAAGGAAAGAAACAAAAGCAAGAAAACAAACCCCCAAACACACAAACAAACAATCATTTATGGGCTGAGGACATGGCTGAAGTGGTAGAGCACTTGCCTAGCAAATACGAGACACTGGGTTCTGTCCCCAGCACTGGGGGAAAAATAGTGATTTAGATAACATGATTGATTTATTTAAAGTAAGTTACGGGTATTTAAAAAATTCTCAGCTTTACTTTCTTTCTTTCTTTTCTTTTTTTTTTTTTTTAGGTCCGGTTGTGAGGCCTGAACTCTGGGCCTGGGCGCTGTCCCTCAGCTCTTCAGCTCAAGGCTAGCGCTCTACCACTTGAGCCACAGCGCCACTTCCGGCTCTTTTCTTTTTGCTTATGTGGTGCTGAGGAATCAAACCCAGGGCCTCAGGCATGCAAGGCAAGCACTCTACCACTGAGCCACCTTCCCAGCCCCTCAGCTTTACTTTCTTTACAGTAAAGTGAAGTAATGTAATAAATAGCCTAAAGACATAAACATTCTTCAGGGTACCCAATAATTTTTTTTAAAGTAAAGGGGAATGAGACCCAAAAATATGAGAATCTCTGACCTGAAATGAAAAAAAGAGAAAAGGTTTCTGCTCTGGCTCTGCTTATATTCCTCATGCTGTTCCTGACTACCTGTCTTAGTTACATGAACAGTTCCTTCAGTAGCTTTTTAGCTACCTCTGATAGTCATGCTTCAGATTTTAGATAAAGAGGAACATTCTTACCTGTGCCATGTTGTTTCTAGCAAGAGGAAGAGATCTGGAAAGTTTGAAGTGTCTTCTTTTCTTGAGCCTGTCGAGATAGAAGGTGGAAATCTCTTCAACAGCCAGAGCAGGAATGCAGAAAACTCAGAACTCCTTGCTGCCAGGCAGGATATAGCAGCTGTGTCAATGAGGAAGAAGGTACTGTGAGGGGAGGAGACTGCCCAGGCACGCCTTGGACCCGCCTTCCAATGTTGGCTCCCTTCCAGTGCAACAGGACTTGCAGCAAAATGTTATAAACAAGGACCAGAATGTGTGTGTGTGCGCGCACGTGTTCATGCGCACAGTTTTTTTGCTCAAGGATGGCACTCTACCACTTGAGCCATAGCCCCACTTTCAGTTTTTTGGTGGTTAATTGAATATATACATAGAAATATATTTTTTAAGAAAATAATTTCTTTTGGGCTTGGAAGGTGGCTCAGTGGTAGAGCGCTTGCCTTGCATGCCTGAGGCCCTGAGTTCGATTCCTCAGCACCACATAAGCAAAAAGAAAAAAGCTGGAAGTGGTGCTGTGGCTCAAGTGGTAGAGGGCTAGCCTTGAGCTAAAGAGCTGAGGGACAGCGCCCAGACCCAGAATTGAGGCCCCACGACCGGACCCAAAAAAAAAAAAAAAAGAAAGAAAATAATTTCTTATATAAAAATGAAGATGGGGTCTGGCCCTTTCTAAAACCTGAACTTCTTTAGAAGTATATTTGAAAAAAAAAATTTAAGGGCTGGGAAGGTGGCTCAGTGGTAGAGCCTTGCCTTGCATGCCTGAGGCCCTGGGTTTGATTCCTCAGTACCACATAAGCAAAAAGAAAAAAGCTGGAAGTGGCGCTGTGGCTCAAGTGGTAGAGCGCTAGCCTTGAGCTGAAGAGCTGAAGGACAGCGCCCAGGCCCAGAGTTCAGGCCCCACGACTGGACTCCCCCCCCAAAAAAAAAATTTAAAAAGTGCATCTGCTTAGTTGGTTAGAAGTATCTTCATTTCTTACCTTAGTCTCTCTGTGCTGAGACTTTCTGGTCACCTTTCAGTGCCAGAAAGTTTTTCCTTATCTATTAGTACTGAATGATTGTTTATACTGGACTAATTTCTACATTACAATCATAATACCTAAAATCTATTTAAAATGTAACTTTGTTTTGGAAAGAATTTTTCCCCAGTACTTTCCTTCTTTCACACTTAGACTTCATTCAAGTTCAAAATGGTCTCAAACAATAGTTGATAGAGGACACTACGATTTATTTCTCAGTGGAACAAAACCAATCTGCTTTATCTGTTTTTTTCCCTTTATCTGTCGTTAACAATTGCAAATCATGATTCATGCCATTAGAGTTGTGTGGAATAATTTTTCTATTTTCTTCCATGCAAAGTAAACTTTGCTCTGATACCAGACAAATATCTGCTTGCAGTTTCTGGGGCTAAAAACTTTCTGTTCCTGGAATGAGGTTAAAATTTTTTATGTAAAATAATTGAAATATGATTTAGGAGGTTGAATTTTCAGGTTTATATACAGCTCATTGAAATATTCTAAAATGTGCCAGGCACCAGTGGCTCACACTGGAAATCCAGGGGGGTAAGATTTGAGAATCACAGTTAGAAGCCAGCACTGCTGGAAAGCCCATAAGACTTATCTTTGATAACCTATCAAAATGCCAGAAGTGGAACTGTGGTAGAGTTGGTAGAGTGCTATCTTTAAGCAAAAGAAGCTCAAGAACTGTGCCTAGGCCCTGAACTGTGTAGGCCCCCAGGACAGGCACCAAAAAAATTAAATCTAAAATGTAACTGATGGATTGACTCCTACCCTATTTGCCCAGGTACATACAGATACCAAGAAACCCACCAAAGATAAGTTCAGACTGCCTGACTCCAGCAGGGTAATCTATCGGAACCTGGCTGTAACCATTTCGTCTTGGGCCCAATTGAAAAGCCCCACCTCCCTAGACCATTGGCTTTTGCATTAACTTCTGCCTCCTTGCTCAAAACCTCATAAAAACCTAGCTCTTGTCCCAGCTCTACACTCATAGTCTTCAAACCTGAGGGAAGGCTGTGTCCCTCGCTGTTCTATCTCAATATTAACAGTCCTCACCTGTGGAAGATTGAGTCTGGCCTGTTTCCTTCTTTTCTCCTCAATTTTCCTAATAGTAACTAGAGAAATGTTATAGCCTTGAAAGAATAGAAACAAAAGAATAGAACAAAATTCCTTTGGGATGTGTTTTTTTTTTTGAACTTGTGCTAAATTGGATTACTTTGCCAGCAAGAAAGGTAACATTTTTGTATTTGTTTTTAGCCAGAAGGGAAATGATATGAAAATGGAGGAGTTTAAAATTAGGAAAAAAATGTACATATGAGCAATTTTTAAGAATTTTTTTCTTTTAAGAGCACAGTGTTTTTCATTTCCTAATGTCATAAATGTATCATGTCTGTAGCAGTAATTACAAAAGAAGTTTGTGGTTGGAGGTGCTTGGTTGGTGGCTCCTCAGAAGAAAAACTAATAGCACTTTTGAGAATATGATAGTAATATATATATATATATATATATATAAATGAATTTGAAATATAAAATTTTCATTCTCCAACTGAGCAAATTAACATGAAAGGCTAAATAAGTTGGGTTCAAAACCAATTAGGAAGGGAATGCCAAAGAAGTTGTAATTTTGTGCTTTTTTTTTGTTGATTGTGGGGCTTGAACTCAGGGCCTGGGCACTGTCCCTGAGCCTCTTTGTGCTCAAGGCTAGTGCTCTACCACTTCAGCCACAGCTCTACTTGGGGTTTTTGAGAGGTTAACTGGAGATTAACAATTGCACAGGAGCCAGGCGCTGGTGGCTCATGCCTGAATCCTAACTACTCAGGAGGCTGAGATCTGAGAATCGAGGTTCAAAGCTAGCCTGGGCAGGAAAGTTTGTGAGACTCTTATCTCCAACGAACCACCAGAAAACCGGAAGTGGCGCTGTGGCTCAAGTGGTACTCACCTTGAGCTGAAGAGCTCAGGGACAGCGCCCAGGCCCAGAGTTCAAGACTCACAACTGACCAAAAAAAAAAAAAAAAAAGATACTGGATAGTTGGAACCCTTCATACCATGTCATTTATCTTACCCCTTTAGCTTATACAAGGAAAATAGATTTTTTTTTTGACAAGCTTTGGAATTATGTTAATCAGATGAATGATTTTACATGTTAATAGAATATTGGGAATCTTCTAAGAACCAGACATATAACCATTTGTTTCAATAAAATGCAGTGTGAGAAGAAAGAGAGTATCTCCAAAACTTTTTTTTCTTTCTTTTTTTTACCAGTCCTGCCACTTCAGGCTTTTTCTGTTTATGTGGTACTGAGGAATTGAACCCAGGGCTTCATGCATGCTAGGCAAGCACCCTACCACTAAGCCACATTCCCAGCCCATCTCCCAGACTTTTGTATAATGGCTTATTAAAAATAACAATGCTTCACTGCGCGCTGGTGGTTCACACATGTAATCCTACCTACTCAAGAGGTTGAGATCTGAGGATTGCGGTTCAAAGCTAGCCCAGGCAGGGATGTCATGAGACTCTTATCTCCAATTAACCACCAGAAAACCAGAAGTGGTGCTGTGTGGCTCAAGTGGTAGAGCACTAGCCTTGAGCTGAAGATCTCAGGGAGAGCACCCAGGCCCAGTTCAAGCCACACAACTGACATAAATAAATAAATAAATGTCTGGCCAGGTAGCTGGGCGCCAATGGCTCATGCCTGTCATCTTACTCAAGAGGATAAGATCTGAGGATCCCAGTTAAAAGCCAGCTTTTAACACAGGAAAGTCTGTGAGACTCTTCTCTCTAATTAACCACAAGAAAACATAAGTGGAGTTGTGTCCTAAAGTGGTAGGGTGCTAGTCTTGAGCAAAAATTGCTCAGAAACAAAGGCTAGGCCATTGCTCATGACTGACAAAACAACTAGCACCATCCAAAGAAAAACAGTATTAATGATCATGCAAAAATAAAGCAGAGGCAGGAGGATTAAGTAAAACTGTTCTTGGTTCTGTAACAAGATCCTGTAAAAAAAACAAATACAAGAACACAAACACAAACAAGAGAGACAGACAGACAGATGGTGGAGGGAGAGGTAGAGAGGGGGAGGAGAGAAACAGAGATAGAGATGTAGTTGTAGGTGAGGGAGAAGGACAATTTTCTAAGGACATAAGAAAAAACATTTTTTTTAATCACTACAATTTTATTTCATGAAAATTTATACCTAAAAAAAGAAAACACAGGAACAACATAGCATCATATTAAAGGACAGTTCTTTAGCATTCTTTAAATGAAAAAATACCTTCACCTTCATTTTACTACTAATGGTAGAAATTCCAACAGATAACTTTATCTTTAGTGATCCTTTGGAGACTGTTAATCATCTATTCAATACTTAGTAGATGAAGGCTTATATTTCACAACATTAGCAAATCAACTCCCTCCCCCAACTCAAGATCTTGCACATGCTAGACAAAATGTCTTACTACTTGGCTACATCCCTAGTCACTTCCAAGTCTTAATAGTAACTCAAGTTTAAATCAGCAAAAGGCGAAAAACTGTTATGTATTAATAGTTTATGAGGCGTAAAAGGTGTGTAACTGACTTTTGTCCTATTTAATATGTGTATAACAGGAAATGAATTTAGAATATCCAAGATCAAAGATACCATGATAAAGCACCTAATCCTGCTAGGCCACAAGTAGCATGTGCAGTCACTGGTATTATAAATCCCTTGGGAAAGCTTTTGCTAATTAGTAAACTTACGGACACATTCAGGAAGGGATTTCCCCAGTCTGGGGCTGGGAAGGCGGCTCAGTGGTAGAGCGCCTGCCTTGCATGCATGAGGCCCTGGGTTCGATTCCTCAGCACCACACAAGCAGAAAAAGCCGGAAGTGGGGCTGAGGCTCAAGGGGTAGAGCTTTGAACACGAAAGACACAAGAAACTCAGGTTCAGCTGGCCCAGGCCCCGAATTCAAGCCTCATGGGGGGGGACTGGAACCCCCCCCCCCAATCCACCTTTGGCTACCCTTCCCCGAGTTTTCTTCAGAGCATCTTCGCTTTGGCTTTCCACATGTTCAGGAGAAAAAGAGATTTCTCGAAGCTTCCACATGGACCTGGAACAGGATGAAGAAAGGCGCC